TCAGTTCTGTAGTGGGGCAGACGCTGCAGAGTTGGACTTCCATCACTCAGGTGCATGCTGCACGTCAGTGTTAGATAATGTTGGTCATACCCAGGTATATGTGATCCTCAGAAACTCTTCCAAATACCAGGAATAATATCCCTCACCCTTTGAAAGAGTGTGCCAGACAGGAATATATTTTCCACTAAATCGTCATCTTACACATTACATTAAAAAGACCTTTGGTGAGAAGAAATCAAGGTCATTATGAGATAATGAATGAAATTTAAAAAATGTGTGGAGACCATAAAACTGCAATAATGTATTTATTCTCTCTAATGCTACAGGTTAGCCCGCACAACCACAGGCTCCTCTTCGAGGTGTTTGATGAAAACAGGCTGGTAAGTTTTGTTTTGCATATAAAAGTTTGTGTAGAACTGCATGAAGATCACGGGCAGTATTTTCACCTACTGTACAATTCTACAGTGATGACAGCAATAAATGTTTTATTTACTGCAGTATATGTATTGCAGTCCACCCCATTATCACTTCCCTGAGCTCAAATGACAAGAAATATTGCTGCAATTGCCATAGAGATGGTAGAATATTTTATTGGTTCATAAATGTTTTTCTAGGGCAGATCTTGGGTGCTGGTTCAGATCCGGACCTGGTGCTATCTGCATGAGCTTGTACAGTGTGTTCTCCCTGTGTTCGCATGGGCTTTTGCCAGGTGCTCCGGTTTCCTCCCACAGTGCAAAGACACACTTGTACTGTAGGTTAATTGGCTTCTTCTGGGAAAACTGGCCCAATTGTGATTGTGTGTGAGTCCAGGATGTACAGTATTCTGCCTTGCGCCCTTTGCATGCCAGGATAAACTCCGGCCCATCCTGCAAGCCTGTATTGGCTGAAGCGGTTAAAAGATGGATGGAAAAAGAAGAATAAAACTATTTCCTCATTGAGACAAAATGGAAGCAGGGCCTACAGTATATCAATATTGTAGGTGCCATGTTTCTGAGATATATAAGTACTTTTTTATCATAAATGTAATGTACCTGCTGGTTTAGCAAAATAATCTGGACAACTGTAAGCTTATTTAGAACTTATTTAGAAGTCATTAAAAAAAATAAAGTAACAAAAGGGGAGCTTGTCAAAAGGGGGCTAATTAAATTTTAAAGGCTGAGAAAAACAATATATTTAAATTTTGCCTGAGGTCTTTATTAGCAGTACTTTATAAATCAGTTTTTTTCTCAATTTTGTGTGATTTTATTTATATTTTATTTTATTTACATCAAATGTTTAAGCTAATTGCTTTTATTTTACACTTTCTGAAGTATCATCTTAATGTTAAAAATATTAGTGATGTTACCATTAGAATCTTCATTTCATGTTAATTTTCAAATAGTGTACCAAGATGCAAGTTGGTATCACTGTAAATAATAACCTGTTATCCTATAATCATTCATATTTTCTTAATATTCTGATTGATTTTTTTTTTCAATTCGTTAATAGAGCAATTATTTCTAGTAAGTAACCTCACAATTCACCTTCTAAAATACTATTTCAGGAAAAAGCCCAATAACACCACACAAGCTTTCTTGACATTTATTATTTTTATCTTCCTTAAATGCGTTATGTGTTTTGATAATGACTAATTGATACATTAATGTTTAGGTTGGTTGTTGTAAATAGTTTCTTTTCCTCTTGATACGGAAGGGTTTGCATGGTATCCTACACACAATTACCTTGTTTTTTCCTTTGCAGAGTTCCCTTTTCATGTATTAACTTTGCAGATCTTTTCTATTTAATTTGTACTGCAATTTTGACTCATTCCTTAAAAAATGTTGTTGAAGGGACAGACTGATGTGATAACACAGAAGAGATGTGAATTTTAAACTAGCTATTAGACAAAAGCTGTTTCTAATTTTTTCTAGCTTTTTTTTCATGGTAACTTTCATTTTCACTTCATTGGAATACTGTATAGCTGCCTCGCTTATTTATGTTTTTTTTATGTAAATTTCAGATTTTATAGTTTACAATGTAGTTTGATGAGTGTCATGAGAAAGGCCTTGTATGTTCGAGATTGGCTCCATTATTACACAACGGCCCTGATCTGGTGTTAATGATCTGAAAGCTAGTGAGACAGTTGCCTTCTATTCTCCTGGTGCCAGGATGGAGTTAAAGCTGTTTAGAAGTAGTGTTTAGTTTCTTTCGCCATCCAACCTGTGTCAAGTTTGATTTAACGCCTTCCATTTTGGAAACCTAAAAAAACAGAGGAAAGTTCTGTTAATTAAAAGATAATATAAGCATTTCAACCTCTTTTTAATTACCCAACATATTATTCCTTAAGTCTTGCAAAGCTTGTCAGGATAAATATGTGTACGTGATAACCTATTCTAGCACACTCTAAAAATAAAGCTTACAAAAGCCTCTGCTAGTGTAATTCCTTATCCTAAGACATGCGAGGTTTCAGGTAGTCTTCAAACACTAGGACTGTTTAATAAACAGGAAAGTATATTTGAAATAGGTATTTCACCCAAATTGACCATTAGAAAAAACATTCTCGTCTCTTTGTTGTTGTATCCTCAAGTTACAGGATGAAAGACTGTATGGTTGCCAAAACACTGGCTATACTCTACAGAAATATGTGGAAACTGATTTTAATGCCTATGTGATTTTAAATCAAAGATGTTGTACAGTGAAAAAAGTAGTTTTATAAAGGATGTCTGTATAGATTTATGCATTTCACGTTCTTTATTGATAGAAGTTGGTTGTGCAGATTGATAATTGATTGTGACTCGATCGTCAACACACTGGGATATGCTGAAGTCGGGCAAGAGAAACATTTAGGATCAGGAATCTTGGAGTGCCTTGATTTTACACCACAGCATATATTCTTATAAAACTTACCTTTTATAAATACAAGTTAATCACTTCATGCTTGTATTATATTGTTTTATGATATACCATTGTGGGATTTGGGGATTGATTAGTTGTCCTCAATTAAAATGGCCCAAAAATTATTAATCAGTTACTTGTTAACTTAAACAGCTACAGTATGTCATGTGATAAATCCCAAAAAGTTTATTTTAATTATAATATTAAAGATTCATAAGGTTGTTGGACTTCAATTATATTATTAAATATATTGCATTTGTAGAAATGGACAGAACATAAGAAAATAAGAACGTTTATACATAAGAGGCCATTCCCTAAGCTCATTCGCTCTGTTACTAGATAAATGATCCAAAGATCTCATCCTCTTGAAAGAAGCCAAGGTATTAACTTCAGTAACATAAAGTATCTGGGTAGCATGTTCCTGATTTGGTCCACAAACCTTTTTCTACAAAAAATGCCTCCTGTTCCCTGTAGTTTTGATCTGTTTCTACAGGTTCATGTTTCCATTTCAATTCTGTAAACCTCCATTGGGTTGAATTTGTCTTTTCCTTTGAGAATTTTGAACAGTTGAATCCTTTCCATTTGTTGTCTTCTTTGTCCAGATTCCTTATATATTAAGAAGACAACGGAAAATGGGATAATTGTTTAATGACAACTAATTACTTTGCTTTGCACACAAAATTGACGCCTAATGTCTCAGTGACTACTGTAAGTTACAGGCACACAGACAATGAGAGGAAAAATGATTAGAATACTCCAGCACACTGTTAAACCAAATACTGGGTTAACATTTTTTTAGTTCTGGTGCTACACCCTCTTTTTTAACAACTTTGAAAATGAGGCTTCTTGCTTATTTGTAAAAAAAGGAAAAGAGTAATAAACAAATTTGTACTGTAAGTAAAATCACATTAAAATGAAGACAAAAAGATTTTATTTCTGCAGGCTGCAAGCACCTGTATCCCTGAACTTTGTGCAGGTGCATGTTCATATGCTCTAAACTGCACTGACATGAACACAAAACAACATATTCAGTTGCACTGCTTACACAATGTTCCTTTTTATTCCATAAACTAACTGCTGACTTGCTAGCAACAACCTTTCGCGTTCTCTAAACAATCCATTCTGAGAGCTCCCATTAGAATGAATAACTGCATTCTTTCATTATGAGTTCTTCACGACACACCATAAGACGTTAGGCTGTCATCAACTCACTGTATTGTATTTTGCAAAGAAAGTCTTATACGCTAGGGTAACAGGCTATCTCAGCTGCTAATATACTGGCACTAAAAAAAAAGCTATCCTAATGATTGTCAGCTTTAAAAGACCAGATTGGAATCCTTTTAATTTCTAATGCAGCATTAATGATTTCTTGAAAAGTAATCACTCCTACAGTATAAGCCTATGCATTATAAAATTCTGGAAAGTAATTAATGTTTATGAGTTTGTGACCCATTTATTTTTATAATCCAAATTGGCACTCACCCTCTGTATTTTTTGATTGTTGACTGTACAAGTCCATACATCTACTCCCTGTTACTAGAATGTGAAACTTAATAATATAACTTTTTTAGAAACAAAATATAGTTGTAATACTATATTGTTGTTACAATGAATTCTGGCAAATATGTTACCAGATTGTGATCTGATCATCTCAGATTTCACATTTCCTTTTTCAGAAAAAAAGTCTGTGTAAATTAGAAATGTTTTTGAAAACTCATTTTGTTTCTTTTTGTTTTATTTCATATAAAAGAATTGACTGAGATGTATTCATTTCAGTCTCGTACAATATGCCACATTTATTTCTGCCTGTAGATTAAAGCAACATATTGTAAAGTGCTGTACATATATGGCTGGTTAAAAGAAAATATCTTTCCTCAACTGTACATTTTGATGGTAAAAGGGAATATGTTTGTATTTTAAAGGCACTTTATTATTAGTTGTATTTTATTTATGTTTCACATCTGGGTTTATACTATATTTTAGTTTTGAATAGTTTTTAAGCTAATGATAATTGTACTGATGTCAAAAAGTGAACTTAAATTGAATTCCAAGATTGTGATATAAATGTTTTTTTTTTCTCTTAAACATTGAAGAAATGGTTACAGTTAGTACAATTTTACAATACTAGAACTCTACTGGTGTTTAAATCCCAGATACCACAGAAAAGCATGGTCCAGAACCCATCCAACGTCCCCTGCTTGTAGGATGTGGTTTTAAGATTTATAGCTGTGTTGAATTTGTGTTGCCTTACTCAGCTGTGAGCGCTCTCTCTCCCACTGGGGCCCTCTCCTTTCTGATGGATAAGGAGCAGCTGAGAAGGTGCTGTTTCAGTCTGGGACTGTTTAAAACCAGAGATGTACTGGCAAGTATTGGTGAGGGGAACTGCATCACGTGACCACAGCCATCCTACCCCATGTCACAGTGTGTAGGAGCGCCGAGTGCCCTTATCCAATCATGCCTGGAATGCTGCTTGTCACTTGGGCTATTTCTGCTATCTGTCGCTATCAGCCTGCAGTGCTAACAGTTTGGCAGATGGGACACTTTTTTTTTTTCCTCTGGAGTTTGCAGCTTTGAGTTTTTAACTCCCTGGCAGTGCCTCTCTTGTTATTGTGGCGTGAACTCCTTCTGCTTTGCTCCCTTCACTGAGGGAAGAGAGAGAGAAACTGAATCAGACAAAGGGAGAGAGAGGCTCAACATGGCCCACCGACTGAGGCTTTACTTTGGCTCCGGGCGTAGCAACACAGCCCCTGAGATGGAGGAGCTGGAGGGGGCAACAGAAGACGACATTGCCATGACATTCCACACACTGCCTCGCAGGAGAGGCTTACCTCTTTTCTCCGATCCTGAAAGCTCCTTGTCCGGAGAAACCTCCCTGAAACGTAGCTCCTCTATGTTCATCCCTCAGCTTTCAAACCCGATAGATCCTCGGCCCACAAAAAGCTCATCAATGCAGATCTCCTTGCAGCGCATCCCTGGAAATGGAGAAGAAGAAGAGTCTCCTACTCCTAGTCCCGAGTCTTTCCTGGGCCCAGCTCCAGCCTACAGGGAGCCCAACAGGAAATATTCCTTGCCTACAGACATGCCCAGAAACAATGAAGCTTCACCATGGACTCCAGCATTTGGGAACCTGTCTGGTGATCCCAGTTCACGCAATCGTAGGGTGTTTTGTATGTTGCCTGAAGAATGCCAAAATGGCCACAGCAGTCCAGGAGTGATGAATGAAGATCTACCCAGTGGAATTAATTTTGGTGGTTTCTGCATTCAGAGGAATTCTACTGGGGGCTCAGAGTTTCAAATGCTGCCTTGTGGAGCCCAGGGGCAGAATGGTCCCCACCGCCGCTGGTCTGTCCACCAGGATTCTAATGGCACCCTGGGCAAGCAACGTTTCATAGTTCAGCTCCAGCCAAATCAAGCTGGCATCCCCAAGGGCTCGCGGACAGAGGGGGCAGATCTGGGGTTCACGGGCACCAAGGGAGAGCGGGTGGTGAGGTATCCCCGAATAAGACTGGAGAGGAGCACCTCGCAACCGGTGCAGCCCAGAGCTGTCACCCCACTACTTCAGAGTAGTGCTGGAGATGGGCAGGACACTCCAGGAAGAAACCAGGACCCTGAGGGCCAGAGTAGGAATGTGGATGATGCTTTGCAAGGTTGCACCTTTAAAATCAGACAGGAACAAAACAACAGGCAGCCCCAGTTTAAGATCTATTTTACCCGAGGAGGAGAAGAGCAGAATCAGAGTTCACCACAGGATATAAACTCTGGAAATAGGCAAACAAGGATTAGCTCCCAGGTAATGTGCTGTGCTGTGTGCTACTACTGTATATAATTTAGTATTGTTAATTTTACTGTTATTGGTACTGATTATATTGTTTGCATTTATACTGATAAATATAAGTTGAAACAGCTGTTCCTGCTGGCAGGAATTTCATTAGGAAAAATGGGTAGGTTTTAAGATTAACTAACAACCTTCTTCTGGAAAGTGCATCCACTGTTTATCTATACCTTGGAAATGAAAAACCGAAGGGTTAGAAGAAGCAGCTTTCAGAGCTTGGAAATGAGAGTGGATTTATTCTAGAAATTGCTTTAGGAGAGAAGCCTGTGAGTAAGGCAGACTGACCTTTATTACTCCCTCGGAGGACTTTAAACGTTTACGTACATAAATGTTTTTTCACTTAAGAAAAATGTAAAATCCATAGGTATGTACAGTATTTGAGTGTATGAGCATTCATCCATCCTTTTCAGTCTATTTTTATAAGTGAGTTTCATGGCCTGTATAAACAGAGATTTATAACAAACAATATTTATAGTTATGCATGATTTATTGGTTACTAGATAGAAATTTTTAAGCATTTAGATAAGTATATGAACAAATAAGTATTGCTTTTGCATTTCACTCTGGTTCTATTTTTTTAATTATTTTGTTGTTGTTGTTGTTGTTTTCTGAGACTGCCAGAGTTTCCTGGCTGGACTTAGTCTAATTAATTGTTACGGGTAGGGTCATTAGCGTATGAGCTGTAGGGTTACGTTACATCCGACAAGACTGTTTTTAAAAGCCATTTCTTTTAAAGGGGCCATCTTCATATTTTTACAGTATCTCTGTAATCTTTTTGTGATAAAAACTACTTTCTGAAGGAAGTTACGCTCTATTACAAATGACCACGTTTTTTAGTAAGTCACATAATAGCTCTATATGCATGTATTAAATCTATTAACAGCTAATCAGTCTTAAAAAATAAGAGTTCTGTACAATCCTTAATCCGCATCATTCAAAGTCATTGGATCCTTAATGGAGAAAATGTTAGTGAAGTGCAAGCACTCTCTTCGCCCTAACTGTCCATAGGATTCACTGTTACAATGAAATGAAATAAAAATGTGAAAGAACCTCAGTGTTTCTGTGGTTCTCCTGCAGTATCATATCTCTAGATTAAAAAGACCATTTTTTCTGCTGCATATAACACAGTTAAAACTATTAAGTTGCTATATTGAAACACTAACCTTTTTTATTAAACAAATATTCACTGTACATTAATAACATTGCAGAATCTATCCAGCATATCATCTGTGTCATGGTGGCGCCCGTAATGGTAATTAATTTCATGATTTTTTTTTAGAGATGGACAATTATTGACAAAGCTGAAGCTTAGCATCTGTGCTCTCATATTGCTCCTACAAATACTGTAGCTGGCAAAATACCTTTTGTTAATGTGCTATTTTAATTTTGTTGTTAACATCCATTTCATTATATAATGGGCTTTGTAACATTTTGAAAAAGTGACAGAAAGAAATGAGGAATATAGATTGCTTTGTTAGCTTAAGCATTATCAGTAATTAGATCTGGAGCACTAAGAGTCCCCCCTTTCTCTCATAACTGAAACGGGACATACAGTACAGTAACTGAAACAAAGATTTCTAAAGTGGTCTGCCTCCCTTTTTCACAAGTCTATAAAAACCATGTGGAGTATGGACATTTCAGTACCTTTTAAAGGATATTACTGGCGTGAAAACAAGAACAAGTCAAGTAGACTCCAACATACAGTTTGGAAGAAGTTTTATTATTGTGAAGCTTAACACGCACAGGATATAATACTTGGTTAATAAGACATACATTATAGGTTACATAAATGTACAGTATGAGCTACTAAAGAAGCCGAAATGACATTCCATCAGTGAAGTTTGTTATACCTTTAAATGCAGCCTTTTTAATAATTCATTTAAAACTGATTTGTTGACATGCAGCTCCATGAATAGAACATACTTAAATGTAGACATTTTAATGAGACACTTTTTCCCTCTTATAAAAACTGTTGTCTGCAATAATCCTAGTTCTATTAATTAATTGCTTTTCAGTTCTCTGTAATTATGGTTTTTATTATTTACTTTGCATTGGGCACATTAACATGGCCTTAGTAGCATCCCTTGGAAGAATTTTTTTCATTTTATTTTCAGATTTGTTTAAATATGTGGATGTGATTTCTTGCTCAGAATTTTCTATAAATATTTAAGGTGCAGTGGCCTCCATCATCTACAATTAAAAACAAACCTTGGGGATCAACATAAGTTATAATATTCTTATGAATAATGCCATAATTTCAGTTGGACACTGGCAGCTTTTACTATCATAAACAAAGATAATAGGGATTGTATTTATTAGAATCTAAGCACAGACCTTCCTGAATTATTCATAGCTGTATTTATGCAGGGTTCTTTACCACTGGAATTTCTTAGGGGTCACTACTGACAATTACTGCATTTGGATGCAGGACAGTTTTTTCCCCAAGCTTCATCCATGAGATGTGTGACTGACAGAGATGGGGTAAAAGAATAAATGAGTATGCTTACCTCAGATCTATAGTGTCAATTGCAGTGTTACAGAGTGTCTATATATACAGTACAGTAGCTACAATATTGTGTCAGTTACACATTTTGCTTGCAGAAATCTTTTTAGTGATGACTTCTCTACTAGATCTGTGTAAAATGTATTTTGCCTGGTTTATGTTTCCTTAATTATAGTTTAATCTTTCTTAAAGTATTTAAGCTAATGATTAAGGTTCTGCCTACAATAACCTAAGTGTCTCTTCTTAATTATGTTCAGTCATATGTACTTCTTGGATTCACAAATCCATCTGCTGCTAGCTGGGAAAAATTGTTCTGCTTGAAGTAATATTTCTTGCGATCATATACAGTAAATGACTGGACAGTGTTTTCAGTCATTTAGTACTAAGCATGACCAGGAATATACTAGATTTCAAATCTAGAAGGAAAAAAACACTTATCTAGTCTTTGTACAACTATGTAGGTAATGGCTTGAGTTGCCTTAAGTGAATCATAAAATTAATAGATATACAGTACACTGTTTATGCATTGCTAATATGGTGATCACAGTATTTAGAAAGATATATTTTATCTGCAGACATGCATGCACTCAAATGACTACGGAACATCTGAGGTCAGGATTTCCAGTTTGTTTTAAATGATGGTGGTTTTTGAGGTCCCAGTTGGGTCAACCAGTGAAGACATTTGCTCAGGAGTCGGGGTTTATCCTATAGTTCAAACATTCTTGGTTTGATCCTAGACTATGTCATCAGCAGACCGTGACTGGGATTTCCTCAGCAGCTGCGCACAATTGGACACATGCTGCCAGCACAGGGTTAGCTTGAGACGGCCAGGACATCCAGTTAGTTTTGAATTGCGTCATTCCTGCAGATACTAATTCCTGTGTAGAACACTGTGTAAAATACCCATTTAAGAGCAAGTGTGCACAGCCCTCATATCATTTTTTACTGGTACAAGGTGTGTGTCAAAGAGCCCAGTTAATTATCTGTTGGGGTTTGCAAATTGTGAGGGTTTGAATATAATAGTAAGGTTATGGCCATAATTGTGGGTTCATCTGCTTAAGGTTTATGATTTGCTAAAAAGGTTGATATGCATTGTTGTAATTTTTCTTGAATGTGTTACATGGTCTAGTTCACTGAAAATAACCCATTCCTTTTACAATGCTATTGTAGCATTAAAAAATACAGAGTGATAATAAATTGGGCATTTCTAGATATAATGCAAAAGTAATTCAAAAACGTTATTGTACATTTTAACATTAAATGGTAATATTACCATCAATGGTAATTTTAACAGTACATTAATTGGTAATATTGATAATCTTGCTTGGATGAAAGCATTTTGCACGTTCATGGGTAGACACACTTTTGTCCACAGCTATATATAGTATATTGTGATTCTTTTGACACTGAGTCTTTAAAAAGGTTTTGTGTGTTGCTGGTTGAGACAAGGGTATGCTCTCAGTGTGGTCTAGTTAAGCATAAGTCCAGCTGCCATTCATAAACTGTAGGACATCTACATTTGTTGGAGAGTCTGACTTATTTTTGTAGCTTTGCATGTGCATGTGTGTTGTTGATAGCATGGGTGAGCTTTTTCAGGAAGCATCAGTGCCCTAGGGTTACCAGGCATTGTAATTTAATCCTGGCCACTTGAGGTTTGAAACGAGACGTTACTGTATATATAGTAGAATTTTTTCCTGTGGCTCAGCTGTGAAAACAGGCCCATTCGAATGGAGGTTTGCCTTTGATCCCTGTGTGAATACCCCCTACTCTCTCTCTCACGTTTTGAATACCCCCACCCTCTCTCTCTCTCACTTTTCCTGTCTCTTGCTCGCAGTGATTGAAATGTATTGCACTTGGACAGCTGCAGGCTGTGACCATGTGATGACTCTGCAACAATTTAACTTAACCAGCCAGCTGGTTTGTTAAAGTTACATTACTACCTGAGACTATGAAAGATATCCAGGAAAAGCTTTCAAAGAGTTGGCCTCACTTCTTTATTTGTATAAACATTTGTGCATTGGCGTTCTTGTTTTCATTTAGTGTAGGTGGATTTTTACTTTGTATATAGCTTCTGGTTCAGAGATGATTTATCTGCACTAACCCTGGCACTTTTGTGATAGTATTCCTGACTCCTCTGTCTTCAGGATGAATTTGAAACGAATACATTTTTAATTTACTGTAACAATGTAACAGTCACTTCAACTTTATGTACTGAGTTTCGGTTATTGTTCTTTAGAGAGCTGTCGTTTAGTTGAAACAACTAAAATATTTACTTAATCTCAAAGAGTATGTAGCAAATTAAATATTTAATTTAATATATAGTAAAAATATTTTAAGTAGAAAGGAATCTAGAGCTGGGGTGTCCAATTCTGGTCCTGAAAGGGTTGGTGCGTCTGCAGGTTTTCAAGGTGTCAGCAGTGCCTGAAGAGCTCTGTAGAGCTGGGAGAAATTATTAAATATGCCCAGTAAAGTCAAGTAACTAGATGGTTTAACTTAATGACTGAGAATAAAAAGTCACGATCTGGAATTTTCTTCTGCCTTGATATTTGCATTCAAGTTCTAGAATTAAATATCAGGCCTTCTGGGTTGTGTAAGACCCTCTCAACAGTGGAGTGCATTTACTGTACATATTCTAGCTCTTTACCTAAATTTGTGATTTATTGTGGTTTTTATTAATACCAGTAATGCCAGTGGGTAATATTATTTTGGAGAAGTGAGGCTAATAAATCTAGTGAGTACTACGGTAGCTTATTATAAACACGTTAAACTTATTTTAGATTTATTTTCAATGTATTTTTTTATACCTGATTGAAATGTTCGTTTATCAGGGACTGTGAATTTATTAATGTAATTGATCTGCATTTTATAACAACGTAATTTGTAGCACTATTCAAATATGACAGCGTAATTAATTGTACCTTTGCTTGAGGATTATAGCTGTTGGGATGGTATTTGATTCAATTACGAATATGTTAATTTTTTAATGTATATACTGAGTTATTTTAAGGTACATATAGAATTTTGAAGGCTTTGAATACTTTGAAAGCACTTTAATGCTATGAAAAAATATAAAGACTTTATGTAGTGTATACTGTATACAGTATGTTATTAATGTAGTGTTTTCCCACGTGGGCTGCCCAATATATCGAGAACACTGGTCTGTTACAGATTTTGATTGTTTTTGACAGCCACTCAAACATTAGAACCACACCTTGAATCAGTAATTGTTGTTCCTCATTTGTCAGTCTTGTCTACTTTGCAAGGCCAAGCATAACATTATCCCATTATAAGGTTTAGTGATGGAGTATTTAGACAAATGGAAGATATTATCTTTGTGTCAATTATTCAGTCCTAAAGTCCCCCTCAAAAACTTTGGTATGCATTTCACTAATGGTTTTGCCATTTTTTTTCACTGAATATTATTGACAATTAATGAAAATTATAGCAAGAAAATAAGTGGAACTCTGCCTACAATATAAACAATGTTTTATATGCAATTAAAAATGCTATGCACCTTACTGGAAATTACAGATTTTTACAGATGCCTTACAGAAAGCAACTGACAGGTTGCATCACAGTGTGGTATGGCAACTGCAGTATTGCTGACCGCAAAACCCTACAGCGAGTGGTGAAAACTGCCCAGTCCATCATTGGGGTTGCTTTCTCATCCATCCAGGACATTTATGACAGACGGTGCTTGAGGAAAGCTCTAAGCATAATCAAAGACCCCACACACCCCAGCTACAGACTTTATGATCTGCTACCATCTGGAAAATGGTACCGGAGCATTTGGGCCAAGACTACCAGACTCAGAGACAGTTTTTACCCCCGCACTATCAAACTATTAAACTCCCAGCCTCTCTCACCCACGATCTGAACCCTTACGGTGCCTTCTCTCTTTATCAAAACTCAAACACAAATTGAAATGTACCTCTACCTCACATGTCATGATGTTCACTCCCCATACTTTTGTATCCCTTATTTCATTCTGTTGACGTATGGTTTTGCACATTGCCTGTTGTCTCTGTCTTTCTTTTCTTACACAATTGTATTGTTGTTTTTTTGTACTTCTTACCGTCTGAGAGGTAGCTAAATAGCATTTCATTACACCATACAGTATATCCATGTACAGTATGAGTATAATGACAATAAACATAAACTTGAACTTAATTAGAGAGTCATAAAATCTCTTCTCTGAGATTTTAATCATGTTATAACAGTACTATTGCTGGAAGACTGTAGGGTGTGTCAATTCTGCCTTGTCATTATGGTGACATGTGATGCCGTACTAAAAAAGATGTTTCTGCCTTGATGTTTCATTGCAGGCTCAAAACCAGTCACCCTTTTGGCTTGAGTTTTCTTTTAGGAAGGTTTGAAGAATAGTTTGTAAGTTTAGATGTGCTCTTCTCATACATGTAGGTAACACAGAACAAAAAATATGGATTCTCATTAAGCATTGTAAGCATCATTTTCCAAGCATCTCTTTGATTTTTATCAAATACAAGTATGACATGCTTCTCTATTATGTAATGGACCTGGAATTCACTATCAAGAGGAGGGTGGGTGTTTTTCCTGTCTGCAAGATGTAAGGATACAATTCACAGTAAGGCAGCCCCCAGCAATGGTGTTACTTTTAATTTTTGACAAGAGCAAGCATGAATATTATCTTACTTGTAGGATAAGTATGATAAGGCCACTAAGAAAATAAATCTATCAACATTTAGCATGTTGTAGTATTTTTTGTACATTATAAGATAAAATGCTTCTGTAAATTACTATGACTGTTACAAGAAACTAGTAGCAATATATTCCTTAATCCCAGGGGGTTGTATAATATTGGATTGTGTAATTCATACACTGTCAGTCGAAATGCACTAACGATTAAATCTCACAATTTATTATAAAAATGTTTTATAAATGTTATTTATAAAATGTATATGTTTTATATACTGTTTCTAAGACAGACATGGCCATCAAACAGGTTAGGGTGTCTGGTGTTGCATTTTGTACAGAAAGCATATTTATAATACAGCACAATTATAATTGAAAGGAAAAATAAAATACTGTAATATTTCACTGTTTTCTGTCACAATGCTTAAGGACAGATACAGGGCATGTATTGCATCGTCATAAACATCATAAACCAAACCATATGTTTTAAACGTCCAACATAATCTGAAAAATATATAGTGCAATAAATAAATTCTTCCATTTACAACATAAGACATTTAAGTAGCTGGTGTTCAGGAAGGGTCAATTACTCTTTTGTATCTTTTTTTCAAGTTCAAGCCATTTTCTGTGTTGTATACAGAGGTTTTCGTGCTTTTTCTTCTCAAAATTTGCAATTAAATCCTTTTTCTCAAGACTCACAGTGCAGCACAGTTTAACTTTTTTCCCCATAAATCTTAAATTCCTCGGAATGCAGTTAGGCATCCCTATATTAATTCCTTACACTTATATAGCACTTTTCTGGACACTCCACTCAAAGTGCTCCCCTCCACCACCACCAATGTGCAGCATCCATCTGGATGACGCGACCATGGTCATAGTGCACCAGTACTCTCACCACACACCAGCTACCAATGGGGAGGAGAGCAGAGTGAAACTTTTTTTTCTTTTTTAAATGACCACAGACCTTGGTTTTATGTGTCATCCAAAGGATGGCACCCTTTTACAGTGTAATGTCACTATACTGGGGTATTAAGACCTACACAGACTGCAGGGTGAGTGCCCCCTATTGGTCCCACTAACAATTCTTCTAGCAGCAACCTTAGCTTTCCCAGGAGGTCTCCCATCCAGGTACTGACCAGGCTCACACCTGCTAAGCTTCAGTGGTTTGCCAGTTGTGAGTTGCAGGGTGATATGGTTGCTGGCATTTGTACAATAATCCTGAACCTACTTGACAGTGACACAGAGATTCTTCTTTTGTGTCACAACATGAAATTGTGCGACATACTATACATGTTCATTGAGTCATTCTGCGCTGCTATTCCAAAGTTTCAGAGGATTACGGATTCCTCATCAGTAACTATAGCAGGTAGACTTCACTGAAACTAAAAACACACTTAAACATTTTCTACCATGTTAAATCTGCAGCAAAGTTTTAGGTAAAAGGCATAATAAAACCGTTAAGTTGTAATCTCTATAGGCTCTTTTAAAAATGTATTACGTATGATTTGTATGGCATATAGAGTACAACTTTACTTTTTGTGAACAATACAGGTGTACTGTATACTTATGAATCACATTTTAAATGAGATTTCTATTCCCTTGTATTTGTAAAAAGCAATGAAGTAATTAAAATCTTCACAGTAAAGAAACAGTTGGAAAAAGATAATTTGGAGAATGTTTTATTTTATATATATAAATGGATATAAACCATATTGGTTACTGCACTGAACATACCATGTCTTCCATCATGCTTTTGCAACTCGGAAACAAATCATTTTCAGTCAGCATATCAATATACAGTACAAAGCCTAGAAAATTTTTGTAACTTTATTATTCCTGTTTAATGCACTACATTTAGCCATATTTTTTGAAGGAATTGATGTTTTTCAAATGAAAAAATGGAAAAGTGGAATATTCCAAAACTCTTTCTGTAGGATACCTGCAGCGTGCCTGAGTAATGATAATAGGCCTGTGCTACTGTTCATTTGTTTGCTAAACTAGTTGTATTCCTCAGGTGGATAAAAACACACACGCACACAAGAATGGGCTTTTCCACTTGGGACAGGTAATAGCATAAAAACCTGTGCAATTGCAAAAACAATATAAGAGGTTGCAAAGCAAGATTTCTGTACCTTCCTTCTCGTCTTTGTTTCTGATTATTTTTGTCTTTTGGCAATGGGTTCTTTGCCTGCGCAGAGAAACCTCTAGATTAGCTGCTTCTTTCTTGCTCTTCTGTGTTGTAATACTTAGGCACACTATTTCTGGGGTCACCATAGAGTGTACTTTTCATCATTTGGGTGTTTCTGTGTAAGTCCTGTCAGAATTGAGGAGCTTTTGTTTTCTCAGTAGTGTAGCCAAGGTGTGGACATCATCGCCTTCTCGTCTGTTCTTTTGTTTTTCTGTTTCAGACGAGAGATGATTTTCTGGGGCAGGTTGATGTACCTCTGAACCATTTACCAGTAAGTATGCATCACTGATGTTTTGATTGCAAATCATTTTGAGGATGATTTGAAGATGCATTATGAAAGTTTGTTGCAACTGATAACAGTATAAACAGGTATAAACTGAATAAGAATGCAAGCAGTTTGCCTGTTGGTAGGTTTTTCAGCAAAGTAAAAGGACACCAGATGCTTGTGGTTTCTGATGTAAATAGCATTCAATGAATTATATGCCAAAAACAATTTAGGAATTAATACTGTAAGTGGATGGCTGAAGTGAACTGCTTTGTTGCAGATACTGTAGTTATAACTGAGACATGGGTTTTACAGAAAGAAAACATGCAGCAACAATTTTGCAAGGTCTCCAACATGTAAAAAAAATGTAAACTGTGTTTACAATATTTTTTTTCAAGTTTAACCATGAAGACCCAGAGGAGAACTTTTTTTGTGACAAAACCAGAGTTATTGAGCACTTGAAAAAACAAAATTGAATGCAGTTATGACTCTGAAATGTGCAAGTTTTAATGCAAGATCTCTAGAGGTTATTGTACATGTGCTACTGATTTATGTCATTTTGGAATAGGTTGTGTTGTCATATTAATTTGATAGTGGTCATTACAGTCATAAATCACCCTTCTCGTTGTCAGACATGGCTATCTAAAGTTACAGTACATAAGTCGTGCAAGTATTTCTGAGCTGGGTTAATAATTACTGTATAAAGACTCTGCTAAAAATTAATTAAATAAGACTAACCAGGCATTTGAAAATGACAGATTCAAAATCATACTGTACATATTTGGGACTCATAATACTATTTATCTTTTGATATTTTGCTCTCTGGATTTGTTGTTTTTCCTGTTCCATTCTCAGGCGATTCAGTCAGCAGCAACCTTTTCATATTCTGCCATTTTCATTGGTTATAGAAAGACCAGGGAGACCAGGAGATCAGGGAGAGCTGTGTGCATGAAGATGGCATAATATTCTATTATTTTCACAAGCATATTAAAATATCCCTTTCTATTCATACTACAGTATAAAAGGTCTTTATTCTTACAGAAAATTTTGCCTATCTATTTTCACCTATCCTAGGTTGACAGAGTATGTGATCTTCACTGCAGCTGAAGGGTTTTATTCTTTTTTAATTTTTTTTCTTTCTTTATAGACAGAGGACCCAGCGATGGAGCGGCCATACACCTTTAAGGATTTTTTGCTCCGTCCTCGAAGGTTAGTAGCATTGGTTTCTCTGATCACCTGGTTTTGTAGGAGAACCTCAACACATTCATATTATGTATTGGGCCCTATAGTGTAGAGACTTCTTGGTCAAATTTGGTCACCTTTGGCCAGTAATTTCCCCATTGGGTGTCACAGCCGGTGATTGCTGGGGATTTTCAAGGCAAATGAAAGCTTGGAGTGCTGTCATTTCAGAACTGCCTCTTACCTTCTTAATAGTGTCTTACCATTCCCATTGGCACTGTGAGTTTACATTGTGAAAAGTGCAATGTAAAAGTGCATTTTTTGTATGATTGGGCTCATAGCACTCCAAGCATTCTTTGTGCTTTTGCATTATGTTCCTACACAAACAGCAAGAAATTTGTTTGTACTTTTTTTTAAACTGTGACTGGAACTCTCAAGTCAAGAGGTGTTGAAGCTGTTGTATGCTTTTGTAAGACAGTGTACTATATGTGCCAGTGTAAATGTGTGAAGGGTGAATTTGATCTGTATCACCTACTCAATCACTTAATGAGTAGTCCATAAACGTGTTTGGAAGGTGAGCTTTGGATAAGGCCATCAGCTAAATAAATAATGAGACAGTATTTTTTTTCTTTTACAGTCACAAATCCCGGGTGAAGGGTTACCTTCGCCTGAAAATGGCATACTTGCCCAAAAACGGAGGGCAGGAAGAGGAGAACAGCGAAACAAGGGAGGAGGCCGAGGTAAATATCTTTTCTGCAGCTGCTTTTATAAACGTGGTTTTAGTTTTCATGGAAACATAAGTGTGGTTTTGTTACACTCAAGTGCTGAAAGTTTCTTATTGTATCTGCCATTCAGCTACAGTTGTTTAAATGGAAGCTAGACAGATGACGACCTTTAGATAACCTTGTCTGAAATGGTAGAGACAAGGTGACAGCTATATAAAGTGGTGCTTTTTTTCCCATCTCCCCCTGCCTCTGTGCCTTTTTTCCTTCCACAATAACAAGGATGTAGTCATATTTTGGGGATGTCTAGATGATGTACCTGAATCTACTAAAGCCAGGGAAAAGAGTTGCTATTGAGCCAAAAGTGGGGTATGGGCCCTGACAAAGACAGTTGGTAAGGTTTAGGCTTTAATGTATTATAAAGAGTAGGTGAGAGGTCAAAAACGGGGACTAAATGATTCCATGTTGCTGATTGAATAACATTTAATACTTAGGTTAACACATTTGTGGAAATTAGTTCTAATTTCCTGAATGGTTTTATCATCCTCCTGTAGTGGAAATTAAGGAAGCCACATCACAAGGTACAACAATAAAAAAATGATATAAGATATTATAATTATCATTGTAAATAACAGGGCAGCACAGTAGTGTGACAAGTACGTACTGCTGCCTTCAGACTTCCAGACTGTGGAAGGGTGCCTCCAAAACATTTGAATACTAGGTTTTAATGGCTATTCTAAATTGTCTGTTTCCTTATGGCCCTGCATGGCTCTAAATTCAAGAGTAGTCATGTGATGTCAGCCCCACCTTGTGCCTTGTACTTCCAGGATAGACTTTGAGTTAAAACAGCCTTCACCAGGATAAGTGACTTTCTTATATTGGGCAGGTGAAATTATCACAGTAACTTAACTAAAGAAAAATGTTGAATTCAACAGAAAAGTGTACCTACAGGAAATATAGCTTTTTACTTGAAGTATCATTTTGTAAAGAGGCTAAATAAGATTAGTCTCAGCAGAAGCAAAGTGAAAGTAACAGATCCACAATACAAGCTGTGAAATCCTGTGAAAAAAGGAAAGAGTATGCATTATTTGACAACTGGTAAAATGCAATTTCAAAGAATAATTTTTCAATTTAGATTTAAACTTACAAAGCAGTGAAATCGGTGTCAAACACCTTCAAAGTATGAGAAACTATTTTAAATATGTTTATGCATTTTGCTTTTGCATATTTTTAAAATGTACTGTAAAAGAACATTGGTTGTACATTACATCTCTTAGTGTATTCGACAGAAAACATAATTGAGCTATGAAATAAATTTTGTCATGATTTTTTACCTACATTTCCAACTCACTTTGCTTTTATCTCCACGGTATTTCCCTTAAGGCATATTTTTTGCTTATTAAATATCCAAAAGAAAGAGGAAACCACAGAAGTTTCAGCTTTCTAGACCACATCCTATGAATGCTGTTCTGTTGTTCATTCCTATTATTTTGTCTGTCTAAACGAAGACAATAGTGGTTGAAGAAGCAAAAGGAGGTTTTCGCTGTGGTATAAATGCTATCAACACAAATATGTGATTTATTTTCAGGTGTTATTTTATTTTATCTGTGAATCTTGAAGTGAATTCGCAAACTCTGTTGATGGGTACAAAGGTTGTTTGACTCTAGATGCTGTGCTGCGGAATTTGGCATTTTGACATTATTCATTTTATGCTTTTTTCTTTTGCAGGGTTGGGAAGTGGCAGATTCTCCTGACTCTGGGTCACAGCGTCAGCAACAGCTGCCACCCCTGCCCCCTGGGTGGGAAGAGAAGATTGATAATTTGGGTCGCACGTATTATGTCAACCACAATAACAGGACAACGCAGTGGAAAAGGCCCAGCACAGTGTAAGTGTTCAAAGAGATTGTGCATGATGATGCGAGTTGCTTTATAAGTAGGATATTTAATCTTGAGCAAGGAGGAGTTGCAATTGAAATTGCATGCACATAAACAGTTACTTATTTTACTTCTCCTGCAGTATTCATTGCTCTTGGTGCAGTCTTATAAGTAAAATATTAATAAATAGAAAGCTCACCCTAAATCGAGTTGAGGTGCTCGCCACTGGAATTCCGTGAAGAACAGTTGGAAATCTGGCAATGTTGCATACTCTTTGCTCTTTATTTTATTTTGAATCTAATTATACAATCCAGAATTGGGTACTCAAGGTTAAGGCAGTATAGTATCCCTGATAGCAGATGTTTTTTTTCTTTGCTGTATACTTTTTTATCCTAATATATAAACTCTCAATTTGGTAGCCTCTTTTCATGTCATTTTGCATTAAGCATCTCATACGCAGTAAAGAGCAATGACAGTTTACGTTACAGTTTTATAAACTTGTACAATCTGGAAAAATGCAGAATATTAATGTGAAATTGGAGCTTCCAGATAAAACTTTCGGCAACATGGGAAGGCCATGCAACTCCACACATAAGGTACTCCTGGAATCAAACGCAGCACATGAGAGGTATGAGGCAGAACCTTTCCAGCTTGAATTTCTATTTGAGTAACCTTGACTGCCACAGCCTTGGCAAAAAACCACGAAGTTGTGTCTCCTTCTGCAGAAGAAGAGAGCATATTCTCGTGCAGAATGGTGACAACCTCTTGTTGCCAATCCCTTACAGCAACTGGAAAAGCCTAATAAATCAAGATTTAATAAATAATCAGGTTTCTGTGATACCTCCACCAGCTGAATTTTATGCTATGGTCCAATTAATATTATGTTATTAATTTTGTCTTAAATGTATAATCATGCACGCAGTAGCATTCCATTTTGTAACAGGAATTGTAAAATGTTTCAATAAGGATTGCTTGTTTAGAAATGTAAGCCTAACAAATTCTTCCTGCATCAGTGGATAGTCAGGAGTACCAGTCCTGGGCACAGTATTTTCCTGTGCACATTACAGTATGTGTCCTGTTCTGCTTACAGTAATATATTTATCCAGAAGATAAATAAACAGGTACTATAGGTTTTAGAACTCTTTAACACACAAGAGCTGATGTATGTTGTTTGATGTAAACATACATATTGCACAAAACAAAATGTGCATGTTTCTTCTGTATACATGTACTGTACAGTATATACTGTATATGCAATTATCATTTTCAACTGTTATGGGTGTTGGTTGTTTCTTGGCCTGAGGTTTGGTTTTGACTAATTTTTCAGGAGCATTTGCTTAAGACAAACACCACATTAGAGATCAAGGATGCAATTTCTAATATAATGTGTATAGTATGCAATATGTTATAGTTTCTTGAAAGTCAATTAATTCATAAATTTATTGGCTCAGAGGCCAATTTTTTAATATACTATCTGGATTCCCAGTGAAGTTATTGAATCATTAGCCTGCTGTTGATTCTAGAAAATAACCAAAAATCCACAAATTTACTTGCATGTAGTAGCTTTTATTATTTAGTTACTGATCTAAATTTCTGTACAAGATCTTGTGCAGTAGTTGTTATCAATGGTTTTACAGTTTCAAACATCTTCACACAGTGATCTTAAATTTGCTATTATCAATAACAATAAAGAACAACCAACTTATGGGTATTACAGAAAGATTTTAGAATTAGTTTCTTACGATTTGTCTTTTTCATTACTGTTTCTTCTTTTCTGCTTTACATAAAAAGAAGACATTTCCCTCTCCAGTTAAAATTATGTATCCAAGGCTCATTGTTTGTAGGTGTGCTGTTTTTCAGGCTGTTTACCTCTAGAAACAGAACACTAACAGTTATGGTTATCTCCGTACCCTGAATTTCATGAATTATACAAGATTCACAGGAAAGGTTGTCCACTCCACACTGTATTTTAAGATAATATGAAAACTGTGAGAGTGTATTTTAATTTTTCTTTTTAATAGTACAGTATATACTGTATGGGATATAGTGGTGATTTTCAGAAGTTATCCAAAACATTTACAGGTAAAATAAAGGTAAATTTGCAAATGTGAGGTTTATGATGTATTTAAAGTAAGTTATAGCTTTTAACTGTTGTTGTTAATAATGAAAGTCAGTACCATATCCCACTTCCATCAACCTTCACCATATTTGTAAAAACAAATGTACATTGAAGGTCATCTTTGGTTTAAAAGGAAGATAAATTAATATTTTTACAGATAACTGATTAATACTGTATATACTGAAAATGTTACTTAAATTGCAAAAAACTAAGAAAACCTCAAATATTTTCAAACTATGTATGTTCTTGTTTTTGTATCGACTACACAACAGCAATAAAATATTATTAATAAAAGTATGGAAAGATTTGTTAAATTCACATCCCTTTACAGTCTCATCCATTAATTAGATTATACCTACACATCTTAGAATTTGTCATTATTTTGGTAGTGTTTTAAAATCTTTTTTATGTATAAACATAAATTTAAGAAATCTTAGTCAGGCTGAACTGCTGTTGGATTGTTAACGTAACATTAGGTATAATTCCTGTGTTGCTTTTGTCGTAGGGATGTTGTTTCGGAAACCGAGAATGACAACCACATTAGGCAGATCAACCAGGAGGCTCACCGCGTGTTTCGATCCAGGAGGCACATCAGTGAAGACCTGGAGCATGAGCAGATTGAACCCAGAGATAATGATGATGTGAGTTTGCATTCAGACATGGCTTTCCTCAAAACAGGGAGCTAAAAGCCAATAGTTTCTGTGAGGATTTTCTGTGGTCCCGATCCTAAACACACATTTCATTGTTATGTCAACAGGGCATTTTTATAGCCATCTATTTCACGTCTGTTTAGACTATTGATTCTTAGCCTGGGGTTCACCCACGCCCTGGGATTACGAGATACCCTTTCTGGGGGTGTGAGACATGCCAGATTATTTTAGAAAGTAAATCATTGAAGAGAAATGCTCGGACATATAAGTACAACTACAGTATATGGTTTCATGAAACCTAAGTATTTGAAGGCAAACTTAAAAACTGTCTTTTTTATGTAGTTTTAATTTTACTGTGAATTTAAAACAGTATGCAGTTGTATCTCTCATTCTATAGTTACAATATATCTAAGATTTGAAGAACTGACCTTTGATAAGGGCTGTAAGAACAGATTTTGAGAACCAAAGGGGTTCAGGCTGCAGTAAAGGTTAAGGACCCCTGATTTAGATAATTGTTTAAAATTAAAATTGAGTGTACGTCATGTAATTGTGTGTACATATGTGTAAATACTTGTGGAGTTGCAGACTTACTGCTTTTTCACAGGAGATAAGTGTCCAATATATTGAACTGATCAATTTAAATATAGTTCTTCCCTATGTGTGAGTAGGTCCTGCTTCTGCTTGCAGGCTTTAAGATTTAGTTTTTGTAGTTTTATTAAATTTATGAGTACTGTATTTTGAATGAAATAAGTAATCAGCATTCAAAAGAAAAGTGCCAATAATTTTGTCTACATCTGTATGTATAATGCATTTGTAAGTGCCTGTGTGAAAGCTACCAGTGTTTTTTAATAGAGCGTTATGAATAGAATTGTCAACAAAAAATGAAATTGCTGCCTTTTATTTACTATTACATTTCCTTTGTTGTGCCAGATCGGGGAAAAAAATCTGTTTTTGGTGTAAACCAATATTTCAGACCAGAGTAGAAATTCTGTTAATGATCAATGAATATGTATTTAGAATTACGAACAGTTTTGTTGGAGCTGTTTTACAACAGCTGTGCAGACGGAGATTAAAACACAAGCAGTTTAGTACTGTATACTGTATATGTTTTAAGGATTTGTTTACCATATTTTACCCCAAAGGATCTGTACTGTAAAACAATGGGCTACTGAACAACAATCCCTTAATCAAGGAAGCTTTCAAATTCGATTTAATCATAACTTGTGATTTCAGTTGTCACAGGTGTGTAATAGGTGTAATTTGAACTATTTAAGTGGTTGAATTTCTGAACATGTTGGAGGTTGCCTTTATTGATCGCATTTCATTAGTAATTTAGAATGTCGAAACTTTGAGTAGAAAAAAATGCAAAGGTTTCAACTAAGAAACTTCTAGGTTAAATTAGGGATTCATTTAAATAAAGAGCTTAGCCGCAATAAAAACCAGCAAATGTTTGGTTCACCAAGATCAGGATTGATAACCCCTGCAACAGAGGACCAGAAAAAAATATAATGAAGGATGAATGCTTTCTTTCTAATTTACATTCTTTGAATGAAGGGACATGTTGTAGACGATCCCAGTTACTGGTAGCATGGCTCAGAGGACCTTCACACATTATTTTGAATCCTAGGAGGCTTCCTGGCCTTTAGTTTAAAAAAAAATCTTAACCTCACTAAACACATTTAAGAAGAGCAAGGGTGTTCTTTAAAATAATAACCATAACTGGCTTCCATCCCTCGTCTGCTACAAAACATTTTTATCTGCTAAAAACTAAATACCTCAGGCTTTCATACTTCTTCCCTGAAGACCTACAACAAACCCACTTATTTAACCCATGTGAGAAAACGCACAGGATAATTATTCAGTAATGCAAACAGAAAACACCTAAGTGAACTAATTACGTCTTTGAGGCACTATTAGGCAGCCTCTAGTGGCAGCCCATGGAAATGACAGTCATGGTACAACCTGCCAGAGAATCTAGAGAATTGGTATCGTTTGCTTTGCAAGTTGAAATGCAGCATAAGTCTTTCTTGCATTTCATCTTCCAGCACTGGGATGCCATCTCTGAAGAGTCCAGTTTTTCTGGTGAAACCATGAATCGGTCACTGCCGCCCCCCATCTCCCCCAGTTCCATTTCCCAGAGCAGCCACCAGGAGTTCTCGGAGGAGATCAGCCGTCGGCTTCAGCTGGCCCCTGACACAGATGGAGAGGCCTCCAGCGCTTCTGTGGTATGGATGGTGCAGTAAACATTGAAATGCTCTGATGTTATGCCATAGTTAGTTTTCCTTTTTTTTTAATTGTGAAAAAATTAGGCTACAATTGGCATTTTAATTGTAGTTCCTTTAACACATGCATTTATATTTTGTGGGTCTTAAACTTAAGTACTGTATGTCTTTATAAACAGAAATTGTATACTGTATAGCACAGAGTAAATGGAGTTATTGTAAGTGAGAACTCCAGCACCACTGAAATAATGATAAAAGTGCAAAGCCATTTATGTTGGCATGTGGTTGAAAACTGAAGAGAATGGAGTCCCCCAGGTGGAAATTTTAAAGGTGGCGAGGCGAGGATGAACTTAAACTTTTCAATATAGCCTGATTTAAAGTTACAAAACAGTTGGCTCTTGATCTATTTGAATATGGGTCCTCGTGAGCCTTTTTTCTACTCCTACAGCAGAGCCTGCCATCATCCAGACTACGATCATCCAGCATGACAGATGGAGTCAGCGACCAGGCACAGCCCCCCCTGGAGGTAAAGAAATGCCTTGCCCCCACGAAATTTCTCAGCGCATTGTTTTGCCTGTCAATCAGCCTGCTTCCATCCTCACACATTCTAACATCTTCACACTATTTTTCGCGTCTTGATTAATTCCTGTTCGATGTTTTCGTGGCACAGTTGTCATGTTGATGCTGGTGTCTCTTTACTTTCCGAATCAACGCAGTGGATAGAGCTGGTGAGAGCTGGCAGGAGTCTGGAGGATAGAACTAAGTCATGTATGTGAAGGAATGGTGTTGCTGTACTGTAGGTGTTTATGACCTGCTGGATGATGTCTACATGCAGCGTTTGAACTCTGAGTGACAGATTGCTGGCTGGAAAGAGACGAATACAGGAATGGTTCAGGATTGCTGCCTGTATCTTGTGTTGAAGAAAATGCAGACTTCTCTAAATTAAGTAATACAGTTTATATAACCTGCAAAGGTCCATTATTCCTGGCAATTATTACAAAAACTATCTTTACATGTATGCCATAATATCCATGTTTTTCAGAATGGAAAAACTCTGATTATACTGTATATGTGTAGCAGGCTTCTACAAACTTTCTTTTGTTTATCTGTTAGTGGAGTGCTTTTCAGAAAACGCGCAGTCACTAATATGCTTCTACAAACTTGAGACACTGAGACACTATTATAATTCTGAATATCCAATATAAACAGATGCTAAAGATTGATACTGTGATCAAGATAAAAGTAACATTTGCCTTTAAATTGTTGAAAGGCTTTGTTTTTTTTTCTTCAAGGCAATTTGAGCCTGTCTTTTTGATTGAGACCAAATCAGTGAGATTGACAGAACCCCTATTGAGACAATTTGAAGTGACTATTATGTAACAAGTGTCCTAGAGCAAGAATCAGAAAGCTCTGTTAGAGAGCGATTTATTTGGTTATTTACATTCTTGTCTATTGAATCGTAACATGCTTTATAGTGATTTTTACATATTACTTGATTATAATTGCATGTGCAGTTAATTTGAAATACAGTGGATACTAAAAATACAAATTACCTACAGTATGTACAGTAACTCCTCTAGGATACTTTATAAGTCCACGTTATTGTTAAAATCTTAATGTAGACAAAAAAGTATTTAAAGAAATTTGCATGACCACTTATGTTGCAAAGTACTTTTGTACTTTGAGTGTTGTTAGTCATTTTGACATTATATTAAATTCATATACGCATATTGAAGTCTCCTGTTAGATGCAATTTAAACACAAGTGTAAGCTACCTTGTTATCTGAAGATAATATATTTATAGCAAGTTTACATTGCTAAAAAATACAGTATTGAAAAATAATCATAAAGGAATTATAAGAGCCCTCTTAAAACATATTAACTCCATGCTGAAAAGAGAAGGAAATAAACACAATGTTTCAGCTGTGGAGCCTTCTTCGGGTGTGGTTGAAAGGCTTTGTTTGTTGCATATACCCAAAGAAAGCTACTCATCTGAAATGTTGAGTATCTTCTCTTTTCAACATGAAATGAACCTTTACTTGTTCCTTTGCAGCCTACACATGCTGGCATAGCCACCTACTTGAACTATTTTTTAATTCTACTTATGTTATATGTATTAACTTCAAGATAGCACAAGAGAAACAACAGGTCTGAAAGGGTATTTTGATCAGTTTAATGTGCTGGAAATAATGTTTGAAAATAGATGGAGAAAATGGATAACTGAAGACATTGATAATGTTTAGCTAGGTGAGGGTCTAATATACATTTGCAGTAGTGTGTAAACTGGTATAGCAAAATCTGTATAATATTTTATAAAACAATATAAAGAAGTTACACAACTAATCTTCATGTCATCAATTAGAGCAGTGGTACTGTTCCTAGAGTGCCCATGTATTTGTTGTTTTTTTATTCTAACTGGTTCCTTATTCACCAGTGCAAGTTGGTACCTTAGAATCTACAGTACGATGGTACATTTAAGAAATAGCATTTTCTTTTAACTTATTTTTAATTCTTTTGATCACATTAATCATTTGAAAATTTCCATTTATTTTGATGTTTGCTGCAGATGTATTTGATTAGTGCGATAATTGATTTCTGCTACTCTCAACGTGAAAACTACATACCATGTGCTATGTTCTTTTGCTTAAAAAAATTGTTGGCTTCGTCAAAAGATCTCTATTTGAGCCTTGCCTGTTTCCTTTTTCCATGTATGTAAAATCATTATGCATTCACTGCTTTTTTTTAAATCATTGCACTCAATTGCTCAATCAAACCCTGCAGTCCTGTCGCTCAGAGTGATTCCTCCAGTAAGCTAATGTTGTGCTTCATTCTAAAGAGCCATTATCATTTACCTGCAGAGCTCCCAGTCCAGGAGAACCCGAGCTCAAACTGTCAGTGGTGTTGAAGAGCCGATGGTAATGTGATTTACACATGGTTACTTACAAAATACTTTTTATTGTCATGAAATATCATTCATTAGGGATTATGTTCATTTGTACTGCCTCAAACATATTTACTGACACCATCTCTCTCCAGCAATATCCTCTAATTGGTTAAATTTGTGATTGTTAAAACCACACTTACTTAACAAGCACATCCCTCCGATGCGCCTTAAGTACAATACTACTGAACAACTTCAAACTAGTCCCTGAAAGCAGTCTCTGTAATGGAGTAAGCTACCATATGCTATAACTTTATTCTATAATATTGCTTTGCAGGATACAATAAACTTTGAAGAAAGTGTCACAGCACATCAAAGTTAGTGGCAGAACAGCACAGTATAAAACTCAGTAGGATCTACAGCTGTAGTTCCACGTGTGTTTTAAATCCAAATAATACATAATCCCCAAAAAAGCCAACTGAAATATGCAGCATCAGCCTAGAGAAAATTCTAACTTCTTTAATTTCCCAAACATTTTTAGTTTATTGCAGAAAAGAAAAGATGGTGTGGTAGCTAGCATCGTAGCCTTACACCATCATAGACTTGGGGTTGATTCCAGTCTTTGGTCCTGTTGCGTTTGTCTTTGGGGGTTATACATTGGGTGGTCCAGTATCCTATTGCAGGTTAAAACATGCAGGTGATTTTTGATTGGTTACTGTAAAAATCCCCTTGGTGTTTGATCCCTTGTCCCCATCAAGAACACAGTTACACACCCCACCTCATTGCTTGTCCATTTCCTGAGTTAGGGGACTTGAATTTTCAATACGGTTTACACTCTTGCTTATCTTTCATTGAAACAGTTTTCTTTGTGAATTTTCCCATTCAAATAAACAAACTTGGATTGCTGTTTTGGCATTTTCCAGGCAAATACTATTGAAACATACTTCATGAGAAAAAAGGCATTGCTTTGATAACCTGCTGTTTAAATACTGTTCGAATTAACAAAGCTGTATGTTAACACATACAGTATGCAGTATTCTGTAAATTGCGTGGTTAAAAAAATCATAATACTGTTGTTATCTGTATTAGTATTAGTATTTTAGAAAACCAAAATATCTTATTGACAAATTTGAGCAATGTAATATTTAGTCCCATGATCATATAATCTTTGTTGGTTTTATCAGTGGAGTCATAATTTATGACGCATTGCCTTGTGTAATTTAGTTTTTTGTAAAATGGGAGACGTGTTTCTTCTGGCATTTACTGTTTGTACAGTATAAGATGGATTACAATTTTGTGAAGTTTAACACTTTAACTGGTCCCTTCAATAAGCAGTACTGTATCAAGCTCATGAATTACAGAAATTGATCCCACTCTAAGTATCTACTGTAGCTCAAAGCAATGTGATTGGAATAATTTATTAACACAAATGTATAAAAATATATTTATCCATCTATACGCACCTTATGATGACCAGTATCTACAACTTTGCAGATTTTCAGATTTGAAAGGAGAAACTGAAATTCCCTTCGAATTCATAATTACTGTTTAACTTTTGCAAAAGATGCCTTTTTGTGTTATAATGTTTAAACACATTTTTTTTACAGATTAGATTTCTTCTTGCTCCAAGTTGTGACTCATGTTTAAGCCCTGTCTCATGTAAAACCTCACCAAACATGACTTAGTTCAGCAAACAGAAGATTAACAGCTCCTGCTTTTTATCTCATTAACATTACAGTGAATTCTTTGACAAAAATCCCATAACAGATGAATTGGGATAGCTAAAATGTGATGTGCTTCTTGCTTATGCTTGAATGTAATATCTTTCTTTCAGGTTTCTTCAATTAATACTTCTCATTTTCAGAGCAGTGACTTGATTTTTATGCCAGTGTACTGCTATTCTTGTCTAAAAATTCATTCTTAGGAAAAGCAGGGCTGTACATATTAAATAAATTGATTATTTTAATCTATTCTGGGAAATGTTCATTGGAGGTACAGTACTGTAACGGTTTATTAGGTGCTTGTCTGTCCTATTCTAAAAAACACCGGCTCTTGATAAGAGTAACGAATATTACGTAGGATTACAGACAACAAAAGATTTAAAAATGATGTCCTAGAAGTCTTCCACCAGAAGCAGGGTTTTATCCCTCCATGATTGTTCTTGGGAATTCCACATGGGTTTTGTTCTGTCAGCAAATTCCCTCTTGTCCCCAGCCTCGCCAGCAGACAGTCGGAAAAAAATGTTTTCAAGTGCAGGAATGTAATTCTTTATCTGCCAAGGTCTGCCTTTGTGGGTTCCTTGCAGAAAGCAGTGAAAGCAACATTTAATGTTACTTTGGACTCAGGTGCAACCCCATCTGGTTATTAAACTTGACTTTCACACATCTTTCGCGCAAGCAGTCTGCCTCCACCGCCTATGTCCACACTACACCTGGACTGCCTGCAGGATGGGAAGAGAGGAAAGACGCCAAGGGACGAACCTATTATGTCAACCATAATAATCGCACAACAACATGGACTCGGCCTATCATCCAGGTATGAAGACCCATTGTCAGGCCACACTGAATCCTGCCTGCTCAGTCATCTCTTTTTTCCCCCTATTCATGTTTTTTAAAATGCACTAAAATCTATTTCACAATAAAGTCTTTTTTAATAATTGAAGAAAAAGTAGATACCATTTTGTGAAAGTTGCATCTCTTGAAGTGTAGGTAATGATATTTTAAAGCACTTTCTGAACTTGACACTTGAAGAAATGTAATACCATTGAATATTAAGAATATTAAGAATACCATTGATAGCTTAAGAAAAGGGAAATCTGTTGAGGTTTAAAATCAAGATGAAGTACACTTTGTTTTATTACGTTACTTCATTTTCCATCATTCCGTCGTGAGTTATCTGAATCAGACATTCTTCTCGTGTTTGATAGACTAGTTTCAGCATGACAGTCATTGTAAGTATATCAAAACAGTGAATGTCACCCTCAGTGGAATTCACTTGTGTATTTGTAGCAAAAGAGATTATCTCACAGTGGCAGAATAATGTTCAAAAACACTGGCAATTCCAAATCAGATATACTTTAAAGAAAAACAACCTTCTTTTAAGTGCTCATAAAACAGAATTATTTGATTCTCTGAATCTTCTTTATATTAAGCCTTTAACATGAGCCCATTAAGCCTATGTGCCTCAAATAAATGGAACTCAAAACATTGTTTAGTCCAGTTGATTTATGGAGAAATTTTAGTTTGCAGATTGCCATATGCACTGTTTTCCATCATCATCAGTTCAGCAAAAAAAAAACTTGCAAATGAAGGCATTAAACACTGGGGATCGCTCTTGGCAATCGATGGCTTTCTGTAAAGGTTTCTCCTGTGTTAATTGCTTTCTGGCAGGTTAAAATAGGTTTAAATGGTTTAATTAGAAGAAATCCATTTAAAGCAGAATTAGTCCTACTCTTAAGGATTTCTTTTGCTCTTTTCATTGTCATTTACGCTTCTTTTGTGCCTTCTCTTTGCTTCTGTCAGCTGATAAAAATATTTAAAAATAACCAATAACAAGGGCTAAGAGAATCTTTATATGAGGATTAGTTTTGAAGAGAAATTCAAATTATTTTTGCAATAAACAGGTTGATACTTGTGAACACCAGACAGAAGAAGCACTTGTTCATAGATGCTGCCTATCCAACCTCAACCCATCTTCATGAATTCAAAGAATTGCCTGATGCACCATCTAAAAGCTCTCTTTTCACAATAGCACACAGAAGATGGGGCCAGCAGCTCCTCCACGAGCCTCAGCGGCCACTTAAGTGAGCCACAGCTCAGACGACCCCGCAGTCTCAGCTCTCCCACAGTCACATTGTCAACCCCGATTGAGGTGAGAGCTGCCCCTCATTGCACCAAGACTCTCCTTCCTGCTCTGACATCCCCATCTGCTCCCGCACTTCTCTGTTCCAGAATGTTCAATGAACTTCCTTGATCTTCACTGTATTCCTCTTCAGCCATCACGGCGCTATCAGTCTTCTCTTTACTCCTCTGTCCGTCACTCTTCCTTCTTTCACTTGTCAACCTTTTCTCCATCCTGCATTCTTTTCATGGCAACCCTTAAGTACAGCAGTTTTGTCTTGTGCTGTGTTGTGAACACTGGCGTCAATGCGAGCCATCAGGTGAAATACTACCACAAGTCAAATTCTAATTCTTTCACTCGCCTGGCTGTGAGTGGCATTGGGTCACATACTGTACCACTCACTTCATTGGTTATGCAACTCTATGGGATTCTTTAAAGTTCAAGGATTGATTCATTACTTCAGTCAATCTAGGACAGGATTCACCTGAGCTAATGGTCTGGATGGCCTTCTGTTCTTTGTAACCTTTCAAATGTTCTTACTGTATGTGCAAAGCGTTTATGTACTTCCCTGTTCCTAGTCTGTCACTACCACTGGTTATGGAGATCCACATGAACATGTCATGAGGGTGATTATGTAGTAACAGGCTAGTGCTGCATATGAATCTTAACAAATAAAGCAAAAAGACACGATTCTTTCTGCTGAATTCACTTGTTTGCTGAAAGAGGACATGGCTTTAATGTCTGTCTTGTGTAATTTTAATTAATGACAAATGATACATTGTTTGAATGTGATGCTGTAAAACCCTTGCCATAAAAAATGGTTTTGTTTCACCATTTGTCAAATTAATGTTTAACAGTTATGATTCTTTGGCAGAAAATAGTTTAATCTTTAAAAAGCTGATCTGCATTTTAAATGGGGAAAAGGCAGTTTAGTTGAATTAGATGAAAAATTAAAATATAATTTACAGTTATAATATTGTATTTTTCCATCCTTTTAACTGTATCTTCCTTCAGTTATTTAACTTTTATATTTATCTGTCATTTGTTACAGATCTTAAATTAGGCTTTTGTCGAAGGGGTTTTCAATTAGTTTAAATATCAGGCTCAACTTTCCATATCTAAATGCACTCTTGATTTCAGAATGTTTTCTCTTAAGGTCAGTAGTTTTGAGAAGTGGTTAGTGTTACGGACTCATAATTGGAATGGTGTAGGTTTAAATCAGAGGTAGGACTCTTTTGCTGTACCCTTATTCAAGGTACTTTATGCAAATTGTTCCAGCAACTACCCAGCTGTATAAATGGGTTCAAGTATATGTTGCTTTGCATAAGTGTCAGCCACATTCTGTATACAGTATACTGTATGCAGAATAATCAAGTGAACTGGAAGGGGTATCTCAATGGCTGGATTTTATCAATATTCCTACAGTGTAACTTTATCAAAAATTAATTACCAGAGATCATGAGCTCTTTTTGGTAGTAATGAAGTTGACGCCAGGCCAAGGTACATAGTTCTACTTACTTCCCTGATTCAGGGCATTCATTACCTCTTTGTAACCTGGTCAATACTGAGATGGGAGACCGCCGAGGAAAAACAAATTGCTGTTTTTTTTGGAGCAGAATTCCCAAAACCTGTGTCCCAGTTTTGAAACAGTTTCTAATTTCTCTATCTGATCTACTGTATAGTAGGGCAGCTGGGGCCTAATGGCAGTTGTATGTCATCTAGTTGGGTGCTGCACATCAGTGGTACAATAAAAGGAATTTGGAATGGGTTCTTTTCTCACGTGTTAGATTTTATGTAATGGGTAAAAAAATCTTTGAAGGTCATTTCATTTTCTCCTTATGGTTTTTGCTTGTGTGTGTTGCTGATTTTTTAAGAAGGTACCTGTGAAAATGCACTCATTATGCAGTATACTACCTTCTGTACTTAAATAACTAAAACTGTATTTAATTGTATTATATGCTCCAAATCATGAATTTCACATATTCATCTGCAAGCCTTTTTTTTGGGGGGGAATCTGTTAAATAGGATACAATCAAATATCACACTACATTTTTTACCTCTCTTTTGTGGCTTTGTTGATGCATGGGTGGAAATATGAATTAAGCGTATTAGATTATATCAAAAGATTAAGAATATAATCATTCTGAATATTATGGAAGCAATAGAATTTAAGCAGGATGCAGTTCTGGTTGAACACTTGATTTGGTGTCTAGTTGTCCATAGCACCTTGTTTAACTTGTTTCTTGTATTATCACCTTTTAACATCCTTTCAGGGTGAGTGAGTAATCTGAGAATTTTGAGTTATTTTCAGCACCTGAGATATGTTGGTTATCTCCAATCTCAGTTACTGATGTGGAAAACAAAACACCTTTTGCTGACATGAGTATCATCCAGCTCACTGATTTCTGGAATTGATGAATTGTAAGATTTGAAACTTTGATTCTCTGAAATGAGCCATAGTCCAGTGGTCCAGGTTCACTGATGCTGCAGGTGCCCTAATACAGTACATCAAGATATGTGGTGGCATGGTGCAGGCTATTTTAAAGAGGGGATTTTCTTTAGTCAAACAAAAATCAAACATCCCAGTCTTGTCTTTCACTTGCAGGTGAACTGTAACTGTTGCACAACTCTGCAAAATAGCATACGGATGTTCTCTTCTGCCATATTCCAACAGGTCTTATGTTGTTGTTTGAATTGTTGTTGATTTCATGCATTTGACTTCTCGGGACCTGAAAAAAAAATACTGTCATCTAAATGATCATAACATTAAATCAAGACCATTATCATGGCCTAGGGATTGTGAAAAAAACAAAGAGGCATGTGAAAAGAGGAGACTGTGATCTGTGCAGACTGCCAAATGAAGCTTAATCTGGGAAATTACTGTAATTGCATTATGATGCACCAGTTAAGGTTATGATTTTATTAAGAGTGTTGTGTCTCCTTGAGACCAAATTAAATATACTATATGAATAGTTTTATTTTCAATTAAAATAAACACTTATACAGTTATACAAGTTATACATATGATTAGCATCCCCAAAAATGTCCATTTGTTTGTATGTACTGTATCACTGTTCTGATATACTGTAAGTATCCTTAGGTACTACAATACTGAAGGTACAGTACATATATATTTTGGATCTTTTAGAAGCAATTTGTGCAAGTGTTTAATAAGCACATCCCCGCTTTGAGAGTGTGGTTTGTACTGATTAGCTCTTGTTAGTTGCTAATTCTGACATAGGCAATATTTAATGACTGAGATGATGCATCATTTAATTAAATACTAGTGTCTCATCTTTATTATCCATCTGTTCAGCCTTGTAGCCATTCCCTCCTACGGTAGGTCAAATAAGTGAACTGGCCTTTCCAAAAATCTTTTGAATCAGTTGAAGTGTGTGGGATTTTGTTTTGTTTTTCTCTTTGAACTCATAGATCCTGTTTAGGGAGGCGGGGGGGATAACCAGGTGTTTGAAATAGGCTGAATATCTGCAGTGACTCTTGGCATCACCTAAGTAAAACGTGCTTAGCAGCTGTTGCCTGTATCAGTTGAGGCATGTTCTTGACTGACTGCACCATTCACAAACTTGATCTTTAACTGGCACTGCAAAAAATTGCTTTGTAAGCCTTTGAGTACAGCGCTGGCATTCACTGGTTCTCTCCATGCTTTCAGGCACAGGCCTGTCCATGTATTATGTCCATAACATGAAAATTGTTAAAAGAGGTATTTTATGCCTTAATCTGATATCTTCTTAATGGATTTAGCTCATATGTGTATAATCTTCAGCAAGCCTTACTTCTCATAGGATTCCTTAAGGTGAAATACTGTACGGACAGTTGATATGGGGATGTACAGCATACTGTATGTGCTTCACAACGACCTAAATTACTTCCTACGAAACTTCCTGACTAATGTCTTTTTATATACCTTTTTTTCTGTAAAGGTAGCAGCCCTTAGATTTCTGTTTCTGTCCTCTTCATGCCTTTAAAGCTTTTATTAGCATTGTTTAAATCAGGTCTTCCTCTTAAATCATGTATGTAATGATGATTGAACAGTCTGTTATTTTGAAAGTACTGGAAAGCATTTCCTCAAAAACAAATGACTTTGATGTACGAAGGCTGTACTGTAGGTTCTACAGGATACAATAGAAAGGTACCCCATTGGAACTCCTGCCAGAGCAAAACATAGGAAATAGCAAAAATGTGCAGTATTTCAATTTCATTTTGAAACAACAGGACATTTGGCAGTCCTGTTAGGGGATTATTGATCCAGCTGCTCAATGAAAGAGGCTGGGCTATCAGATTCAAGCTACCCAGTCATGTTGTCAAAGAAGATACTCTAGCTTCCTTCAGGAAATGGCAATATGAATATTGTAACTATTCTTAAGTTATTGTATTGGTAATGCGGAGCAAGGATCTAGAGAAGGAAATTAAATGGTCAATCTTTTGTGATGATGCATATGATCTATTACTTTTAGAGCAGCTATGCATGTGAAATGCATGGCAGAGTTAATGCTTGATTTGAAAAGGTATTTGAAGGACGTTCTGTGTAGATTTCTTGAGTTAACCCTCTGTGTGTTTAGAGCTACTTATTCTGAATAGGTGATGCACAGTAATTCATTGTCAGTATGAAACAATTGCTACCCAGATATTTCATGTGGCACAGGATATATTCACAAGATATTATTAGTATTCTGCTGTATGTTGCTAATAGAGATGTCAGGATGTAATCATGTAAACTGTAAAAGTCCTGTGTGGTTACATTATTGGTTAAATTACTACAATAGCAGGATGTACAGTATGTCTGGTAATACTCTACAATAGAAACTAACACTTAAACACTGGGAATTAATTTGCCACTGTGAATTATCAGCACAAATAAAGCATTAATATGGATGTTTCTAGTACAATACAATCACATTTATTATGGATTGGTAATCACACTGACAGTATTATATCAATTACAGGGTTGTCTGTAGTTGTGAACTATTATCATCCAATTTTTTACATCTTTGTGGATCTTTAATTAGTTTTTTTTTCTCAGTTACAAACCCATTTTCTAAAAAATAGCATTTTATGCTATTTTTCTGATGTTGTAAACATTGTTTTCAGATATTGAAGCCTGTGTTAATCAACTTAAACAGTTTCTTTAACACGATAAATGTTAGGGTTTAAAAATTGATGTTTTCACTTTTCTTTTAAAGCTCTACTTCAGTTTACTTGTTTAGTGTATCTGCAGTATCACATTTGCTTTGCCATGACCATTTGCATTCTAACAGATATGTGAGGTCTATTGTGAGTACTGTATTTTTTAAGTGTTCAAAATAATGGTTTTTAGTGTTGTGTCCTTCCATGCCTGGGTAACAAGGAGGAGATTAAGCTCATATTCATGCAGAGAAGTACAGTACCTAGAACAAACCACAGATGTGAATGATGGACATTTGGAATTCAGCCTAAAAAGATTAATAGAACACAAATATATCTGAGGTCAATTACAAGGGGATTAAAATAGAACATGCGATGTTTTTGTAAATAATTGGGTATGTTTTAGCATATAGTATAGGGGGGCCCTCTGCATAGCACAAACAGTAAAAACTCAGAGTGTGAAATGGACCCGTGGCACAGACGCAGACAATTAGAGCCCTAGTTACTGTATGTTACTAGACAGGTGACAACTGCATGGAGTGATGGTCAGTCAGGATCCTCTCAGCTTAATGCATAGCATTGAATTTTTGACTCACTGAGTACACCAGTACCTCTTTTTACGAACATAATTTGTTCCCAGAAACCCTTTCGTATAGAAAAATTTGTAAAACGAGAAACCTATTTCCATGATTTCTTATGGGGAAAAATCATGATCCGATACAGATCCCCAAAATAATTTTTCACCAAAACACGACAAAGGAAACTATAATAATTAACATTCATACTGTGGTTTCCGTTTTTAATATTAAAAAAAGCTGCTTACCTAGTTAGACATTATTAATCATACTTGAGTACAGTACAGTTCTGTACTATACAGTAAGCACTTCATTTGCTTTTGTGTAATTACATCCACACACTCACATTTTTCATTTTCTTTAGTGTTCATGTTAAAGTCTAAACCACAAATGTTCTTACACGAAAAGTAAAAGCACACACAATAGCGAACACGCGAAGCTGCAAATTGTACCACTTGTGTCTCTTGTGCCACTCTGCAGGCTCTGTGTTAGCTGTCATCCATACTAGTTAGTGGAATGTGATGCATACACTAAATATAAAACGAGTTGTACTGTATGGCACCTTTCTCGTCTCTCTCTACACTTGGCAGAGGTTGATACATTTTTCTTTGTATCTCTTCTTCATGGTTTCGAAGTTGGCTTTTGTTATTTGAAATGTGGGTAAGAAGTCGCCTGCTTCATAGTATTGAATTTTCATTCGTAAAATGAGGTACAGTATGGGTGTACCTGCAAGCTTGAGGAGACAGTCCTGTGTCCAGTCTCTTCTGTACTATGCAGAGGGTCAAACACAGGAGAATGTCTGCAGGTCCTCATTCTTCCTATGCTATACTGGAGCTATAGATAATACCTAACAATTTGGTTATTCTGAATTAGTTGGGTGTGGAATTAAAAAAAAAACATTGCCAAGTACAAATAAAAAAAACAAACCGTTATTACATTGGTAGCTCATTGAAATGAAAGGATATACCACGTAATGAGAGGATTTATTTGAATGTTTTATTTTGTCATTTGAAGCTCTTGTATTCTTGGAGATTCTTTCAAAATTCTATTACTTCTTTTTATCTAAAGATAATGATCACTTACATATCAAGTTTTATTATGTTTGTACTTTTCAAAGAGACTCCCATTTCATGGATGGGTCACCTGCCAGTTTATGGAATTAAGTGCAATTAGCAATACTCTTTGACTTCCCTTCTCTGTTGTCCTTGCAAGTTATTACTGTATAGGTCAGCAACAAAAGACGCACCCTTTACCAAGTGTTTTTGTATATGCTACCAGAAATGCTTTCCAAAACAGGTTGGTTGAAAAATAGTGGTGATGGATAATGTTTATTTTTACCTTCAAAGCCAGAAACAATAAGTGCAAGCTAAGCAAATTGCTAATGTGATTTGCCGGTTTTGACCACCATGTCAATAACTTTATTGCTGTTCTGGTGTCTCAGGGCGCCAACAACGTACAGGTGCGGCGGGCTGTGAAAGACACCTTTTCCAACCCACAGTCCCCCCAGCCCTCACCGTACAGCTCCCCCAAACCTCAGCACAAGACCGCCCAGAGCTTCCTGCCCCCTGGCTGGGAGATGAGGATAGCCCCAAATGGGAGGCCCTTCTTCATCGATCACAATACAAGAACCACTACATGGGTAAGGTGCCCTGATTTAATTCCATTTAAAGCATGACAACGTAAATGTGGAGACATGTCTTCATTTGAAAAATGTGATGTTCACAGTTGCACAGAACCACTGGTTCTCAGTAGTAGTATATAATAGTAGAATTATGTTGGCCTAATTGGAAATTTGTGTCCTAGATGTGTTCTGCTTAGGTCTTCCAGTGTGATACCTTTTCCTTTTTGTGTGTGTATTGCATTGTGGACAGAAAGTAAAAAAAAATTGTAGATGCTTATCATAAACTACAGGGTAAGGTTCATATTTCAATTCTAATTTTTAAAAATACACTTCCTCTGATTCTTCCAAGTTAGCTGAATGCCAAAAGTTGTAGCTGAATGAAGAACAATTTCATAGTAAAGATTAGGATGTTAATTGTTTTTTTTTTGAAGCCTTAATACTCCATTAAATGGGAAGTGCTGAAATGTTACCTCACTGTGGCCAAACAAATACCTTGTTAGTTTTGAGTGTCAGTGCCCTTTATTAGTGTTTTCTGCTTTGTCTTTGATTAACAGAATAACTGTTGGCCCTGATTTTTTTTTGTTTTAAGGTTGTATTTGCTTTCTTCATAAACAAATCTGCAGATATAGTTATAAAGCATTGTCTGCATGCCAAGAGTAATGATTTAATTTATTCTTAAGGTTTTAAGAATACTGTTAGGACATCTGGTGCTGAGAAGTTACATGGCAGTTTTTTCTTCTGTAATCGTGTTTACACTCTGACTGTGCACACCATGCATAGCCTTTCACATTGTGTTATTAAAAAGAATCACTCTTTGGCACGTAAGCAATCAAGGCTCTGCAGGGCAGAACACTTAGAAATTCCATTCAGGCAATAAACTAGCAGCTAGGGCTTGAAGTATATTACAAACATATAATTTACAGCTAATAAAGAAGCTAGTGTCCATACATTTTTTTCTCTGCTGTCTTGCATCACACTAAAAGGCATTTTTTTGCAAATAAACAGTTTGACTATTAGTACAAAACTGTGACTTTAAGGAAGGAAGCACATGCAGAGCAAGCAGTGCCAAAAATCAACATGAGGCTGAAAAAATCCTGTCACGGCAGTTGCCTGCTGGTATTTGAGGATAGAACTGCAGTGTTAAGCATATTTTGTTGAGAGATGTGCTGCTCAATAACAGTGGGTTAAATAAAATCTGCTTTATTCCTTCTGATGGTTCTTATTTAGATTCTCTTGTTTTTTGTTATCTATTTTTGCTTGTTTTCTGTTTTTCGGGTATCTGGTAAAAATAAATTGACCGGCTTTTGTGGGGTATTTGCAGCATAAAGGCATTAGAAACTTGATGTTTACCTGAATGGTGACACATCATGGTGTTACTGTATATGAAACACACAGGCTTCAGTTTGTCTGTTGATCCATCAATGGTTATAGTAGAACAGCTTTAAAAATGCTGTTTAATTAAACATATGAATCCTGCTGATGTTGATGCATTTTATTACATTGCCTTGTACATTCAACACTTTCTTAAAATTCACTCATGTATTTTTTAACGTTACTGTATGAAACATGTGGCTCTGTGGCTAAGGATCTGTGCCTGTGACTGGAAGGCTGCCAGTTTGTGTCCCACAGCCGGCAGAGGAATCCTACTCCGTTTGGCCCTTGAGCAAGGCCCTTAACCCCGACTGCTCCAGGGGTGCCGTATAAATGGCTGACCCTGCGCAGTGACTCCAAGCTTCTCTCCCTGTCTGTGTCTGTGTGTTTCATGGAGAGCAAATTGGGGTATTCTAAAAGACAAATTCCTCATACAAGAAATTATATATGGCCAATAAAGTGATCTTCTCTTATTGTTAAAGCTCTCAGCAAAACCTTTTTTTTCTTCTCTTTGCAGGATTTCTAGCCTTAAAATAACATAGATTTGTTTGATTGGGAGGATTGTTCATTGATTAAAGTTCACTGCAGACTGACTATGTTGGATAAAAGATAAATCTTACAGAATATAATTTTGTTTTATAGGAAGATCCACGCTTGAAGTACCCAGTTCACATGAGGACGAAAGCATCTTTAGATCCGAGTGACTTAGGGCCTCTTCCTGTAAGCATATGCATCATATGTGACATTAAACTATTGCCCCTTAAGGACCAGTAAAATCACTCTTATTTGAAATGTGTTCATCTTTTCAACTATATTTAGGTACCTTATTTTCAAAGTCTAATGTAAGATTAAAAATTAATTTTCATCTATTATTAATTAGTTAATTTTCAGAGTAAATTCTGAATTCCACCCTTCCCTGTTACATGTCCACATCCAGCATCCAGTTTAAAAATTACACAAAACAAAGATAGAGGTACTGTACTGATGCAGCTTGAGATCATTGTTACACAAAGTATCTTCTAGGTGTTTCGCTAGAGACAGCAAAGATTTTGTAGCAACAAAATAGCTTAATAAATTAATGTGTAGTATTCTAAACATTCAGTGCAAGGATTGCTCAATTATGACTAAGAAGGTACCACTGATTACAGCATACTGGGACTTGTCTTGTTCCTGGGGCAAAGTGTAAAGCAGAGACTACAGTAGGTCATATTCTGCCTGTTAATGATACTGTATTTTTTAGTAATCTTGCTTAGGAGATATTTGGATGTGGGATATTTAGGGTTCAAGGTCTGATATTTCCCTTGTTGACTGATAAACATTGAACATAGTTAGCATGACATAATTTTCTTATCATAGACAAGAAGAAAACCCCCGTAGAACCTGAGGAAGAATGTTCAACAATTTTGAATTTAATTAGAGAGAAAACAAAAAAAACATTGTATTGCTTTTATGCAAGTAGTTTCCTTTGATATCCTCTCTGAATAATTGCTTGTCTTCAAATCCCAGTGTGTTAGCATTCTGTTATTGCCAGTGCCTCAGATTGTGGGCACTAGAGTTCAACAAGAGTTGAACCTCTTGATAAGTGTCTGTCATTCATTTCCAATTGAAGTGTACTCTGGATTTTGAAATACACAATATCTCCTGGTCCTTAAAGGGTAGAGAGAAGTAAAGTGGCCTTGGGATTCGCAGTTAGGCATTTATAATAGCTTGCTAACAGATTACAGAAATACATTTCTTCTTATCTAGGCTTCATCTAAAACCAAAATCCATGAACACAGTTTTATAAAACCTTTCTTTTTACATTGAGTTTTTTATATAAAGGGAGATATACATTTGTGTGACATCTTTTATCAGCTCAAGCCTGTGAATGTGCTGAAAAATCATGAATGTCACTATGGCAACTACTGAAAACACCAGTAACCATCATCAACTGGTTTGCTGCAATTACCTATTATTGGTAGTAATAGTAGTAATGGTAAAAATTAAGAAGTTTATTTTCCATCAACTGTTGATTAGCAATGAGTACCAAATTAAGACTACATCTTACATTTAAGATAAAATGGTGTCTGTGGATATATAAAATAATGTAAATTGTAAATGTACCTTCGGCCAAATCAGCCTTTTTTCCATTTTAAACCCAAAACATTTTAAAAACTAGTCAAAGGATACACCATTTTTGTATTATGTTGAGCATTTTTAAGCTTCAGTTAATGATAGCACTATCCCATAAAACATTACTATATTGTTAATGACTCATGGGCTGTAATAGCTGCTGAAGGAGGATATACTGCTTTAATCTCATTCATTATTCTATAAGATTTATTGCCTACTATATGCTGTATACTGTGGAGATGATGTTTTTACACTCCAGCTGTTCTGTTATCAAGCATTAGCAATGCTTAATACATGCCTAACTGGGGACTTCACCTGAACCTTCAACATTTACATTGTTTGTATCTTTAACACCTTTTAAACAAGTCTTGGTCATATACATTGAGCCAGTGGTGTCCTGTTGTTCATTTATTTGTTTTTATTTCATGGAGTGGGACGTCTAATGCACTGTATCTTTTGGCAGAAACTGCTAGAAGAGGTTGGTGCAAACGCAAGTGCAGGAGGCCCCCTATCCATCACTGCTTGCTAAATGCCTAATGAGTGCAGTCTCATAACTGGCATGGAATGTCTCCCCTTGCTGTTTTTGGCCCATTCATTGGATGTCCACCAAAACCACTTGCTGCAAAGCTTTAATTTGTTCAGTATCTTGAACATTGTCTTATCAAAATATTCAGAACATTATTGACATCCAGGCTTAATTTGTGCTGCCCTAAAGAGCTAGTCACCAGTGTGAAATACTTGCTGTGTGCTGCATGTGTGTGCCACCATCTAAACACACCTATTAGACAAGGTCTTGCGCCTCAAGATGTCCAATATCCTGTCACACTGTGGATTGTCTTGCCAATGTGCCAATGAGTGTGGATTCTTAAACTAATCTGTTCCATGTTGGGCAATCAACATGTATTAATCTCTATTCTATCATTTCTGTGCTTGTTGACCCCTTTTTGTTTTGCTAATATAACAAATCTGAATGTACTTCTCTTTTGTGCTAGCCTGGCTGGGAAGAAAGAGTTCATGCAGATGGAAGGACTTTCTACATAGACCATAGTAAGTGCACGTGCATATCCAATACGGGATCACGGGGGTGGAGTCTATCCTGCCGAGCGATGAGCACAACATGCAATGATGGGATGCCAGTCCCATCACAGGGCACATACAGACACAGACATGCACACAGTTACACTTAGGCCAGTTTTCCCACAAGATAATTAGCTTACAGTGTCGGTATGTCTTTGGACTGTGGGAGGAAACTGGAGCACCCAAAGGAAACCCATGTGCACATGAGGAGAACATACACCACTCAGACAGCACCTTGTGAATTTAACCCAGGGCCCCAGCTCTGCGAGGCAGCAACACAAACCACTGCACCACCATGCCGCTCGCCATTAGCATATTACTCACAGAAAAGAAGATACTGTAGATTTTAGGATTTACAATTGCAGTCTGATTGAAGGAGGTGCTGCAAGGTGGTCGGAGAACGTGCAGTTCTTATTTTCAGAGGTAGATAATTTCCTTATCTGGTCACAGAAGCTCAAAACCTGTAGACACACCAGTTCTCCAGGGCCAGGATTGAGAACACCTGTTCTATAAGGAGGATGATATAAAGTTGACCAGTATGAGTGATGGCAGGATGATGTGAAACAAAAGGCAAACTACGTATATTTCTTTCACTGACATATTTGAAAAGAAAACAGTTACGATTAAAAGATGAGCATTTATATCAGCATATTTTACATTTGTATGTCACTTATGAACACGATGTGCAGTGCCACTGAGCACCACATACACATTCTGCTTTACACAAAACCACCGACAATTATTTGGTTTTCTTCTAATGAACCAGTGCTGGTCACTGCTAATTTGAAAAGCAAGAAAAAATATACAATAAGAGTAAATATGTATGGTAAGGGAATTATTTTCAATATAATTAGTAAAGTTTTTCACCCTGCTGTATTTTACACATTTTTCTTAATGTTTTTCAGACACTAAAAATACACAGTGGGAGGACCCCAGACTCCAGAACCCAGCTATCACTGGCCCAGTAAGTAACTTGGGTTTAACTTACAGTTTTATTCTGTAGATGACGATTCTGTTGTGAAATTTTACTACTAAAGCAGAATGTTTTTCATGATAGATGCAATTTTACTTTCAGAAACATTTGTCCTCTTTGATACTGTTGAAGTGTGTTTTATTTTTATTTTTTTCCTGACCTTCTGTTTTTGCTTTTTTCTTTACAGGCTGTTCCATATTCCAGAGAATTTAAACAGAAGTATGACTACTTTAGGAAGAAATTAAAGAAACCAGTAAGAGACTTCTCTGTTACATCTCTGCTACCTCTCTGATACAGATATTTAACAATTCACCAGCAGTCCCGAAGGTTATTTATGTCACCCTTATATCAATAATTACCACACACTTGGAACACCTTCATCTTGACCACCTAATTAGATTTTTTACTAAATTTCAAGTCTTAACTGATTGCTGATTAATGGTTGACCTACAAGCCATGTTGGCCATATTTTAACACAATTACTCCTCAACAGATCAAAGTCCTTAAAACCTCTTTCACTTTGTTGCTGTAAAAAATAACTGCATTGGTTTCATTTAGTTTTATTTAAAAAAAATATCAATCTTCTATCTTGGTGAGAACCACTTTACATAAATTTCAGAGTTGTAGATACATGGATAAATTCAGTATGTAGGAGATTTCTACTTTATACTTCTACTCCTTTTTAAAAGCATCTGACCCCAGAGAACTTATTCTTTTGCTCTTATGAATTTCACCAATTGTATTTATTTTTTGGTGGTTACTGGTTGTCCGAAACTATTATTTTATATTGTTCACCCCCCTCATACGTACGTGGACATTGTCTAACTGAAAAGGCTTTTCACAAAACTGTCTTTATTTGCTTGTGTTTTCCCCTCAGGCGGATATCCCCAACAGATTTGAAATGAAGCTTCACAGGAACAACATTTTTGAGGAGTCCTACCGGCGGATTATGTCCTTGAAGAGACCAGACATCCTGAAGGCCAGGCTTTGGATAGAGTTTGAGTCTGAAAAAGGCCTCGACTATGGTGGTGTGGCCAGAGAGTGGTTCTTCTTGCTATCTAAAGAGATGTTTAATCCCTACTATGGACTCTTTGAGTATTCTGCCACGTAAGTACAGGACTTTCACAAGGAATGAGTGCTCAGTTAAGGTATTGCTGCAAGAAGATGGAGGCTGTATATTTGACATGTTTTCTTTCGTAATGTTTATATTGACTTACATTACCCATGGAAACAGAGAATGCCAAAATATTTGTTTTGTTTCAAAAAGAAGGAAATAGTACCACAATACTTGCATCATCAATGTTTAACAAATATATCCATTATCATACATAAATACATAAATAATGTAATTGATAAATTGCAGCAAAATGATCTAATAGTGTTACAAGTCTTAAACAAAGCACATTGCCCTTGAATTAATTAGAAGGGTTTTTCTTTTTAGACTGGTGAACTGATCTCATGTTGGGTATTAAATGTCATAAATGTGGGACATACTGTAATTGCCATACATTTTACTGTTCAGAAAGCAGTCTTGTAAAAAGGTTATTTTAATTAGTATCTTTGACTGGTGTTTAAGGTTGTGGCTTTCAAACAGTGCATATCTGACTATCTGAGTTTTTCTATTAACACTTTTTTAGTGTTTTTTTTAGTGGCACACAGATTTTTCCTTCTGTGTGCCAATTAACAAATCCTCACCCCAGTTTTAATTTGCATTTGTCCCTCTACCAGTGAGAATTGTTAAAAATGTTAAAGCCACAGGGCTGCCAGCTACTAAAATAAATAACATTGCATTTTTAGTAGGATCTTGCACAAAATGTGCTTGTTATTGCATTCACAGGCCCTTCCTCTCATTCTCTGAAATTTCCTGAAAGCACCAGCCTTCTAAATTATCAGACTGCAATTATGTGTGAGAGTCAGTCACCAATTTAATCCAGTATGATATCTTTGCATAACAACAGTATATCATATCCTATCTCATTTTGTTCCTTTTTGTAGCGATAACTATACACTTCAGATTAACCCCAACTCTGGACTGTGTAATGAGGACCATCTCTCATACTTCAAGTTCATCGGTCGTGTGGCAGGAATGGCAGTGTTTCATGGGAAACTGCTAGATGGTATGCTCAATGAATTTATACCTGGGTTTATTTTACAAACTTTTGTCAACATGTTGGCTAACAACAAAAGAACAAACTAGTATGGATAATGTTTGACCCGTTATTACCAAAATATAATATGAGCTCAAATGCGATTTCATTTTATCAGTCAACTCTGCTTCTGTTTCTGATCATTTTCAAATTGGCTCTTTCATATTTCAGGCTTCTTCATCAGACCCTTTTACAAGATGATGCTGGGGAAACAGATTACACTGAAAGACATGGAGTCAGTGGTAAGGAACATGACCCTTTTTATTTGCCTTCTACATATATTTTGTCCTGTGCGTGCATTGTTCTGAATTACCTGTTGTATGTTGCTTTGTTGTAATGTTATTATTTATTGTGTTTCCAGTCATTATTATTATTTAATGTTATGGGATTTACAATCTTTAGTTGCAGTATGTTAGTGCCATCTAGTGATTACAAAATACCTATTACATACATTTAAGGTTTGCAGATGGATGAGAGTGCACTGCCCAGTATTCTAAGAACATATAAAATTGTATTTATTCTTACAGATTTTTATTATAATAATCTTAGTGTTAATTCAAAGTTGCTTTTGTAAAGCTAGAGCAAAACACATACATTTATTGATCTACAACTGTGTCTTTACTTCCATTTTTAGGACAGCGAATATTACAACTCTCTAAAATGGATTCTGGAGAATGATCCCACAGAGCTGGATCTACGGTTTTGCATCGATGAAGAAAATTTTGGACAGGTATGAAACACCATTATGGGGATAATCTCAGGTATCAACAGTGGGGGACTTGTCTGTTGGGTCTGGACCTCACTTAACTTCCACAGAAATGAGAAGAAAGGGTGAGGAATGTCTTGGGTGATCCATCTGTGGGATGAGCAGATATTTTAAATGTTAATTAATGGACATTTAGATATTTTCTTTACACTAAGGTTTTCTACTAGTTAAATTGTATAAGCATTTAGAAAACACTAAAACAATGTTAAACCCTAAACGCTGCATCTACTGAACCAGTGTTTTTAATTGCAGTCCTGTAGACCTACTCAGGTTTTTTACTACAAGGTTTGAAATTATATTAGGGAGATATTTCTGATTTTTCTTTTAGTCTTTCCCACATTCATGTCTACAGTGCAATGCAGGACAGTGCTTTAAATGTGGTATTTTAATTGATTTGCTTCTGTAACTGATAGTGCCAAGGACTGAAAATGGGCAAAGAGCGCTTACTTCATATGCGGTCTAGGTTGTGACAGTATTACGCCAGTTTTAATCCTGAATTGTACAGCTGTAATATGTTCATCTGTGATCAATATGAGAGTTTACATGTTTTTTTTCTAGACATATCAAGTGGATTTGAAACCCAGTGGGTCAGAAATGGTTGTAACAAATGACAACAAAAAGGAATACATAGAGTAAGTTACATGACTTTTTCAAAACCAAAATTTGAAGGTGATTCCAAAGGTCCTAAACCTAATAAAAATATGCATTGTCCTGATAACATGTTTTCTTACAACATCTTTTAATTCCTAAACTTTAACATTTTGTCAGCATCTATTTTGTCTCTATTTCTTTATTCTATTTCAGTCTAAGCTTTCTGAGTTACCCCTATCTGTGGAAGATTTCTTTTAATTAAAACAAATTCTTCTCAGATGTGTTCTTTTTCTAGTTTTTAATGTACTTTGGGTTTTTTTCAGCCTCGTTATTCAGTGGCGGTTTGTCAACAGAGTTCAGAAGCAAATGAACGCATTTTTGGAGGTAAGGTGTACACCAGTCAAATGATGTTTAAAACGTATCAAAATGTACTGGTGCTGGTATGTAAAACATAGAAGAGCTTTGTCACTAGGGGGCAGGAGTGTGCTTTTAACTTCATATTGACATGCCGTACATTCGGACTCGAAACCCTCTTACACAGTTCATCTAGAACATGCTTCTTAGCCTCAAATTCTTATACTTTAGTACATTTAGATAATTGTTCTTACTGTGGGCATGTAAGAAGTATCTGCATTTTGAATACAACTGTTTTTTTTGTACAAATGTTTAAAGGGATTGAAAAGGTTACTAAAATTTACAAGTACCTGTATTGGTTTTGCTAGAAGGTGAATCAGTGGCCAAGGGGTCAAAGCAAATTCTCATGTTAGAAAAGAGAAGGCAGCAAATTATCTTCATTCTTCATTTATAGAAATTTGTGTGTTAGGTATTTTTGGTATTTCAGATCTTATTTATTGTTAGAACAGATTAATTTTATATTTAAAAAGTAGCAATTTCAAATTCTGTTAAACATTCTGCATACTGTTATCTACACTTTAATAAACTGTCTACTCTCTTTGTTCACAGGGTTTCACTGAACTCATTGCTATTGATTTAATAAAGATATTTGATGAAAACGAGCTTGAGGTATTGTTAATTTACATCCTTTTAATTTACTTAATCCTTTGTTCAGTGCTGAAACTATTAAATATATGAGAGAAGGTATAAATAATTTCTTCACTTTTGTTTCCCAGGCTGATGTAGCATGTTTTAGGTCTTGCAGTTTTTTTTACATGCTTCATATATTAATATATTTAATATATTACACAGAAAACTGTTTTTCATGTAGCTGTAACTTTACTCCACATATGTTTGGTTAAAAAAATGATTGACTAATAATTGTGGTGTAGAATAACCTTCACATTCATTTTCTGAAATGTTCTGCAATAAAGTGTACTTCCCCAAATCTCTAGGGTTTACTGGTGAAAGCTGTTGTTTCTTGTACCTGGAGTTTGGTCAAATGTTTCTTCACTGTAGTTTTTTGGAAAATTTCTTTTTTTATTGTTTCAAAAATATTCCAATGAAAAAGATTTCAAAATAAGGGAATTTAGCCATGTTTAGATGTTTTCAGTGTAAACTGTGAGTCCTAGAAGTCTTCTGAATACAATTAACCCTATAGATTCATTTTATCATACGTTAAGTCACATTTGACTAGATAATATACGCAACCATTTTCAAATGAGCAACTAGACAGATTGTAGGTGAAATTGAGTTGGACGTTATAGCTGAATGTACTTCTCTACCTTCCACTGGAAGGTATCAGAAGTGGGGTTTCAGCACGGGTGAGGACACAGTGGTGCAGTGGTTAGCATCACTGCCTTGCAGCACTGGGGCCCTGGGTTCAGTTCTGAACCTGGAGTGCTATCTGCATGGAGTTTGTACAGTATGTCCTCCCTGTGTTTGTGAAGATTTCTTCCAGATGCACTGGTTTCTTCTCAGGGTAGAGTGTTTGTTCTCTGTAATGGACTAGTGTATCCTGCCTGTTGCTGGCTGGGATAGGCCCTTGCTCCCCTGTGATCCTGTATAGGATAAAGCAGTTAGAACATGGATTGATGGTTTCAGCAATTTGCTTGGTTTCTGTACAGCTACTGATGTGTGGCCTGGGGGATGTGGACGTCAATGACTGGAGACAGCACACAGTCTACAAGAACGGATACTGTCCTAATCACCCTGTCATACAGTGGTTCTGGAAGGTAAGTGCCACCTAGAAACATACAAGAAATAAAGTATCCAAAACATGTCTGAGGTCTTTACTCTGTCAGAGCACTACATTCTTGTTTTACCCTTTCATTAATTTAATTCCTGCTTTTCCTTTCTTTCAATTACTGCTTTCTGTATATTGTGGAAATCACTTGCAGGTCTGAACAGAATTATTTAATCTTTATTCACTTTAGATATTTATCCAGTTTTTCTTTTCTTATAGTTATTTAACATCTGTTTACCTCAAAATCATAATTTAGATCATGTTAAAATTGTGCTGCCTGGGACTTGTTGAGGAGTGCTGGGTAATTCTGAAGATTGAATGTGTTTGACGCACGGTCCGTCTCGTCTGGAAAACAGCAGGAATGCGGAAGTGTATTTTACAGTTCATAAGGCTGATATTCATTGGAACCCCCACTGACTGTACAAACAGTTCTGTCAAGCGTAAGAATGACCATGCACAGCAGCCTTTGTCTGGAGTAAGACAGCAGAATGTGCTCATTAGGTTTATTTGGTAAAAAAAAGACAGGTCTAACAAAATAATGGAATTAAATGTCACATAGGATCCAGTTTGTTACAGGGATGGAAGCATGTGCTCTGGCTCTTTTGTATATAAGCCAACACAAAGTGCTAATTTTCAAGCCTCAACTAATGCAGAGCTCCTGAGTTGTCACTAGGGCTTAATTCTTTAAAGATTTGTGATGAATGGATTAATAAAACTTAACTGGCTTTTTTATGAATATGTATGTGTACAAGAGTTTGAGCTGTCTAGGTGAACTTACTGTAGGATTCTGACTAGCATTTGCTGTTTCAAACAATTCTTGATACTTCGCTAGTACACTTTTTTAATGCAACCCTTGAGCTCAACACCTATTGTATATTTATAACATTGTTTCTGTAGAGCGAACCTCACTAAAAACAAAGCTGTTTTCTGTAAACTGCTGTTGATCAAGTAAGCTGGAGACATTCTCTCAAGGGAATGTCCTACACTGACAGGCAAAAGGAGTTAAACTTTTTCAGGCTTTAACAGAGAAGATTAAGGGGATCTGGTGTACATTTTCAAAATCCTCAAAGTCACTGACAAAGTCAACCCAGTGGACTTCTTCAGAATGAACAGTGAAACACTAACCAGAGCAAACAAATGGAAACTATGTGAAAGTGCATTTTAAACCAAGAATAGGAGGCATTTAATTGCCCAAAGGGTTTTGGGAACATGAAACAAGTTACTCAGCCATGTTGTTAAAGCAGATATCCTGGCATCTTTCAAGAAACAGCTGGATGAGATCCTCAGATCATTTAACTGCTAACTACAGACTACATAAGTTGGATAGCCTGCTCTTATTTGTAACTATTCTTATGCTCTAGATAATAAACAAAGTTAAAATCTTGTTAATTTACAAAATTTAGTTACAGTATGGTAACAGAGTGGCCAAAGGGGATTGAACTTTGCCTAAAAAGAACATTTACAATAAATATCAGCAAAACTAGCAAAGCTCTTTAGTATATTTTTCACAAAATATGGCTTATAAGGTTAGTTAAACTCTCAGTGAAGCACAGGGCACTTGGTTAACTTGATGTAATTAAACTTTTACCTGATCATTGCTCTTACCAGAACAGACAAGTGGAGATTAAAGTCTGTTTGATGTACTGTTTGGTCTAACTGCAGTGTTTACTCTGATGAAAGAACTGGACAGAGAGAGTGCTTGGTTAGTTATCAATTGTCAGATTGATACTGGACTCACTTTCATCATTTCACGTGAAGAGGTCACATTTTTTTTTAAAAAGAACTGGTTAATAAGTGCTTTAACAATAAGTGTTAAAGCACTTATTGTTTTTGTAATTTTGTATCATAGAAGGGTAATTGGGAAATTGTGTTGAAACTGCTCTAACAATGGTTTCAATCTGGTGTCTTTGTTTGTTTTCACAGATATTTATGATCTTAGACTTAGGAACATTTCTGGAGCAGTGAGACAGTGAACATTGTCCAACACTAATCCGCACCGTCATAAAAAAAAACATTTTCAGTTACAGTTAAAGGACCGGAACATGTACCCATGTACAGTATATGCTTTCCCTCCTGGAATTCCTGTCCGGTATGAGAACGATGTTCTCTGTACTCTGTACTGGGCGGTGCCCTATTATTGGTTTCATTTGAATTTCAGCAATTAAGTATACTCTAAAAAAATCACCCAAATATTTTAAGTCTACTAAAAAAATCCGCCATGTACTTTCTGTTTGCTTACACCCTGTCACAAGTGACACCTGAATCAGGCTTAATTCACATCTGAATCAAGGCCAGATAAGCACAGATGGAAGAGGAATGCACTCTAAGCTGAATGAGAGTCCCATGTGTCCACAGATTGCAACAACGCATTTTGAAAATATTGTTCATCTCCAAGTGGAATCTCCATGCTACTTGAACTCATTTATTTGACTTCCTTGCAGGCCGTTTTACTGATGGATGCAGAGAAAAGGATCCGGCTTCTTCAGTTTGTCACCGGAACATCACGAGTGCCTATGAATGGCTTTGCTGAACTTTATGGTGAGAAGAATCTTCTCACCATCCGAGTCCACGTTTGCAAACTCAAAGATTTTCTGAAGCTCCGTTTAGCAATACGTTCTGCAGATGCACATGTGCCTGCCAGCCAGCATGTTGTTTCTACTTGAGCAGTATTTGAGTGGGTCTACATGATGGTACTCATGGAAGTGTTGAGCATTGAATGGTCTTATTTTTATCAACAGATGTTCTCACAGAACTATGAAAAATCAGTTTTAGTTTGACAGGAAATAGTAAAAACCAAAAATGTAAATGCAAGTCAAAGAAATCTCTCATTCTAAATGCATGAGAGGAAGGAATAAAATACTACATTGCCTACCAGACTGCATTCTGTGATAGATCCAGCTTTCTTCCACAAATACAAATTGCTAATGGGACAATAAGTCTAAATAAAACTCATAAAGAAAATATTTCTTTCAATATTAAAACTTGTTAAACAAATGCTTCTTATTGCATAAAAGTAATATTGATTTGCTAAACAATAAAAATCATATTTTTTTTCTTCCTCATGCTCTAAAGTAAAGTTAATTTTTCTAATGGTTTTTAACAGCATCTGTTTCAACACCATAACTGACTAATCATGTACGGTGTTTTTGTTGTCTTTGTAACAGCTTGTTCCCCCCTCTGTTTTTTTATAACAGGTTCTAATGGGCCTCAGTTGTTTACCATTGAACAGTGGGGAACTCCAGATAAACTACCTAGGGCCCATACATGGTATGTTAAGGTTACAGATGTGATGAGAGGGAGTCAGTGCTTTAATATCAAAAACCATTTTAGTGCTGCAGTACATGTAATTGCTACAATAGAAGTTGTAATGTCAGGCTTAGCTTAAAATGAATGTTCTCGATTAGCCTGACTGGTGAAACAGTAGTCTAGCAGAATGTTTTAGAAATTTAGCATGCAGCTACAGAACATTTTCAGAATGTACAATATCATAAGAAAATCGAAAATTGCCTGTGTGTTAAAATATACCACAATGATACATTAAAGCAGTTTTGGATTTAGGAGGATTGGTACATACAGTACTATTTCTGTACCTTTCAGGATTCTTAAAAAAATTGATGCCGATGCGGTTTTAATAAGTTAACGTGCTGTTAACTTATGTTATTGATGTATTTGATGGGAAATTTCTGACATGTTATCACTTTTTTTTTCACCACAGCTTCAATCGCTTAGATCTCCCGACCTATGAGTCATTCGAGGAGCTCCGAGAGAGGCTCCTGTTGGCAGTGGAAAATGCTGAAGGCTTCGAAGGCGTTGATTAAGACAAGCAAACAGACACAATGAAGAACACTGCCATTGTTCTTCAAGTCAGAGCAACAGATTTATTCTTTTATTTATATATATATACACATATATATAAATAAAAATGTATATATGTATAAAAATAGCAATGGACTTCAGGACTGTTGTACAGTGGCTAAAGTTAGTGAACAATTTATTCTATGCCTGTTCCTATTCCAAGTTTCTGGAAGACTGGAGAAGTTCTGTGGAAACTGTTACCACATAAAATGAACTCCTGATGCGCTTCAGTGAACCTGCTCTTTATACTGTGCTGTGGAAGGCATGGCCTTGGAATGTTTTGCATTCTTTCTAACAGCAAATGGAAATGATGACTTTTACAGCTCTAATTCTATAGCACCTGAATACCTTAGGAATGATGCAAACATCACTGTCAAATTTACCCATTTCTTCATTGTCACATTGTGTTTCCTCTTTCATCTTGCAAGGATATCTACACGCATTATCTTTCATAAGGATTATTTTTTTAGTCTGCTTTTGCAACTAAAGAAGAAGAAGAAAGTCCTAATCAATTTTAGATTTTTTTTTTGCATTGCAGAAATTTATACTAATGACATTTTCCAGAATTTTAGACATTGTAAGGACACATTAATCATGCCAATTACAATTGAATATATTTACACTGAAATTATTGAATAACTGTGTAACCCGCATGAGAATTTATTTTATTTTAAAGCACTATACATGTATAAATGATTAGAAAGAGAAGGATTTTTCCATTTTTAGTCAGTATTCCTGGAAGGGTTTGAGTGACATTTATTATATAAATACTATTAGACTTAGCCCTATTCATACTGCTGTAAAATAATTTCTTATAACATTCATATTTCTTTACCAGTTTCTTTAAAAGTTTGTAATGGAAGTATTAATAATGAATAATAACATGATATGAAGCTGTAAGAAAGCTATGACTGTCATTGTTTATTTATTTCATCTGTGATTTGTTGATAAGAAAATCATTTCTTTGTTTGCCTTATTCTGACACCACTGAAACTAAGGGCACTTTATGAATCACACTAAGGTCATATGGCTTATTATCTGCTCTTAATATTAACTTGAATGTGATTATATTTCTTGAATGCACTCCATTATGTGGTGCAATACCAATTGTCTGTGAATTTGGCTGCTGTTTGTGTACAAACACACTGGCTGTGGAGAGAAGTCTTTGAACTTTGCTTTCCTCATCTTACTGTACACGTGTCCTGTTCTTCTGGGGCCCATGTGTCCTTTTACTATATGATTCATTAATGAGATGCTTGTTTTATGGAATGGAAGCCCTTTGTGTGTTTTAAAACCAACTTTATAAGACCATACAGTATATCTTCAAAATAGTATGAAACTATAAATAAAACAAGCCTTGTTGATATAAATTCAGCCCTCATAGAAATGTCTTCACTAATGTGCCATTTGTCTCATAATTTAAAAAAAATCCTGTGTTTATATGCCTTCTACAACTCGGTTTTTTATTGTGAAAAAAACAACACAGGAATGTGGGAGTCATCCATAAATGTAGATTTCTGACACATTAGTGGCTATCATTTTTAACTTTTCTTGAAATAGTAGCTATATGACCTTTTTAATGGACTTCATCTGTACATGAGCAGTATACAATAATAATGTTTAATACCTGAGTACTGGCATCACTAGATAGTCCTCTGGACTTGGCACACCTGCTACGTGGATAGATGCCTTTAGTTTCTGCAGGATCCTTCTTGATGATTACTTATAAAGCACTATAAAATAAGAAAGTATTATAATAAAAAATGGTGCTCAGAAGCAAACCCATTCTCACTGCCTTTGTGTGTTTCTCAATTTCAAAACAATACAAAATAATACTGCTTTGGTAAGGGTCAACATTTGGAGTTCCTATTGTATCTTTCAATAGTAGAGTAATATTTTAAAATGCTTTCTGTATTTTACTCATTTTTTACTACTCTGTCATCTTGTATTGTAACAGGATCTTCAAATTAAATTACACCAGTTTTCAATGTAACTCATTCTTTGACTGAAATGACTTGTTTCATCTAGACTAGTCATATACAGGATTTCACAAATGTACAGTTTATAAATGATACAGGTTTTTTAAATTGGATATAAGAAGTATTACAAACAAGATGTGGTCGTTTGACCAAATTTGTTCATTATATTGATTAGATTATCAATCCAGAAATCATATCTATTATAGCAATTTCCTGAAGAATCTTACTGGAATTAAAATAACCAAGACTGATCAAAATGTCTTACTAATTACATAATTTTAACTATATTCAATGTTATCCATACGATTTTCACTATTGTATATTTAGAACTATCTTTTATGCCCTATTTGTTTGCATTTGTTTTCCACATCATTTAAACTAAATACATTTTAATTATTAAATATCAAAACATATGACTTACACAATGTATTCTATAAAACCAAGCCCATTCAAAGTGCTGATGAGAACTAAGGTGTACTGTATAAACCTTAGTCGTTCATAGTCAAACAATTTATACAATTTAATTTATTACATAGTAAAGCATAACAAATGGAGTGAAACAAAATAAACTGATGCACAATGGAAATATTCAGGACTTATATTGATTAAATATATTACACAGATGTTAAATTAACCACAGAAACATGAACAAGAAACAGAACAAAGAATCAGTTTTTATGAAATATACATTTCAAAGTAATTATTGGATGTAACCTCAATGAGCATTAAAACATTTCTGGCAATGTTGATGCATAGCTTTGGTCCTCTGGATACACAGATGCTGTATGTACCTGTGCTGACTGGATGATTATACCCCTGGGTTGATGGCAGTGGTAAGTTGGCCTACTTGTACTGTATTCTATTGGACTCAGCTCAGGAGTAAAAGCTTACCATAGCAGGACCTTAGAGATATTTCTTTTTGAAGTCAATAGTATGGTAGTCCTATCACTCAATGGATTTGTGTCACCCTACTAGAAATTGGACACTTGTGCAATATACTTTATAAACATACAGTATGCCTTATAGATCATATCAGTAACTGTGACATACTGTATAGGAGTATAATACAGGTTCTAAGAGAGATGCTGTTAAGCAGAATATTCTCTACATGGAATTAGGGAGCGACCATTTTTGTATGCCCAGTTAACAAGTTTACAAGCCAAGATCAAGGTAATTGATATTAGGAAAAGCAGTTGTCCTAATACAGATCCCTGTAGAACCCCACTAACTTCATCACACCAATTTGAGATTTTTCTACTTTTTACTAATCTTTTCTGTACATTTACCAGTTTGTCAGAAACTAGTTACTTTCACAGTTGAAAAAATACCTTCAGGCCCAGGCAGTTTGTTCAGTAGTTCAATCCATCTACATAGATTTCTTACACATTACCTGTTCTTTTCTGACCTCTCACTGCTACAATAAAAAAAGAGTTAACCTCATCACCAGTGTCTCACTAATAATCAACTCACTAATGAGATGATTTAGTGTTAATGCAACAATCATTGCAAGTCACTTCAGTATGCCACTGTTATATATGATCAATTAATAAAAATGTTTAATCAATCTCCAAAATCTGTATACTTGTATTTTCTGCAATTGAGCCACCTAAGCTTTATATCTATTTGTTTGATTGCTCAGTATGTAGAAACAATTCTAAAATATGTTGAACTGTATAAATAAATGACTGAAAAATAATTGATTTTTATTGTACATTTTAAAATTTTGCAAACATTTCGTATAAAATGTTAATACATTTGCTTATTGTTTTTCTCTTATGCAAGTCATTTATGGAAATTCACCCTTTGTTTTTAAACGAAGGGAAGATATTTTTATTTGTTCAATCTGTAATATTATTTTGAATTCATGTTGTATTTGCTCATTCACTTGTAGCAGGTAGTCCTGTATAAGGAGTGTGTATGTGTCTAAAACACTTCAACACCTGAAACAAGACTTTTATACTGTGCTCTGAAGTTAGATATTAACTGTGGCAGAAGTTCAGTCAATAGCTGGCAGTTCTTTAAGATGAAATAAATAATAAAAAATATAATAGACTTAATCCATCAAAACATATGACAAATGAATTATGTATTCTTATTTTCTATTAATTTCAGTACAAAAGGAAAAAAGAAAAATGGGAAAATGTAGTTACAATACAGCAGGGGCAGGAACAAGAAGTCTGACATTTATTTTGGCAAGAAACCAGCCTGGACCAGGTCTGAGCCCTATAGAAATGTGTGTTTTAAACAGATCTTATAAAAACAGTTTTGTTAAAACATTTAAGACATTTTACTCAAGAACACTTTTCAAAATCTTCCTTAACGGAGATAATATCATAGTAAATGAATTGTATTGAACCTATTGTATTTTAAGCCACAACTTTAGAAGAGTACAATAGCTAAATCAGCCTTCATGGGTAAATCTATGATATTTACTGTATGCTAACTTAGTATGTATATATTTTACATACATCGATACAGTACATACTGTAAGTGATCAAAACCCCAGGATCAGAAGGAAACTACTTAATAAAAATGAATGTTTTATGTTTCGTCTTTCTTTCCTAGGAATCTTTCAGGATGATTGTTTATAGTTCATGCTACCAGAGTGATGATGAAGAATTATTATTATTTCATTTATCATAGTCTCATATATGTACTGTATGTGGTGAAAGATACCCAGTTCATTCACACTGGTAATCGGACTGTTATCAGTTCCAAGGGTAAGTAAATAAAATTGCAGGATTGTCCAGGGCCACTATTATCAAAACCCTTTTTGAATCAACATGTAGTACAAAGTCAAATATTTAGTTTTTTAGATCATTTTATTATTAAGGTACAAAGATGTTGAATTCAAAATGAGGAGAAAATCAGTAGCCAAAATGTTTTAGAACATGACCAAGTAAGGAATTGGTCAGGTAATGTACAGTACTGTTCATTACTTGTTTCAATAAAACACAATCCAGTACTGTATATCCGATTATATATTCTTCAAATGTATTTTAATCAGTTATCACAAAGCACATGATTGTCCTGTGTTTTTAGTTTGTATGCAAGGTTCGCAAATTATTTTTTTCCCCATATACAGTATTTAGAACAAAACAAAAGTTATAAACATTGATTACAATATACTGTAGTGTACTATCAAAACTTTCAAGCACCAAAGTATCAAAACTTTTTTGTAAAAAAGAGGAAATACGCAGTATTATTAGTGTTCTCTTTAAAAATGTTTAGACAATATCTTTATCAAAAAGTGCTTGATTTCAGCACAATTATCTTAAAAAATGAAGTGAAAGGAGAAAGAAAAATAAACTTTCAATCATGTTTAAGTATTCCTAACATTACAAAAGACTAATAAAAGAGTTTAATTTAGTAACATTTTAGAACTGTAGTTCATTATTTTCTCATTACAAGGGAATAAAGGGAATAAAGATGTAAACTTGGTGAAGTGGTTAAAGTTTTATGAACATGGCCCTCTGTATCTTATAATTTATAAATGTACTGTATACTGTACCTTGTATTTTATGTCATGTCAGGATCTTCACGAAACATAAACATTAACCTCATTTGTATCTCAAGAGCAATGGACAAAACATAACAAAGTTTAATGGACCTCAGTGTTTTGTGGTACAGTATTTAGCGAGCACATAAATCTTTATCTACCTTGTGGCCTGAGCCATGCTCAGCCATTTTGAAGTCAACTAAATTTCTTCCATGATGCTATTCAGCCTACATGCAAAGTAAGTGTAAAGAAGGTTGTGTTACAACATGACATTGTAAAACTATGGGTAACTTTAGAAAGCAAACGGGGATATTCCACCTGTTTACTCTTTTTAAAAAAAAGATAGTCTTTTTACCTTTATGTGGTTTATCTGCTCTGATTGCATCTGTTTATACAGCTTGTTTGAAGAGATAAGAGTTTCTAAGAACCCTAATGGCCTGACAGACTGGGGCTAATGGACTGATGTTCGTCTAAAATTATTTAACTTTTGACAAGAGCTGAAAATGTGGATAAAAGATGATTGGGAGTGAACGTGATGTGATTAGATCATTTAAGTTCTTCCTGCATGAACATACAGGAAGACCATACTGGATACCTTTGACCTTGATCTGTATTGCTGCTGAGAATATTATTTTCTCCATTAACACAGATGCTAGGGCTATAGGAATGGTGAGCTCCATTCATTAAAATGAACATCATCAAAGGTCACCAGCCCCTACAACCAAAGGTTCAATGGGAATAGAAGAGGTTAATTTTAGTGAATGAAAGAGTTCCCATAGTTGGAATCTGAAGACATTAACAAGGTACATTTTTATGTAGCCTAAAACCAATAACTTATTTTCTTCCTCATTTTGAGGATGGTTCATTTAGCAATGCAAATCTTTGGGCACAAAATTCATTCTGGTAGCTTTAGCATCTACAGGCCCTTTACATTACTGTTTAACAATCAAAACCTAATGAAGGACAAAAAAAAGATTTTACCTAAAAACATTTTGTCCACACTCCTTCCCAACCTTCCCTTGCTCTTTGACCCTCTCTGAAGTGGGGCGGGGGTCAGATATACAGGTACACGTGGCACCAAGCTGTTTGCTGGTCGAGCGTGTTGTCCATCAAAAAGATATGTGTGGCCAAAAGCACATTAACGGATGAGTCCAAACAGACCAAATCAGCACAATTAGTTATAATTAGAGACAAAAAACATCAGGTGTTCTTTTTGGTATATCTTATTAAATACTATTTAAAATAGACGTTATTAAATTGTGACCTAATATCTGAGATACTCAGTGAATGTTCAATCAATCCTAAATGTTTGCATTTACATGTCTTATTGTTTCAACATTAAATACAAGATATAATATCTCACTAGGCTCCTGCTCTTTGTATCATTCATGCTTAATGTGGGCAGGTATTTGAAATAAATATTTGTAAAATATTTTTTTAATGTCGCATATCTTTTTATTGGAGCCAGAATATTTTGCACAATATTTGTCTCTTCTTTTTATAGCAGAATATTTGAACCATAAAGAGTCTTTTATTAGGTTATGTCTGTAGTCTCTCTCTTAACAGTTAAAAACAAATGATAAACAAGAAAAACTTCAGTGTCACGGTTATAACTTTCAGTTTAAAAAAAAGATGAAGGAAAGAATGCAGACTCAAGCATCTATTTTTTTTAAAAAGTGCTCTGTTTCAAATAGCTGAGAACTAATACTGAATGTCTGCAGAATTTACAGTTCTAAAAGTTCTTTTTGGGTCTCTGCCTTCTTTGTCAGGCCATTTCTAGCTTTCCCTCCCTCCATAGCATCAGAACCGATCGATACTTTCCTGGAACCTATCACAAAAGGGAATTAACTGTTTGTTTAACCCCCCATTGCAACATAAATGACGATGAAAAGAAAGTACCTGCCCCAGATGTTGGTTGTTCATAGAACTAGGAGAGCTCTGTGTAAATACTGGACTTGTACTCAATTCTCCAACAGAACTCGCCAGTGCTAATCAATGTGAACCTGGGTCGGCATTCCAGGGACTCAAAGGCTCAGAATACTGACTTTACAGAAAAAATGAATGGGACAGATGCGACTTGTGTGTATTTTCTCAGTATTCAGGTGAGTTGCCTTTTTCATGAGATGTAAAACAACAACATCTCTTCCTCAAATTGTTCAACACGCAGTGAGTTATCTGTAATGGCGTGAGTATTTCAAAATAATTAAAGAAACTGAACCTATATGATCATACTTTAATACAATCCACTCAGTATTGATTATTAGGTGCTTTTGATGATCATCAACTTAATATCTAAACAAAATGTCTTCAGAAAACAGTTAGTGGCTTAGATATTTTAGTATTGTTATTGATAATTGTGTTTCACTATGACTTTTTGGGCGTTATTTATGTAAAAGTATGTACTGTATTTTTATATTTAAATGAATCAGTATCATTGCAGTAAAGGTTAAGTACCGTAATTGCAAAGGCCTCAACTCCATTCTCAATTATTAAGAAATAGTCTGTCAACAACTGTATGACAGGATGGCTATTTAGCACTAGAACAAGTTTTTTTTTGTTCTCATATTAAAAATTAATCAGCACAAACAAAATATATCCTTCTGTATGTACAGTATCTTGGCTGACTGACTGATTGCACGCCAGGCGCAGCTTGGTTTTTAATGCATTGGGATAGCAGGCTAATAAATTACCCTCTTCCTAATGCTTTTCTTTCACCACTGTCTAGTTTGACAATGGACAATTCAAATTTGTAACCATTATACTGTATATCAAGCATCCAAAAATGAATTTAAGTGATTCTAATGGTAGTTTATTTTCATTTAAACACCAGGAAGCAAAATATAGATGAAGCAGCTACTTTGTGATTATATATTTAATTTGCACTTAAATATATGTTAGCACTAATGGATATAAGTCATGTTGTATCTATGCATAGGATAATTAAGTCAAGGTTTGTTTTGAGGACAATCTTAATAAACTAATTCAATTCTCGATGGATCAACACATTTTTACACATGATGCTCATCAATGAGCAAATAATAGTCTACAAACTCATCAATCTTGGCTTAACCAATATTTCAAGGTGCACTTTCTTTAGGATGTTAAATTTATCTTTTGTAATACATAACTTGTATAATGATTGCAAATGAATTAGTTAATGAGTTGATGAACTGAACTTATTTTTAACACCTTGTTTAAATATTTCAGACCTATTGCAAAGAAATGCATCCAGATCTAAGATGCCATAGTTTTGTTTGGTGTTCTCTGCAAGCACTAAAGCCGGGCAATATCAGTGCTGAGTGATACTACAAGATAGCACAGAAACAGGTGTTCATTTACTCATGTCCACTCTAAAACAATGTGAAGCAAATTGAAGAAGTTGAAGTCTTAATGCCTTTCAGTGCCTTCAATTCTAATAGCAGTACAGTAAGAATTCATAAAGGTTCTAATGAAAAAAAATGACTGTTCTTAATAAAGTCAACCATGTTTTGAGAATGCTTTTGAGAATGCTTTGGAACAATTACAGATTGGTCTGAACATGCAAAGCTCCCATGTCTTGTGGTAGAAGTTCTATTATTTCATAACATAATAAATACTTTTAACACATAAGATGTGTGGTAGTCATATTAAAGTTTACGTATCTTAATGTTTAATCATTATTCTGTAGTGCTTGTATCTGAAGTCAGTTTGTATTTCAGACTTTTCTGTGTATTCATTCTATTTTCGGGTGGGTTATCCTACTTGTGAAATAGGAAGTGTACAAAGACTGTTTGCGGTTTGTAGCACACTGTAGTTGGGAAAATTGCTCAATATCCTAATTTAAGATGAAAGGAATAAAAGCAAATCAATATCAAAATATCTTTATCACAGAACTGTGAACATTGATTACATTGAACTGCGTGGTGAAGGGATGATCTCTGAATTTTCTATGAACATATATCAGCTGTGATGCAAAATAAGAAGTAATGCAGTATGTATCTGGATGAAACTTCATTTACTAACAAATGAAATCTTCATCATTTCATCCCATTTTTAAATATGATAAAACAGCCCCTATTTACTGTTAGCTGTTCAATGTTTTTCTTTGGGGAAAGAGAACATGGGAACCAAGTATGATTCCAATTTATCTGAAAAAATCACATTTGCAATTTAAACATAGAATTTATCTGTATTTATTTATAACTATCTTTATTTTCTTCTTTTCTTTATTATACAGATCTCTCAGCCCTGGCTTTCAAAGCTGTGGAGTGTGACAATGGTGTTTGTGTGACTGATATCAAACGCCATTATCACACTAAATAGCTATGGTAAGACACTTTGCTTCTTCCACCTGTCAAAACCTTGTGACTGAAAGATTCTACACTGGCTCACCCAAAGCCCAAATGAATGTTCTGTATAAAGTGTTCAGTACAGACCCTCTCATGTACTGTATATGTGCTGAAGGAGTATAATACAGCTTTCCAAAGTCTGGACTCAACAAACCATTGTTTGCCATCTACATTATGAGTTTACAAAGAAATATGCTTGCGTTCTTCCTGTGCTTTTGAAGACAAGTTGTGAGTGAGCAAAATGTGTATTTTAAAAAAATCTTAAAGCTCATACTGTAAATGTGTCTTCATCAACAACAATGTGCAAAGGTGTGGGGGGGTAATGTGTAATTATATGGGCTTAGTGTAATTGTGGTTGGGTAAATATATAGGGCTCTGGTGTAGTTGTGTGAATTTCTGTAGGAGTGGTGTGAAAATAAAACGTACACTACTTATAGATGTCCATTTTGTAATGTTTATTTATACTGTTTATAAGTCTCTCTATGTGTGTAAAACATAGTTGCGGTGATGCAAGACCAATTTCACAGTAATCATACAATCAAGTACTATTGTATCATAAATCATCGTATCTTACTCAATTTAATAAGGTAGTATATTATATTTGGCATCACATCTTATTAAGGATAATGTTCACTTCTAATATTTAATACTTTCCATGGGTAGTAAATCATCTTTTGTATTAATAATAATATAATAATAAATAATAAACTTTATTTTATATAGCGCCTTTAAAGGTGGCTTCTCAAAGCGCTTTACAGGATGACAATAACAATAAATAAGAAGACTACAACAATAAATAAGAAAATTTCACAAGACAGGACACAATTATAATTACAACAATACAACAATAAAAATAGGGGAGACCGTGGAAGATGGTATTAAGAAGAGCAGAGGGGTGAAGAATGGAACCAGTTAAGTAAAGGCTTTTCTGAAGAAGAAGGTTTTGAGTCTGGATTTGAAGGAGTTTAGAGAAGGTGACTCTCTAATATCCTTGGGCAAAGAGTTCCAGAGCTTGGGGGCATAGCAGGAGAAGGCCCTGTCGCCCATACAATGTAGACGGGCTTGGGGGACAGTAAGGAGGGCAGAATTTGAAGAGCGGAGGTTGCCAGGTGGGGAGTAGGGCGATAAAAGTTCAGACAGGTATTGAGGTGCCAAGCCATGTAAAGCCTTGTAGGTGAGCATGAGGATTTTAAAGTCTACGCGGAATTTGACCGGAAGCCAGTGCAAGGACTCCAGGATAGGAGTAATGTGAACACTTGTACTAGACCTGGTCAGGATTCTGGCTGCTGAATTTTGGACATACTGCAGCTTGTTCAGAGTAGATTTAGATACACCAGGGAGCAGAGCATTGCAGTAGTCAATTCGGGAGAATACAAATATGTTGATCAGCTTTTCAGCCACAGTTAATGATAGCATAGGGCGTAGTCTTGCGATATTTCTAAGGTGAAAAAAAGATGTTTTGACAGTATGCTGTACATGTGGGTCGAATGTTAAGCCAGAATCAAATATAACCCCAAGGTTTTTCAATTTTGATTAACAGATGCATTTACTACTGTATGCTTGTATGTACTCCTTGCACCTTCAGATAAATCCATCCATCACTTTTCTGTTTCATTCAATTTAGGGTCCCAGCACCTTGAGGCAGGAATGCTAATCATTGTGCCAATGTGCTGTCCCCTACATATTTTTCACAGCTCAGGGGTCTGGGTGTCTGTCTGTGTGGAGTTTATATGTTCTCTGTGTTTTTATGTGGGGTTTTGCTGGGTGCCCTGGTATATTACAGCCTTCCACGCGTTAAGTATGATTGGCAATTCTAAATTGACTTCTCATTGCTAACTCCACCAAGAACAGGGATATCTCCCCACCTCATTAGTTCACAATTAGGGGAGATGTGTCTTCTCCCTTATGCCTCATTTGCAGATTAGGACTAGACAGACAGGCCCTTTAACATATTGGAATATATTGTCATTCAGTCTGAAAACTGAAAATTAATTAATGAAATAACAGGACAGCACTGTATGAATTGCTTATTAGTGTTAGCAAACTATAATCTATGTTACTAATATTTATTTAAATATTGTGCAGTACAAAACCCAATATTTAAAAATATAATTTTGTAAAAAGTATACCAAATAAAACACATCTTCTCATGAAGTCCAAATTTTAAAATCTTCAACTGAGGCACTCATGCAGTAAAATAATAGCTGTTTATTTGTAAATGTCATACAGCAAAGGGAAATGTCATTACAGTACATTTCAACATTACTTAAAAAAAAATAAAAACAGCATATGCTGTACTGATACTTGATGGAGCATGTGTAAATTAGCAGTTCAACTTAAAAAGACCCATAGACACAGCATTAGGCAGCCATTCAGTATAAATTTCTTATAAAACACACATTAAGATTAAGATGTTGGATGTTGTACATCTACACTGATGGTTTGCCAAGCAGTGGAACATTTGCATCAGTATTGATCAAAATTCATCCCTGCTGATACAGTACATGCTAATCAATGCATCAGGTGAAAAATCCAAATTAACGTAGTACATGAAGCTATAGCGCCTGTCATTTTAAACCACTTATTCTCACAGATTCTGATTAGAATTAGTACTACTGTAAATGACCTCAGCTAAATTAGTTCCATCCCCACAGATATAGAAGATTGTAAGACATTTCTTCAAAATATACTGTACATGAAACATTATAAGGAAGGATTATATATTGTACCGTAAGTGCAGAACATCAGTATCAAAAAAGATTTTTTGATAGAAATTAGGGAATTACAGGCATGTGAGAAGAAAGGTCACTCAAGAATTATTTTTTAAAATGTAAAATTGTTATAGTTTTAACTATTAATACCAAGTTTTAACTATTAATACCAATTATTCTCAGGATTTGCTCTGGGGTTTGAGAGTGAAAATGATTTTCTTTGTGGGCTGTGCCAGTGGTTTTGGAGCAGGTGCTGTTCTTCTTGACTTTTGTTGACTGAGTTGTAAAGGCTTAAGCCCGAGCATTTCACAGAACCTATTACACTGGTGGAGAACTTTGAACTGGTCAATGAAGGATGTGGCACAGTTGCCTTTGAAACCCTTGAACCTAAAAAACAGAAGCAAAATCTTATTTCAGAAATCAGCATTACCGTACACGGTTGATTTCATGACTGATAAACAATACAACCACACAGATACTTTCTGATATAACATAATAAATGTACTTTTAGTTTTGTTCCACATGATTTCTGAAGTCAGCTAACTCTGGAATTCAGACACTTCATATAAACTTACCCTTTCTTACAGGTCGCTATTCCAACATCAGTTAACTTCATCCCCACACCTGTGAATGAAATATGTTTTATTTAAATACATTTACAAACTAAAGAATAAGGGCAGAAAATAAAACGAGCCTAATAACCCTTTAGCTCCACTGGCTGGGTCCCTATTGAGTGACACCGGAGGCCTGGGTTCGAGTCCCCAGCGGTGGGGGGCTGACTTGAGGTGGCAGTGGTGAGGGTGCATACCCAAGTGAACCCGAGAGTGCTACAATAATTTGGGGGTGGACCGGTGGCACTCTGGCTAAGGATCTGTGCCTGTGGCCAGAAGGTTGCCAGTTAAAATCCTGCAGCCAGCAGAGGAATCCTACTCCGTTGGGCCCCTGAGCAAGGCCCATAACCCCAACTGCTCCAGGGGCGCTGTACAATGGCTGACCCTGTGCTCTGACCCCAAGCTTCTCTCCCTGTCTGTGTGTCTATGTCTCATGGAGAGCAAGCTGGGGAATGCGAAAAGATGAATTCCTAATGCAAGAAATTGTATATGGCTAATAAAGTGATCTTATCTTATCTTAACCTGTTTTAGCATGTGCTGTATGACCTTAACCTTGGGTGGCAGCAAAATGTGTAACATACAGTATAGCTCATTGTTCCTCCATCTGTAAATACTAAAATCATATGATATATACCAGTCTTATTCTAATTTGCATTCCACCAGAGTTGTTACATTATTAAACTAATTATTTGCTCAGGAAAATCTTTTGATTAAGGCATCCAAGACTTCCAAGTATGTATTACTTATGATAAACAAAGCTACCAGATTCTGTCTGTTGCTGGCTCTGGAAAGTGTACCCAATAGAATACACCATAATGTCTGCCACATGGTTATTTTATTAATCTTGTATGATTTGCATAGTGACATTTTCACTTCGTTCTATGATTAAATTTACTGGGATTTGATTTTTTCGATTGAGCTTAGAAAAAACAGTACTGTAACAAAGAAACATAACACAACAGATGCTTTTTGAAGATGTTGAAGATCTCATGATCTCTTACACTTCCTAAAAATGTGTATTTTGATTTACGAAATGGTAAGAGATTTTGTGACAAACATCCCTTGGATTTTTGGCTTCTTTCTGCTCTCAAACAGCAGACTGTATTAATTATTTGGATGCCCAGTGAGACTAGAAATGACAAGTCACAAAGTAAGTTTTCTTTTCTTCTCAAAGCGAGTTCCAAGGACATTTGCAAAGAGATAGATTCACACTTTTGTAAATCACCCTGATGTGTGCCTCAGAGCAGGACAAATATATGATCTGCAATATACAAATAAACAAATGCAAACCAGCTAGGAAACTGGAGTGTCAATAAATATATTTCTTCCTTTAAATGACAGACCTTAACGTTTCTGAAATATTTATTATGTATGCTAACTGAAATTTTACCTTGCATATCTGTGATAAGCAGGTTACCCTCTGTGTTTTGGTAGACCCAGTGCTGGAAGGTACAGCATTTCTGCCCTGCATCTGAATCTCTTCTCATCAAGTTGATTTCCTTTCCGTCCTTCACCGAATATTTCACAAAGTCTCCAATCAGTTCCTCTTCTAGTGTGGCATATGGGATTTCATTGGTAGGGCGGTGAACAAGGTAAATGGGAATGATCCTAAAATAAAAATTAAAAATGACTGTGAAAACCTGCTTATTCATGAGACTTTCAAAACGAACCTGGAGAGAGGGGAAATATTCAGGCTACATCTCAATCTACAAGTCAAACATTTAAATCCACTATGAAAGAGGCACACCGATGTGCATTTTGCATCCTCTAATCATTGTCTTTTTCATTCCAACTTGTTTTACAGTATGTTGTACTTATTTCAAATGAAAATAAACAACAATAAAATATTACGAAAGACGCAAAATAACAAGCAATCTGAGTGATACCAAAAGCATATTGTAGAGATAATAATTCTAATGATCAAGAAATCATATGTGTACCTCCAATCTTCAATATAGTTCCAAAGTGGAAACCATACAGTATATTCAGGTACATTAAGCCATATGCTGCAATAAGTCAGTATCTTATGTTAAAGGTCCAAAACTTAAAAGCTAACATATCAGATGATGTCTCATTGATGACATTGATTAATTGATGACAAATTCATTTTACAGTTCACTACTGTATACAGTATCTTGTACTGTATACTTCAGCTCATACATTTCAAAAAGTCTTGAATTTTAAATCCTAATGGATTTAATGATTGGGTGACATTTTGATTTCTTTTTGATTCTAGACCACACTAGATTACAGTACAGTATGTCACATAATGCTGTCAAGGCTTAGTTGCTAAATGTGGGGATGTACTTACTCAGGAATATCTCCAAATCCTTCTGTAGACATGGCAATCTCTGTATATGCTTTAAGGTATTGTCTTGCTGTGTTCTGCACATGACACTCCTAAAGCAAAAGAAGTTTAAAATAAAATTCAATTTAAAATAATTTATCAGCATTCACATCTTCTTTAGTATTAGTTCTATTCATGTTAAATTTAACATCAGGACCTTGTTAACCCTTTTATGTTTCTTAATGAAAGATGAACAAAATGTAATGTTACCAAAACTCTTAATTAGGATTTTTAACTTTTTACATTACTCAACTACCACATTCTACAACCTGCTTTTATGTACTGTATGTGCAAGCAAAGTGTAAAATCCCTTGGTGTAGTAACATTTAAAAAATCTGGATAATAAAAACAAGGAAACAAAGGAATTAAGGTAGAATCTTTGGGTTCATAAATTTAATTGTGAGCATGTACAGTAAATGTTGGATTCCTTTAAACTTTGCAAAGTTTAGATTTTCCTAAAGAACCATTTTAACAGTTTCCCTCTTTTAAATAGATTAAATTTGCTACTGACTAAAATCCAGTCCAAAACTTTGACCTTTCTGCAGACCACCAGATACTAATCCATTACCTGATGTTTATCAGATTAATGTTTTTGGTTTTCATAGAAACTCCTATGATATACTGTACTTGCTTTGTAATTTACACTTGGCCAGTGAGGTGAATTACTAGTTTAATGTGGGTCAGTTCTTTGTAAACAGGAGTACAAGTGCAAGCAGTATTTACCTCTACAGCTAAGTCATAGTTCTTCTGGACTAATTCCTCATTGGTTTTGGTCCCATAGCTGATGGAGTTGTGCACTTTGAGGACACAGGGGTGCCCAGGGTGAAACAGAGACTTCAGGCCATCGACAATCGTTGTCCTGAAAGCTTTACGGTGCATGCCCTCTCCAAAGTGGTCCTCTTCTGTAGTAATACTGCCATACTGATTGTCTCCAAAATACTGGTCACTTAGAAAATCATCTCTGAACATAAGCTCAGTACATTTAATGTTTTCTCCTTCTGCCACTATAGATAAAAGAAATACAATTATATTTTTCCATTAGTAGTAATTTAATCCTTTATGAAAAAAAAAATCACAATTGTGTGTCATAAAAGACCAAAGGATCTTCAAAAGCAACACATTTGTCACCCAACACATGTTTAGGTTCAAGTAAATTTAAATTTCAAACACTAACAAGAACTTTTGGAGCTCTTTCCTGTTTAGCAGTGTTGCACTGTATTACTTCAACCTACAGTAGATCCAAAAATATGGGTAAATGAAAAAAACGTACTCAAATGTTATGTCTCTACAGATCTGCCTTTTCAAACTTCATAATGACTTACTTTAAAATGGAAAACCTATTGTTTTAGTCTACAAGCTTTTATTTGTGATGCTTAAAGTTTAAATTGTGATAATTTTGCATCCAGAGCGTAATTTCACTGCATTTTCGACTTGTGCTCCTATGAGCAAGCATGTTTCTAATTTAAAAAAAACAGAAACCTCACACTCAGGGCCCTCAGTGATTTTTATAACTTGGTAAAATATGGCTTACCTTTATGATTTTGACAAGGGATGAGCTCATTCAGTGCTAAGAAAGAAAATAAAAATTAAAAGGATTTTGTTTTTTAAACAAAGCCACAAAGTGAAATAGTTTTCTTCCATTAAAAATCAGAAAATGAAGAAATGCAATGGCAATTATGAGGATTCTTACCTTCTAAACTGAAGCAGTAATCTAAAGACACATTTCCGAGAGAGCTTTTGAGCTGGCACTGGTAAATTCCTACGTCTTTATTGGAGGCTTTTACAATTGTAAAGAAGACTGGGCTTTCATCACCTGTGCTGTGAAGAATGAGAAATGAATGTCTGTGAGCTAAACAGCCTAATTTTCCCAATAAGATAGACCTGTACTTTTCAGTCTTGGTCTTGGGAAATCACTATGTCCCAGAGTCTCTTTGTGTGTCTCAAAGCCAGGTTCTATTTTTATTTTAGGAGTATTTTAAGCTTTTCTTTAAGGTCTTAAAAGCTGAGTTGTGTTAATAATTATCCCTGCCTATGTCCAGTTACTGTATCATACACTGATCACCTATTAAAGAGAGTTTTGTTAGTCAGAGATAAGGGGGCAAATTCTTAATTAGGAGGTTGAGGAGAGACTGTATAAAGTTCTGTATTCTGAAGTTGCTGGGAAGAATATATTTTAACAAGGTCATTTGTTAAATGAGAACCAAAAAACAGGAACAGTGGTCTGTCCAGACCAAGTACTGACACACACCAAAATGTAGGCATATACAGCAAATTACAGTATGTTGTGAGCTGTGAGGGTACTTAGTGATTCTAGATTTTCTGAGTGCAAATTGAGAGGTCTTATTTTCTTCCTCTACCTCTAAACACAGAATTATCTGTGTATTTCTGCTCTTCCAAAACCTTTTATAGAGACAATCTCAGCTCTAGACCAACTAGGCATGCTGAAGTGATTTATGCTGCAATAATGACGCAGCTGGTGCAGTGCAGTAACAATGTGATGTCACCACTGTCCCACAGCGTGGATATTCAGTTCTACAATATCTGCAGCAACACACTCCCATATATCCAAAATATGTAATTCTTAACACTGCTAGAATTCGCTCGCTTGAATCTAGAGCAAAATTAAATTAAAAACTGAATTTGTAAATATGTCATCTGGTTTGTTCATCTAAAAGCAGACCTATCCTCCCCTTATCTTATTCTTGTGCTTTTCCAAATATCACAAAATCCCATTTTAATTAACTATTGACGATATCTGAGGCAAATGGGCCAAGGGAGATTAAAAAAGGCTTCACTGGAGAAAGCAGTATTCTCTGAGAAATGCACATTGGAATGTATTAAAATAATTTATTCTTATAAATTATTAAGCACACTGCTCAATTGGCCTGAGGTAGATCAATATTAAGCCATTTGAAAATAAACATTTATGATTCATTATATTACATAATGTATGTTTTTGCATGATTTTTTACTCCCACTAAATCCAGTCATGCTTGAATCACTACCTGTAAGCGTCCCTCAGTACTCCTGCCAAGCTGCTCTAGTTATCATCAGAAACTTTATGAAAGAGCTCCCTCAAGTGATAGGAAAGGAAATCTCTTTCAATAAAGTCAAAAATATATGTAACATATACTGTATATGTATGTAAATGCACCATAAAAATTGCGACCATATTATGACTTGCATATTTTTTCAGGTATATTCTTGCTATCATATTCATGTAATTGTATGAATCCTTTCAAAAGGATACAAAAATCACATAATAATATTCAAATCAAATGACATAATAAGAATACTTTTTAACTTCTGGACTCTCCTGAGTCTCTAGATGAAAAAAGTAAATACAGTTTTTATATGGGCCTGCTGGCATGATCTTTGAAAACGGTTATGTTAAAAGTGGATATTTTCAATCCCTCTGGCTTTTGTTGTTTTTAATTGACCGGCTCCACCAGCTTCACAAATTGGTCTGTTTCGGTCATTTAAAGGTACAGGTGCAGCTTTTTCTTTGTGACTGTTTTTCCTGACAGAAGTAAAAAATAGACTACTAAACCAGTGTCCATTTACTAAGGGAGTCGTGCAAATAAACATATTTACAAAAGAAGATCAAACATACAACAAACTAGTTTCTCCAGGTATACAGTATTCACATATACAGTAGCAGATTTAGGAATACCACATACTGTACCAGGCCTACAACTTGCCAAACTATGTTATACTGTAGAACACAGCACAGACTAACAAGTCAAAGACTGATTAGTACACCACCACTACCAGACGAAAATACATTAAGCTTCACCCCAGCTCCCCTTGATGGACAGGTAAGACACCATTTTAACCAGAGGGGCATCAGGTTCTGTAACTTGACAAAAACTGACAGAGCACACGGGACACAAGGACTATGATAGTGGATCCTCAACAGGTAAAACACAAAACAAATAACAACAACAATGAAAAAATTCAACACACAAATAAGAAAGTCAACATTAATAATAACATGACAATGACTATGTGTGAATATGCAAAATCTTTAAAATCTTTTCATGTGTTCTGGGATGATGAATAATGATGAACTCATCATTGATGACACTGATGAAACATGGTGAATATAGGATTATGACTGATCCCATAAGAGGTCGAGTAATATGATACATACTGTACCACACAGAGGGCATGCAACACGCCTTTTCTTCCAAGAAAAGCAATAATATCTTGATTTCCAAAGGCTATATGGTAGGTAACAAGCTTGTGTGAAATGTTTTGTGTTGCTTTAAAAGTAATTTATTTTCCATTAATTACAATATCTATTTTACCTTCTCTCTACTTCAGCCAGAACAGACCCATCTTTAATCCATGTGATGGAACAATCAGTATGGATGTTACCAAATTGGCAGCAGAGACTGATGTTCCCAGAATCCTCCAGGTTTCTTTCTGCTTGGATGTTCTGCAGAATATTCGGGGCTAAGAAAATACATACATTGATTGATCTTTTTTCTATTTCTGTCAAGAGAGAAAATTACACTGAAAACCTGTACAATAAAAACCACCCATTATGTGTTTTATACACATACAGTAAACATGTCTGAGCTTTGATATAATTTAATCCTGGTGTCGAATTAAATTGTTTCAGTTCACAAAGAGCAACATGTTCTCTGACAAAATGGAAACATAATAAATACTTGAAATATCTTTGCTCACTAGTTCAATTAACTAAGCTCAGCTGAAATGAGCTGCTCGTAGGAAAGTCTTATAATGCCTAAACTTCCATGAGAATAAAAAATAAATATTTTTGCAATAGTTCTGCAGAAAGGTACCCTTTATACAACCATTGTAAAAGCTGAGTAAAACATACAGTAGTAGCTCACATAGTAGTAAAATGATTCAGCACAGTATGCAGGGCAAAGTATGAAACTGAAAAAGCATGGCACATGCAGCGAGCCAAAGAAAAGTAAATGTGTGAGAAAAACAGCATGAATTTCTATTAGGGATATCTCATGGGAAAAAATATGGAACTGCAAGAATGATTTTTTTTCCCAAAGTAATCATTTTGTATTTAGAGTTTGTGTTTTAAATGCTCAGCAAGAAAGCTATGGGAGATTCAATATTTGGGAAATATTTTTGAATATGATAGGAGGCAACAAACTCTTGTACCATCTTATCCTTATCACTAAAACTTTTAGGTAGTTACAAATATATGTGTTGCTTATTTTATTCCTTATTTAAATGTGAAAAAGAAATTCTAGCAATCCTATTTCTGAGAGTGACAACTAGAGTTTTTCCTTACTTTTCTCTTCCTGCTGCTTCTCAGTGTGTGGTTCTTTATGGGGTTTTTTGTGGGTCATCTCTGTTGATGCTTTTCTCTCATTCTTCTTTAGTTGTCCAGAATAATCATTTTTTCCCAATTCAGGCTTCTGACACTCCACTTCTGAAGTATCTTTGTCAACTCCTTCATCCGACAAACGAATGCGCTTGGCCAGTTCTTCATTATCTTCATTCTGGACTAAAGATGCTGTCTGAATTTCTTCTTCTGATATTAAATTCACAGAATTCTCCAAAATAGTGACCTTTTCTCCTGCCCCCAATGTTTGACTGACAATGTTTCTGACTGACAATTGATTCTGTGCATTGTGCAAATGAAAGTGTTCCTTTCTATGAGCAGCTGTCATCAGATTTTCATTGTTTTTCTTCCCCTGTGACATTGGTTTTGCCTCCAAAGCTTCAGGTTTCCCCTTAGAGGGTATTACTTTGGGCTTTTCTGCTTCCACTGAAGGCAACCCTGGCTTTTTGTAGTATTGATGTGAATGTTCTATGTTGTCTATGTTTACCGGCAGTGCCCAATTTTTTTTCTTCCTGCTATGAGATCTATGAGTGTTTTTTTCTTTTTTCTGAGTTGATAAACTAGTCTCTTTTTCTGGTTGGACTGGCACACTCAGTTTATTATTTTGCTTACATATTGCTGTCTTCCCACAGATAGGTATCTCCTCATGGAATCTGAGAACTGCCTCAGGATCACAAAATTTCTCTTTTTCAAGGAACTCTCTTTCAAAACCAGACTTTTTTGCTCCATTCAGAGGCCTACCAGCTGCTGTTTCAAAACTAGCTTCACTCAAAGGACATTGCTCAATTGACGTGCACATGGCAAAAGATTGAGGATCAGTATTCACCTGATGTGAGGCAGTTTGTAGAGTTCTGTCCAGATTAATGGGTTTTAATATATTGCTGCCATTTTCAAAAGATATGTCAGTAGGATTATCTTTGGATTTTGGGGTCGTTTTCTGAGGCAGGTGGAATCTTTGTTCTTGTTCCTTTCTACTGTAACTTTGAGCACCAATGTAATTTTGAACATCGATATTTAGAGGTTTACACATTGTTTTCAATGGTTCAAGTGAAATTTTACTTGGGTCTGTATTTTTTGTAAGTGTTTGAGATATTTCGGTAGTTTCTTTTTCAGCACTGTGACTAGACCAGGTTTCTGTTGACTGTTGAACTCCATTCTCAGCTGTTGCTTTCCCTGAGTTTACTTCATCAGTGTAAATGTACTGAACCCTGTTGTGCACTTGATCAACTAAAATAGCATCTTGAGGTTTAGAGGAAGTTGAGCTTTCATTTCCTGTTGTGATTATTTTTTCTGTTGAAGTCATTTTTACTGCACTGTGAGAGCCTTCAGTTTCATGTGTCAGCACCATTGAATCAGAAACCATAGTTACATCCTGTATTATTATACAATTTTTCTGTTTTTCAACTTTTTGGTCTTTTTGATGACAATCTGGTACAAATAATGTCATATGTACAAGACTATCTTCCTTAGCTGTAGTCAAAATGTCACTTGTTAATCTGATTACATCTGAAATTTCTTTGCTGACATTGCTAAATGCATGTATAGATTTATTTTGCTTGTTGTCCAAATCATGAAATTCCATAGTTAAGACAGGTTTGCCTGATGCAATCTCTTTTTGGCAGGATGAATCATCACATAATGATTTTTGAAATGTTGCTTGAGCAGATGCCAAACCTAAAAACTGACACTGGTCGAAGAATGTGTTGTCTTTGTAACAAAGGTTTTGATTTTGTTCAAGTATGGTGTCACTTTTAGATTCAGCATCGGCAGCCGAAGAACATTTGTCCTCCTCAGAAACATGCTCAAAAAGAGCATGAGTTTCAGTCTCTTCAGTGCTACGTTCACTTTTCTTATGAATCTGAATCCCCACAGAACCAATTTCACCTTCATTGAAAAAGCCTTCTGGCACAAGCTTAGTCCTTAGTCCAATTGTTTGATTTGAAGTTTCTAAATTCTCATTGGCTTTAAATAGTACTGGACAGGAATTTGAGCACATCTGAAAACCATTCACTAAACCCTTGCTGAGGTTCTGGTCCCTATCCAAGCAACCTCTACCGTAAGGAGACATTTCCTGGTAAAGGGGAGTTGAATGTTTCTCTGTGGAGTCATCCACTTCAGACTTTAAAAACAAACTACCATTTTGTTTTTGAGAATCTGAAGTAGACATGAAATCCTTCCCTTTCCTTGGAGCTCCTTCTTCATGGTTCAGGTATTCTTCAGGGACATGTAGTTTTTCTGTTTTAACTGCAGAGACAATGATGTCACCATCTGAAGCCTCTCTAGGTAATTGAACCTCCATGCTGGAGACTGTTCTTTGAGAAGAGTTATCCATATTTCTTTTCTTTCGGTGGATAAGATCCACAGGAAAATGCTGGCTGATGTCTTTGTCAGACTTCCCGGGGCCATTGTTTTCTTCTTCTCCTTCCTTTAATTCATAGTCTAGACAAGGATCTGTAATGCTGGTTTCACTATGCCTTATGGTATTACCAGCCTCACCCTGTGGGAAAAAAATAGTTATCTTAATTTTCTTTAAGTAAGCAATATAATATTTAGAGATATACTTGGGAATTCTAATTAATGTCTAATTAATTCTAATTAATGTCTAATTAATATTATGTATGTTTACATAACACAAGTTTACCCTAAAAATAAAATAAATTAAGAAAACATTTTCTGATACACATTTTTGCTGCTGTAAAGTCACTATAAACATTATAAAAACAATGTACAGAAACAGCTGAATAGATGTAAAATGGATCCAACCTACCTGACTAACGTTAGTACATTTTAAAAAATTCTAATAAGAAACAGACCTACAAAATATAATTTCTCATTCTCCCATTAAATGATTAAGCTTAATATCTATCAGAATACTGTATACAGTCTAGATATACAGATGATCATATGGTTTTACTAAGTGTCACCTTAAGCACATTTCAGAAAACATCTAATTTTGTTTTCATGTTCGACTAAGAAAATCCTCCTATTAATATGAAACTAATGTATTTCCAAGAAATGTACTTCTTGAAGAAACAAACAAATGCTGGAGAATCGCTGGCCTTGGTATGACTTCACATACAAAAAATGGAGTAAAAGAACTTTAAAAAATTCATTCAAGATAATTCAAAATCAGAACCAGGGTTTGTGCCAAAACCCTCCTTTGAAAAATTAGTTGCATTAACAATTAAATCACCCAGCCTGTATGAATCCCTTAAGAGATTACAGAGAATGAGCAGCAAGCAGTCAGACCTGACAGGAAAATGAGATAATACCAATGATTCATGAAGGGTTGTACTGGTGAGTCAGATATTAATTAAAAATAAATGTCAGGAAACTCATCAACATTTACATCTTAAAGGCAATATATATTTACTGGTTGCAGTGGGTGAAAGCTCTTGGTAGTTTAAAATTCTGAATTAAAGTTCTTTTTTTCTTACTGAAGAAAATTTTCGTTATACAAGAAAATGCTGTATTATTATAATATGTTAAATTGAATAGAATGTAACAATCACTTCATTTAAAATAATCTCTTTGATCCCTTCCAATCTGGTCTCAGACTATTACACATCAAAGTAACTCCCCTTGTTAAAGTTACTAATGATATTCTTATGGCAACTGTCTCTTGGTCTCTATCCTAATTCTTCTATGACGTAGAAGTGATCTTTTAGTCCTAGACCTAGAAGTGATCTTCTAGTCCTAGATCTAGAAGTGCTGGTTTTGACACTGTTAAGAATGGCATTTTACTCTCCCGTCTTGGCACTGTATTTGGAATTTTTGACATCACTCTTAAATGATTCAGCTTTTTTTCAACATGTTGTTTCTCTTTAGTTCTGAAGTTGGGTACGTTTTGGAAGTTTGGTGTTCCCCAAGGCTTAATAGTGGGTCCCCTGCTATTCAGAATCTTAATATTTCTAATTGGTCATATATTTAAATGGTGTGGTCTAAATTATCATTTATACATTGATGATACTCACTCTGTGTCCGTACTAAACCTAACACTGAAGTAGCTCTCTCTACACTCTCTAATTTGATCTCTGATATAAAAACCTGATGACTTAAAATTTCCTTCACTTAAAGTGACAAAACTGAGGTCATGCTACTTGGCACCTCCCATGACCTACATAAAGCTGTAATACTGTAACCATATTTGTAACCATAACTGTGGATGGCACTGCACTTGAATTTCACTTAAAATTGAAGACTTTAGGGTGATATTCGATCCTTGCTTGATTTTGACTCTCATGTGCATAATATTGTAGTAATATTCCTCCATCTATGAAACATCACCAGACTGCATCCTATGTTGTCTTGTACTGATGCAGAAAGGCTAGTAAAACATTTGTTTTTTCAAGAATTGTTTACTGATTACTGGAATGCCCTGCTCACTTACGTCACTAAACCCACACTTAACAAACTCCAATATATTCTGAATTTGACAGCAAGAATCCTAAACAGGTCATAATGTCTTGGAGTTCTTGCACTGGCTTCCTATTAGATTTCTAGTCAACTTCAAAATCCTCATGCCCATCTACAAGGCTCCACATGACCTGGCACCTTAGGACCCATCTGACTTATTATCTTTCCACCTTGCTACCTTTACCTTGCTACTCAGGTCTTCTACATGTCCCTCAAGCTCATTTACATTCTGTGGGTGAAGGGCCTTCTCTGGTACACCCCAAAGATCTGGACCTTTATTCCCAAGGATATCAGGTATACCTACGCAGATGGTATTGAAATCTAGACTCAAAACCTTTGTTTTCCAAAAGGCTTTTACTTAATTAATGTCTGTGTCTGCTCCAATTTCTAACCTCTGCTGCACCTTAACCACTTGTCATTCTTATATGCATTTACAGTTCTTTGTAATTTGCTATCCTAATAACTGTTTCTAACCCATTTGCACATTTTCTATTGCACCCCCTCTCTAATTCATCATCATACTTGCAGCAGCTCCCTCGCTCATTCCTTGTTCTTATGGCCAGAATGCTGTTTCCTCAGCCAATTAAGTTAAGGTAACAAAACAATTAATCCAAGTCATGCCTGTGATTCTCATTGATTGCCTGTGATTCTCATGCTCAATTTTAAAATGGGATGATGTTACAGTTTACATTTTTATACTGTATATCTATTTCAGTGATGCAATCTCTCTTGATAAAGAATCAAAATATGGAATTTGAAGCTGTGTGTCTCTCTTGTCAAGTTAAAAATAAAATCACAAAATGAATCATGTTTGAATCGCAAAGTTTTTATGCCACACTTTATATTCTTAACCTGACAGAAAAAAACATGAAATTATTTTGATTCACACTTACACTTATTTTTGGTGGTGGAAAGACTGGAGAAAATTTTGATCTGGTCCAAGAGAAGTTGTATTGTAAATAGAAAAACATCCATTGCATGTCTTGAAGGACACTTAATTGCCACAAACCAGATGACATAAGTGGAAACTATGGGGTGGTAGCATTTGAAATTGAGATCAGGAAACCCTATATTTACACAAAAGGTTGTGGGAGTCTGGAAGAAGCTACCTAACCATGTTGCTAAAGCTGATATCCTAGCTTTCTTAAAAGAAAAAGCTGCATATGATCCTCAGAACACTTAGCTATTAGCAGTTAAATGTGCTAGAATGTTATTGAATGACTTTTGTATGCTGACTAAAACTAATTCCCTACGTGATTCAGAAGATTGGTTACACACTACAGAGTGGATGGAACCTTTGTTCATTAGTGTCTTGTTACGCTCATCAGCTGTTCTTGGTCTCACCCAGTGTATAAGTGCTATTATCTTCAAGCCTGCTCTATAATTAGGTGGCATTTCTGTTTATCTATGGCTTTTTCAAAACATCACATTTCCTTCCCAGCAGCTGTCACTCTCAGACTATTTTGCACTGTGTAATCAAAGGACAAGATAACCCCACCCTCAAGGCTGAGCACCAGTCACAGAAAGTTACTCTTGAAATTACAACAGGCTTCCATGGGACTTCTCTATATTAAGCAATAAGGTTAAACATAGAGAAATGTCACCATTGCAATATTTCAATGTTTTAAAATGGTAAATGCTAATTTGTGCTGTAACTACCCATTTGTACTAAACCATATTTTTCAACACAGTAGCTTAATAAATCAAAGCAATATATGTACATTTACTGAATACAAAGTACAGAATGAGGAAAAAAGACAGTAGCTTGAATCTGTTAATATTGTATTGTGGTGTTAGACAACTGAAGCAACTCAATTTCTTTTAAAATTCTGATGTGGAAGCATACTGTATAGGATATCAGGACATGAGACCTGTTATTAGGCATACTGTACTGAAGCTTTTGAACTTACCTGATGTTCTACATATATTGTGCATTCAAATATATTTTTCTTATACTCATCAAAAGTGTTATAAGAAAAGATTTTAGCCTTCGTTACCTTGTTTGTCTGCTGTAAAAGAATGCATCCTGTGGAGGCACTGGTAACTAAAGCATTGTCACTTAAAGTTGTGTTTCCCACAGATCTAAGATGTTCACAGGAACACATCACTTTAGTCATGTCCCATTCACAGGGTTTCTTAGAATCCACGGTTCCAGTCTGAGACAAGCGCATCTCCTTATCTGTATAAGTAATCCCAGGGCAATATCCCTCTGAAAATGATCCAGCGCTGGCCCCTTTACCTCCTTTTGATGAGCACCAAGCTTCTGTTTCACCTTTCTTGATCTTTAAATTGGGTTTTAAATTCTCTGTGTTTACTGACAGTCCCTCAGTCATCACTTTAGTACTGGGTTGTATACTTTCTTCTCCTGCCAAGCCATTATGCTCCTCCTTGTTCTCTTCCCATGTGTCAATGGCTGGGTCTTTAATTGCCATAGATTCCAGTTCTGCTGCTACAGAAGGCAAGCTGTCTGGACACTTAGTGGCTGTGTGAACCATCACAGAGCGTCTGGCTGGACAGCTGTCCCCAGATGGGTCTTTTTGAACAGATGGCTTCCACAATCTTGAGTCATCTGCAGGGAAGCCAATGGTATCGTCTGTATCCTCGCTGTAATTTGACACTTGGGGCTGCATTATATTTTCTTTAAGGCTACCAATCTGACTTTCATTCAGGCATAGGTCATCATCAATGCCATCACTTTCTTTTAAAGGTGGCAGCTCATGCCCTTGCAATCTAGCGTTCCACAATGCATTAGTGTAATCTGTCATGACATCAGAGCACTTTAAGTCGTCTAGAGCATACTCATCATCTTCATCTTCTGAGATAAGATGGGAACCCAATGAGAACTCGTTAGAATGATTGCAACCTTTTTTAGAGTAAGCGTGTATTAAAGGCTTCCTTTGGGCCCCAGTGTACTTGTCAGCTATTTCACTTACACCAACAGGTGATCTAAAGCCTGTCATAGCCCCTGCTAAATCACTATTTTCTTTCTTCTGGTATGGTGTAGTGACTGAAGTTGTGGAGTTGCTTTTTAAGACATGGGCATCAAAGTTACTATTAACCATGTGATTCTTTATAAGACTTTTTGTAGTTTGTGCAACAGCTTGTGGTCTAGCAGTAGGATTAAAATGTTCAGTTCTGCTTCTAATTTTGCTCAGATTACTGAATTCTTTTGCGGTTTTCTTATCAGCCATCGGATGAGCCACATCTGATTCAGACTGAATCTTGACAGAAGCCATTTCATCAGCAGCTGCTCTCTTTATAATGTCCCCATTTTCCTTGTGAGTGGCTGCCTTTTCATGATGTTTGGCAGTCTCAGCTTTGCGGCAAAGCAAACTTTCACTGTGTTTTTGCTTCAGCCGATGAAAAATATTATTTCGTGTCAAAGAACCGACTTCCAGTACAGCTGAACAGCTGGCCATCCCTTGGTTGTTCCTTGCAGACACCTGGTAAAGGCCTGCATCCTCTTCTGTGCACCTAAATGCAAAAAAAACAGGAGAAAGTCAGGTCAATTGAGCTCCTTTCACACAGATCTTTAGTTAATAATATAGTATATGAATGCATGTTATTAAGAATTATGGTTTTCAAAGTTTATGTACAGTCACCTTATTTTCCTTTAAACAGCAATCAACATACTAAAGCATGTTTTTGTTGTTCTGATCAGAGGAAATCTATAATTTATCTGTAATTCAAGTGCTATGATACTCAGCCAGCGGTATTTCTTGAGATACATCAATAGGATGTCATTATGAACACTTTGGCACTTATTCTAAAATACAATATAAACTATTTTCCATCATAAGTGAATCACTATAACAATTCAAACATACACCGTAGCTATAATCCAGGGTTTTTATGATATACTGTATCAATCTGACCAATTACAACTTTTCCAAATACCTATCAAACCTTTAGGACAATAAAAAACACATTTTTCTACTAATTATAATTGAATTTCTTATAGACCAAAACGGAATACAGTAATATACCAATCAGGTTATTTTATCTGACTAAAGTAGTTTTGTACAAAGTAGTTTTTAGAGGCAAAAAATAAACATACAGTACAAAAAGCATTATTAATGTTTTCCATACTGTATGTTTCCTGTAAATTTCAGTTACTAAATGTCATGATAAAAACAAAGAGAAATGAATCCTCCGAACGTCATTTACTTGTACAAATGAAGAATATGAATGCAGTTGTCCTTTAAAATTCCACTTAAATTGTTTAGGATTTGCCCATTCTTGTACCAGGTGACAGTTGGCTCAGGGGAGCCTGTAAAACAGAGAAAACCATAAGCATAATACTTACAAAGACACAAGAACAACATGATACTTCACATTTTCTATTATGAAACCAAACCCACAGTATTTACTAATTATAAGAGGGCTAAATATTGAGCATAGAATAGAATTAAACTACAAAATCTATTATCAATTAATTAGACTTTAATGTTGGGCACACATTTCACTACCTGCTGTAGAACTGTGATAATGGTGAAGTAAGATTGGATAAATAGCAATCAACATCACAGGGGTGAAACACATTTTATTTTTCCTTGTCAGAAATAAAACATTAAAATACAACACTAAAAAACTATTTGTACTATTTAAAATAGCAGGTCATGTCATGAGTTAATAAGAGAAGTTTCCACAAACTAGTGTGGAATTATTTAAAACATAAAGTGCATCATTCATAACATTTTCACTTCTAATTGCAACAGAATTCCAAATATCTTATCAGGAACATGACAAAATATTTTAATATAGCTTTAAATATAATAAGGATTTAAAAATACTGCAGTTTTCCACAATCGCATTGTAAATATATAACAACACAGGATTAATTACATTTGATTGATTGCATCTCCCTATAGAATGAGTTGTAATGAAATGTATTCATCCAAATCCAAGTTCGAAATGAGGTTTGAAAAGGTTGATTTTACCAGATATTGTACAAGTTAGTTGAACATCAGCATTTTCTGGCACTGCAAGACTTCTGAGGGGCACGATGAAGTGAGGTGAGGAGAGGTCAATCTCTTTGTCTGCCATTTCACCTTCATAAAACCTAAAACAATGTGATTTTTTAAAATGGTGAATTCAATTTGAATTACATTTTAAATAAATCCATACTACGCAAAGAGTCATTGTCAGTCCTGGCATTATATACAAATTAATTTCTATACGTGGTATTACAATATAGCCTAATAAGTACCCTGGCCCATACTTTTACGTATTCTGTTGACAGGGATTTAAACTGTAACACTCAAAAATAACAATAAAGAAAATCCACTCAAGCATAGTGAGTTGAGTGGAAAAAGTTAAGCTATAAGATAAGTCCCAGAAAACACCAATATCAATATAAAATGTTAGGAAAGAATTTGGGGCAACTGTAAGTCATGTCAGCCTGTTGCATGCATTGTACTGTATGTTAGAGGGGGCAAAATAAAATATCAGTTGTTTTGGAAGGCATTAAAAAATGGTGCTTTCGGAAACCTCTATGTACATACAGTAAGTGGATGAAAACACTACTCTCTAAGCTTCTAAGCTTTGACTGGACCCTTTCTTGTTTCTAAAGTTATATTATTTAATATAGTCATAATATTCTACAAGAACTAAATTGAGCAATAAATGATTAACTATTGTGCACAACCCTCCTATAATTTTTAAATATAGCCCTGGATCTTGATAAATTAAGATAAATATTTCTAAATCATTTAAGCAGATTTTTGCAGTTCTGCAGTTGTGAATATCATGTTGTATGTGACCATAATAAAAAAAAATACCATTAAATTATTTTTCACTGTCATGGGGTTGTGTAGAATATTATATAGCCTAGTTGATTAATTTAGCTGACATTTAACACATGTTTGATGAAAGCATTTATTATTTAAACAAGAAAAACAAATCAAAGATTTGTATGAATCAAAGACATGACATAATTATAAACTTTGTAAGAAGACCAGTATTCTATATCAGAAGTTCACAAAGTACAGGATATAAGTGGAAGTGCAAATAAGATATACAGTACATGTACAGTGTATACATTTTGTTAAATAAAACTGAATAGTGGGTATGTACACCAGTATAACAATCAGTGTGGGTATGAAAGCAATGGAAGTTATTATTTACAAAATACAATATACTGCCAATATTATATTAAAATAATACAAAATTGCTTGCACAGTATAGCACCTTTGTATACTGTAGATCCCCAAAGTGCTTCGAAAAGAGGAGAGGATCCACCTCATCTAACACTAAAGAACAGCACTAACCTGGATGAAAAGCAACAGCCATTATGCACCAGAATTCCCACTACATAGTAGATCAGTTAGTGAGAATATAGTTTAATTCCTTACTGAATTAAACTTTAGGGAGGCCATATTGCTCAGGACTAAAGAAGAATTTATCCAGAGTATGGGTTTTTATACTCATATGGGATCTTTAATCACCAAGAATCCAGGACCTTAATGTACAGTAACATTTAATCCAAAGGCACATCCGACAGCATAGTAATTGCTGTCACCATACTGGGGTTCGGCAATTATGATCTAGAGGGAACATCAGCAGCAAACAAATGTTCCTTAGTGGTCTCCCATCCCAGTACTAGCTAAGCCCAAACATAAATTCTGACATCTGATGAGATCAGGCAGCAAGGTTCACATTGCATGATGAAGATTATCATCAGAAAGCTATTGGATTACATACCTGGAAAAAAAATCTGATTCTAATCCCCTTGCATGAAGAAAAACTGAAACTTGATTGTAATTTCCCATTCTAAAAATCGGTGTCAGTGAAAATTCAGTACATTCAGTACTTAATAATGCTAGCAGATATATACAGTAGCAGATATAACAAAACTCTCCCTGCTCTTAAATTTTGTATTCCTTTTACATCCACCTGAATAACAGAAAAATAATGTTTCTTAAAACTAAAATATCTACAATTCTGACAAGAGAACACATTTAGTGTGAATTCAGCAGAGAAGCAGACCCCACATATTTGAAAAGTCTACTAATGGACTGAAATCTAAGAATGTATCATGGTGATATTTTCTTGACATAAACTGGGAAAAACATTTGTTTACATTTTAATATGTACATGCATATTTTGATGTTTTAATATCCAATTAATACTGTAAGACATCCATCAAACAGTGACAAAATAGACCACATACAGTATATTTTGTCTTACAGTAAATTCAGTTTTAATATACAGTATATTTCATTAAAAGTCTCTGTGTTAAAGAAAGACATTAATTAGAGTTAATTACCGTCCTAAAGGGTTTGTAGTCTTCCTATTACTGATAGATTAGTCAAGGGATGGCTAATGATAATCATTTTGTTTAATATTTTATGAATCAAGTCACAGAATTATTTTCAATATCTACATCACCACATTGGTTTTAAAAATAGAAGACTAATTACACTTAAGGACATTAATAGATTATTTTTACATACCTGTTTTTCATCCGATGCACTGATAATGCACTGAGTGATGATATAGAACGTGGAAATATGTCAAAGCAAAACTGTGGGTCTGAATCTATTTTTAACTTTTTCCCCCCAAGTACAAAGTTGGGTTACCTGATAGCATGAACATGTGCTATTCCTGAACCCTCATCATCACAGATCTATATTTATTCTACCTACATGCCTGCGAACATGCAAAAATTGTATTCCTGTGGTTTTGTCAACAACATCAAATGGAAAAATGTTTTTCCTTATAAGACAAAGATTTATAAATGTACAGTATGTTTATGTCATTGCATATTGTACCTATGGATAAGGAGTATTTTTTTTTATTTTAACATTTAGTTTTGGATCATTTGGTTTAATGTGGTAAATGTGTAAAAGAAAAGCAAAAACAAGGCAACATGTAACAGACATTTACAGTAAGAGAGAGGTCATTAGAGGTAATGTTATAACAGAGCTATGCTTTGATCCTTTTCAAATTGTTGTTTTTGTATATTACTGTAGCTATGTTAAAAAATCCCTTTATTGGAACCCAACATTGTGTCATATTCAAAGCAATAATTACTTCATATTATTTTTTTATTATATTAAACACAGACATCATTCGTCACTGTGGTCGAATCATTGAGTTATCTGGATGCGTCTAATGACATATATCAAATACCTCACCTACTGTATCACTTATAAAACATGTTCTGTTTTGTGTGATTTCAAAACAACATTTAAAAAAACTGTCTCCCTAAAAAGCTATGAATTGGCTTCATCACTCTGTTCTCTCCACAGATACAGTAGCTGATGTGTGGTGAGTGTACTGGCGCACTATGGTGGTCGGTGCATCATCCAGGTGGGGCTGCACATTGATGGTGTAGGAGGGGAAGTCCCCATTACCTGTAACGCTCTTTGAGGGGAGTGTCCAGAAAAGCACTATACACAGTACTAAGAGTAAGGAATTATTATTATTAGAAGCTGTAAGTGAGTTTCTAAAAGAGCTACAGTATAATGAACATTTTTCCATTTCCATTTCCATATTGCCAGATTTCCATAAATAACATACTGTATACTAGAACACATTTACTGGAATCAATAAACTGGTTTTGAAAGCATTTGCTTTTGCTGCTGTTAGTATTAGCTATAATCAAATTATGTTGTGGGTTTCTTTACAGCCAGCTGGAAAGTATTTCTGTCTGTTGGATGCAAAAAAAAGATAATTTATGAAATGATTAATACAAGGCTGTGTTCCATTAAGAAAACAAAACATTCGTCTCGCTCACCCTGCGGTCCATGTGGGTCCTAATGTCCCAGTATAGTGATGGGGACACTATACTGTAAACAGGCGCCGTCCTTCGGATGAGACGTAAAATCGAGGTCCTGACTCTCTGTGGTCATTAAAAATCCCTTGGCGTTTCTCGAAAAGAGTAGGGGTGTAACCCCGGCGTCCTGGCCAAATTTCCCATTGGCCCTTAACAATCATGGCCTTCTAATAATCCCCCTTTATGAATTGGCTTCATTACTCAGCTCTCGTCCCCACTGATAGCTGGTGTGTGGTGAGCGTTCTGGCGCACTATGGCTGCCGTCGCATCATCCAGGCGGATGTTGCACATTGGTGGTGGTGGAGGAGATCCCCATTACCTGTAAAGCACTTTGAGTGAAGTGTCCAGAAAAGCACTATATAAGTCTAAGCAATTATTAATTATTATTTTTATTATTATCTCAAATCATCCTCCACCTTATTGATGAATAGGGTTAGTGTTCTCTGAAAACTGCCAGTATCACATTTTTTTTCTTCCATCTCTGGAACTGACTATAACTGTAGATATCCTGTCTTGTAATTTGTGTGAGTCATTGTCATTTTCATTGAATGTGTAAAATAGTTAAGGTAAAGTTAAAACAATTGGTAAAGATGTGCTCCCTGTGGAAGGAACTTATTTTGTATGACATGTAAAAATACTGAACTACCATCACAGTAAAGATCTAAGTCACGTTTCATGTAAGATTGTGGAAAAGAAATAAAAAATACGCAATTTCTGTCAGTTTAAAAATAAACTGACATCTGTTTGCTCAAGCCCATTTTTCCCCAACATATTTCAATATCATCCTTTAAAAGCAGTAAAAGGCTAAGTCTGAAATATACTGTATAATTTAAGAACTTCAGATTATTTTTTAAATAAAAAAACAAAAATCCAAACTTTATCTGTTCACTGAAATTTGTTTTCCAATACAGTAATATTAAAGTAATCCATACAGAATGTTAAATAGTAAAACTAAAAGCAATTTACTTGATCACAGGTCACCGATGCAAAAATGTCAAATGTATATTAATAATAATAATGTTTTACTGATTGAGAGGAACAATACGGTTAGATTGTCTGTCTGTAGATGAGGAGATTTAATCTGAGTTGTGTGAAGAAGTACTGTGCAGCATTATTTTATCGAAATTTAATAAGGTTTTGGGGTGAATATAATAATTATACAACTACCAGAGTTTCACTATCATTAAATATGTTCTGTGATAACTCCTTTTTGCGATTTCCAATAACAGATACTCTTGATGCACTAATTCCACAACTCCGTGAGACTTTTTTTTCAGTAAATCCTTCCACCAATCTCTAAATCAAAGTATCTACTTAAATTTATTAGCGAGGCCTGCTGTAAAGGTTCTACAAAGGTCTATAAAAGATGATATATTCCTTTGTGTACAATATACTGTACCTCTCAGATCACCTTCAACCGCTATTTAATTTGTATGTGTAAATGAATGATGTACAGTAATATGTCTATAAACTGTGCTAGTGAACAGTTAACACAGCAGTTGATTTTTCTTACCCTTTCTTGATTTTGTTTTTGTTACTTTTTGATTTATTCTTTCCTCACCTGTTGTATAAACTACTGTACTGTATATACTGTAGGTTATTGTACCTGGGATTTTAATTTGTACAGTATATAATTTGTTACATTATCCGTTTATTTGTTTTGTTTGTTTACAATGTTTTGACTAAAAACGTTCTGCAAACATATCTTATACACTGCAACAGTTTGTAGCTTTTCGTTTGGTGTTTTTAAAAATAGTCAAGAGAAATATACCGTAGACTGTTAAAAACGATGTCTTAGTAACTATCTCCCGAGTCATTTACTGTATTTTAACTGGATAGTTAAAACACGACTCACAGAAAAACATTGGTAAGATGTACTTAATTAGTTGACTCATTTGTTAAAACCACTGAATTAACTTCCTTGTAAATATTTCTCTTAAGTTAGTCGTTCCAACCGCCTTACTTTTTCGACGTACAGTAGGTAGCAGTCTGGCAGCTGCTACTATAAAAATAGTACTCGTTTTATTTGTTCAACGTACTGAAGATGTAATTCATTATTATGAACTTTTATTCAAAACAATGTTAATGCCAGATTGATAAGTATTATACAATTTCTGTTTTCGAAAAGACGTATTGTTGCCTAAAGTACAATAAAGCAACATTTTGAGTGAACCAATGGAAAGAGTAAAGTACGCCCCTTATGTTTCAGGAAGTAAGATATTTGTCTTTTATTTTCTTTCCTAGTAGACATCTGGATTTCCCCGTTTTCGTCACTCCTTTAAACGCATGTGGTAACTCCAATCTAGACAGAAAAACGAGAAGCATGATTCTACCACATCAGTCATTTTTTTTCATCGGTCTGTTGCATCGTACATAGGTGAGTGACATTTTACCTCTTTCTGCCTGTTGTCCCCGAAATGAAGTATGCGTTGTGTTACAAATTCTTTCGCTTTTAGCAAAAGCATGCTTCGAAATGACTCGTGTATTATTATGCTTTGCTTGTGAAAACTCACTTTTTGCGTTTTTAGTATTGTAAGATTTGTTTTTTTAAAATAACATTTAGCGCTTTTAATTGTACTGTATATTGAGAGTTTATCTTTGAAATAACGCCACCACTTGTGTAGCGAATGCTGGTACTGTAACTATCATCCTGTGCATATCCATTTAATGTATTCTCTCCCTTTTTACTTTTTAGTGCTATTGTACAGTTCGTTGATGTCAGAGTATTAGTTTTACTCATTAACTGCAAGTTTGCTCAGTTGTGGGTGCAGTAAGGAATGTTATAGTTACGCATTCTCAGTTTGCAAACGGCAAGAGGCCAGATTAGCAGCAGCACGAAGAGGTACAGGACAGGAAGGGCTTTAACCTAAGGGTTAATTGTATTCAAGAAATGCTGTATTTTCCTGGGGTAAAAATAAGTAATTGGTGAGTTAAATCAAACAAGTTGATTAGCGTGATTAGTTAAAGCTGGCAATGAAAGAACCCAAGTAGACTGAAAACAATAAATCCTGGGTATCTGGCACTATGCAGCTCAGTTTTAAGCACAGTTTATATTCGCTTAGCCTGAATACATGGAAGTTTAAGTTTGGAGAAGGGAGGAAGATATTTATTTTCTTCATCCACTTAGCACAGAGTTGCCCAGTCTCTGGATGGCCACCTTATTAGAGAACAGTACTATTAGTTCTATTACTGTGCACATATCATGTATAATACTTATTATTATGTTTTCAGCTAAAAGGACTTCATATTCATATTTACTGTAAGGTTACAGTACATCCCACATTTGGAAGTTTGGTCAGTACCATCAACAAATCTGAGTTTTGAGCACAGCCCCACTGTTGTTCACAATACTTTTGTTATAGCTAGACAACTAGGCGGTTAATTCTATACTAATCATAATAACTTTTATTTATAAAGTGCCTTTCCAAACCCAAGGATGCTATACCTTATACACATTCCACCTGCCACAAGTGCATTCTCTTTGAGAATCAGCATACTGGGTTATTAGAATACTTGGAGCCTTAGTCTGTTAATGTCCACAAACACCTAATAGCTAGCGGATTTTTCTTATTAAGTTTCCTGCATTCACTTTATTTGTTTTTGTTGTATCTAGGTAGATGTATGTTTCTTCATGTAGCACTGAACAGCATCTCATTAAAACTCTGAAGTGTTTAACAGTTTTATGAGCTGCAGTTTTTACTTCTTACCCTTCAAAAACATTTGAAAATGCAGATGTAAAATGGTTGCAGGGACTCTCTCAAAGAAGATACTGTGCATGAAAGATTTGTGTGACAGCTTACATATTTACTGTACTGTGAAAGAAAATAAGCCTGTGTTGAGCAAGTTGATAAAGGTTTTTTTAATGTAAATGTGGCTGCATGATTCATAGATAGAATGCCGAGATAAAGCAGCTACTGTAACAATTATGTCCTTGACTTTCTGGATTTTCTTTGTCTGGTCTTATACAAAGATTCGGGATTACTAGTAAAATAGTACAAGTAACTGCAACATCCAAATTAAGGAAGTTTTTTTTTTTCTGGAAGTAAAGAATCCTCTTAGGAAATGTCATCAAAAGGAGTAGCACCAAAAGAGGAAACTGACCAGAAAGAACCTACAGTATATCTGTAGTTCCATGTTACATCCTTTTGGCACAAGAATGATAAGGCCCATGATGATTGGATTTTGTAATACAAGGTGGTTGACATTTGCCTGGTTAATAATGTTAATAATGTCATGTGTTTAGGGGGGACAGGACCGCACCTGGCCTAAACGGATGTTGCCGTGAATTTCTGAAACTCAGAATTGTGTCTGAGGCTGAGAAAGCTACCAGCTGCAGAGATGTCAGATTCCTCAGATTTCTATTCTTTAAATGTTAACACACTAAAGGAGCCCATTCTGAAGAAGCTGAGTGAAGTGCTTGACAAAACCAACAACAAAGGATGGAGGAAGCTGGGTGAAATTGTTGCCAGTGACAGACGTTTTAAAGTGAGGTGAGTGACTTTTGATGTAGTGACCAGTTCCAAGAAGTGTGTGCTACATTCCTGCATGTACTGAGTAAATATGACACAGGTCTCATTCAGTTATAGCATCCCTTTAGAGTATGAAAGGCTTTTGGGTCTCCAGGTTTGTGTGTTGTGTAGCTTCAGAAATGTGGGAGATGCCTCAGCAGATTTAAATATTGCCTGGGACAAACTGCACTTGGAAGTTCAGTGCTCTTGTTTGAACAGTTGCCCATCCCAGCTCTCTGGTAAAGTTCCATTAAATAATTCCTGAATGAAAATGTAATGACTCTGTGTTGTTGGTAAAGTACTTATGCCATATAGAGCATACAGTAGGTCTTTTTGTTTGTTATTTCACAAAGAGTGTGTTTTCTATGAGTAAAACAATATAAACCTAATCCAAAAGAAGCAGAATAATTTTCAAGTGCTGTGGGTGGGCTCACATATCTTACTGTATTACCTAGAAAAAATCAGATTACTTACTAAGAGGCTTGACAATGCAACAGGTGAATATCGAGACCAACAATGTTTATTTTACTTTTAACAACTTACACTAAAGAACTGAAATTACAGTGATGACACTTTTTAGAGTGACTTGATATCACTCTAAAGAGGCTTTATTAGTATTGTTCTATACTGATAAAGCCTCTTTAAAGACACCGAGATCATTTTCATGCATTTTGCCAAATTAACTACATTTTATCACGTTTTACCTAATCCTTCTTCAGTGCTTATGCTTCGTCATGTTTTAAGACCAAAAAAGTGATACTTCATTGCTCTGTTGTGAAGCTGGAGTAGCTGAATTGCTTTTTAATTTAAGAAGACTTTTTTAACAATTGTATTTTTTACAAAGGACGGAAACATCTTTTCAAAGTCTATTTACTACATTTCTAAATGCATGAACAAAATGAACCTTCATGAACTTGCACAGACTGCAGTTATCAACAAGTAAGACTGGTGGTTGGAAAAACACTTATTTGTCACCTTGAGGCAACTCCGCCAAAACTGATGATACAATAGAAAGTGTGGGGTTCTAATCTTAGTGGTGCACTGCTACCATCAGAAGTGATATGCTGTATACACACATGTACTGTAAGTAAATAAGGCAATATCGACATTTTTACAGTGCTTTTAGTAATTTAATTAATATGTACAGTATATACATACAGTATAAAGGCCTTTCTCACTTAATAGAAAAACACAAGCAGAATGCATAATGTGTATACAGTATATACACAAATATATACTGTACATATGTCTATATAAAATAACATATAAATTTGCCTTGTGATTTGTAGCTTCCTTGGTCAGACTGCTCAAAGTTGTGCTATGAGCTGCCACCATACAGTGTTTCTAAGCTGTGCTGGATAGAAAAAATAGTTTCATGCTGTCTGGTTCTTTTGCATTTTTACAGTTGACTGCCATATTATGCAATGTTACAATCTTATACACATTAAAGCATGGTGTATGTCTCATTGTGTGGGCTTGTAAATAATACGGAGCAACGATTGCTTATTTACTGACAGTTTTGGGGGAAAATAAATATGATAATTTTTTCTAAGGAACAAGGGTGTGAAATTTTACCTAAATTTAAAAAACATATACTGTATATGCAACTAATATTTGCACTTTAAGAAGAAAAAAACTTGGAATTCTGTTGCTGTTTGGCATCTTTTTGTTTTATTTCAGCCATGTGACATTACTTTTAACATCAATTTTTTCTTCAGTTAACTACCAAATAAAGTGTAAATCTTTTACTAGATCCAGGAAGTAAATATACTGTAAGATGTTTCTTGTCTATGAAACACAGTTACTGTAAACCCATATTACAAGGTTGCTAGGAGGCACAGACAAACAAGTCCCAACACCTTTGTCATGAAGAAAAAAACAAATAAAGGCAGGAATCTGTTGGCTTGAATTATAGTGATAAGGAGTAGATACTGTACGGTGTGATTTGACATGAAGAGCCTTCCTATTCTCTCTTACATCCCCTCCAAACTTTGTTGACAACAAGATAATTTCTTGTATAACATTCAGATGGTGTATAGATTGTTTTAATCTTCTAATAGCAAGGTATTGCTAGTACTTGGGGGACCAGTATTGCTGGTGTGTACCCACACTTATTTTTTTCTTTATACTGTATGTGTATTGCCAGTGTATTAAGAGAGAACATACTTAATGGGCCTGACTATGCACAAGACTGAGTGAAACATAACATTGATGTACGCAATGAGCAAGTGGAATAGCAATCTTAAAAACAGATCAGGAATATTGTGTGCAATAACTGGATGTTATTTAGTTCTTCACTTAACTCCCAATGTGCTCTTTAATTTGCACATTAATATGTATTAATATGTATGATTCATTCAGAATATCCACAGTAATCACTCACTGAACAAATTACAAAATTGGGACACATCTGTTTTGTGGATTCATTTTTTAATGTTTTCCCTCCTACCACCCACAGTGGGGAAGAGATGGACAGATGCTCCCTGAAAGTGCTGGAGCTGGAGGGAAGCCCGTCCCGGAGTTTGCTGAGGCTGATTGGAGATCGTGGGTGCTCAGTGAAGGACCTGGTGGAGTTTTTGCAGACGATGGGCCATGCAGAAGCCCTACAATGCATTAAGCCACCCGGTAAAGCATTTCTTATATTGCTGTTGGACCAAGTTAAAACTTTAAAGCAGCTCTGAATTTGTTTTGAAAGTCAGCCTCATGCAGATGATTTCATTACTTTAAAAAGCATCAGAACCAAGTTTGTGACCTAATGCTCGAGGAGTGGTTTGAGGCAACCAGAAATCCACATAAAGTTTAATAGTTTCTAAATTACAGTAAGGGCCTGTTCACAGTGGAGGTATTTTAGTCATTATGCATTGTGTGAACAACACAATTTTAAAAAAACTAAAGAACAAAGTGAACCAAATCAAACTGAGACCACTGTCATACAGTAGATGGTCTACTGTCACTACATTAGGCAGATAGCCTGAGTTCATTTCACTTCAGAGACTTGAATGTGAATAACCTGAGAGAATGAGAAAGAAAAGATACTTTATATTTTTCCGGTATTACATAAACTACATTATACAACACTATTCAGGGAAGGCAGAAAAATTCAGATTAAACACTTTTATGTCTTATGTGTTTTCTTGTTTTCCTTGGAGGCTGAAAGAGAAACCTATTACTAGAAGCTGTAGACGGTGCAGGGACTGAGTAACAAAAAGACGGACCAAATGTACAGTATTTCAAAATTAAAGACATACTAAGTATCAGAGTTCATTTAATTATTGCAGTGTGAATGCAAGTGATGTCTCTTGTTTTAAGAGAAGTGAACACTAATGCACTTTCAACTGTGTACAGTTCAACTAAATGTGAACTTATATGATTGTTAAATTGTTACAAACCAAATCAAGTTAAATAAACCTAAGATTGAATGCAAAGTCCTTTATGAGGAGATTTTCTCATTAACTTTAGTAAAGGTGTAAGCTGAAATGGGATGGGATGGTACTAGAGTTCCGCTCATGTCCTAACTAGTTAATTTGATGCAAAATTAATTTCACAAGAGCATTTATTTTTCTCTTATTGTTCTGAAGAAATTGACTTTTTGTTTCCAGTGAGTTCTCGGTTTTCTAATCCTGGACTGCTGCGTGAATCGCATGTCCTGTGTAAAGCACTGCTTCCAGGCTTCAAGCAAGTGATCATTAACAGATGCCAGGAGAAAACCTGCATGCCCATGCTTGTCAATCACTGCAGATAATTAATATAAAAAATGTGAAAAACACATTCTTTAATTAGTGCTAAGAATTAATAGCATTGCTTTTATTTTAAAACAGGGATTAAAATTATTATCCAGCCACAATCGCAAGCAGTTATGTCTGGACATACTGTTCGGCTTAGCTGTCATGCTGTGGGACATCCTAACATTCAGTACCAGTGGTTCAAAATGAAGGAAGAGGTGAGCATACAGCATTTGTTTTTCATGGCTGAACACATACTGTACAAAATTCTATTTTCACCAGATGAATACTCCAGGATTATTCTGAGTAAAGATGCACGTGGATAAATGGTCTTTTAGCTGCTTTGTGATTGCATCCAATTCTTTTTTTAAATCAAATAAATTATATACTGTCTGCAGTATGTTGAAGAATTATTTTCTAAATCTTTTAACAAATATTTATAGATAGGTTTCAGCACATATTACAAATAGCTCTTTTCAACCAAAAGTTTTATTTTTAGAGTCAGGACAGATTGGAACCAAGGCTTTCTCCACAGTGGCAGAAAGCAGAGTAGTAACAGTGTTCAAAATAAAGATGGATAATTAATCATTTTCCTAAGGAGGAAAAAATTCAGGATTGACATGAACTGTAGCATAATTAAAATACTAAGTGTTATCCATTTAAGTTCCCATGAAATTCAATTTCTAAGGATTAAGAAGTTTTGCCCACATCATAAATGAAATGGAAAATATGGACCAATTACAAAAAGTAATGGGAATAGGTAGTATTAATGAGACTCTGAAAGTCATGTACAGTGCATAAATACATATTCTGAACTTGGAAACCGTTTGATTTTAATTGAATTGAATATTAAATTAAAAAAAATCAAAACTTTAGACTTAAGAAAATTGCTTTGAAGCATATCTTTATTGTTTAATTACTGCTAAAACACAAATTAAATAATATGTTAGGAAAGCATTATGCATATTTTAATCACTGGAGTTTATGATAAAGCAGAGATAGTCTGTGATAGGAAATACTGAGTTGTTTAGAGGTATTGATTATTATTATTATTATTAATAATAATAATAATAATAATAATAATAATGAGTGAAAATAAAATAATCTCATTCCTGCACTATAAAGGGTTTTTATTTTAGTTAACATCTTTAAAAATGTTAACTATTAAATTTATCAAAATGTCATGTACTAGGTAGGGTGGGTTTAATTAGATTCCACACTAAAAAGTAGTCAGGTAGTGAGCAAAGCTGATTTGGCAAAATAGTTGCAAACCAATCTATTTCAGTCTTTCATGTTTATATTTGTCTATGTAACGCCTCTAACTAAGGAACATAAGTTAATAGTTTTGTGTGTAATGGAACATTATATTCCCATTGGTGATCCTAAAAACAAAACATTTCAGGTTACAAATGAAACCAATTCATTGAGTTACACAGTGAACAAAGATACACAGGATGTGCAGACAAGAGAAAAAAGTATAAGATCACAACACTACACACAGCAGAACAAAGCGTTCAACAGAATCATGTTGTAATCTGATCTTTTCTGGTGGGCACTGTCAAAAACACACCATAGACACTATTTGTGATCACAGGATCTCCAGCTGCAGGCTGACTAGGACAGGGTGACCTGAATTCAGTCAAAGAAGGCTCAGTCTGAATTGCCAGTGGCAACAGGTTCCTCCATCCATCAACACATGCAAGTGGTAGGATGTACTCCAGGCGACTTGCTGAAGATGAACAGAGAGGATGAGGCCAGGTGTAGGTAGATGCAAGAGTTTGGAGATAGTTGTAGCAGTGTGTCGAAAGGAGTGATGTACTGTATGGAGGAGTTACATGACAGACCTGAGGCAGAGAAAAACTCAAGCTGCATGGTGGAGTTTAAAGTGAGCTGGAGTGGGAGGACAAGGTGGGCTTCTACAAAGAGGCTATTCTTATCATGAGAGAATTAAGGTTTGGAGCAAGATGCATGTAGAGTTTGTTGTGTGTTGTAGATGTTATTCGGGAACAAACATAGAGAATATCCTTGAGCAGATAGGAACTGAGAAGGGCAGATATTAGTGATTGTGAGTAATGCCAAGGTTCATGGCACAGGAAGTATGAAAGTATCAGATGGGGTCTACTGTACCATGATGTCTGTATTTAATTAAATATGGAAAGACTGACTTTGGGATAGTGTGACCATGAGTAGGAGAAAGTCTTTAGCAGATGACTACTGCTAAATCTTCTAAGTCACTTTTGATGAAGGACTCCACCATCTGATTAAACTATTTTTGATAACAATGAGATCTATGATTGCTGTATTAATGGTTTCTTGTTCTTTCAAATGCTTCTTTGTGTAAACATAAATACACATTCATTACTTAATATTATTGCAGCCCTGACTGCCTTAATAATGATTAGCTCCTGTTATTTTCTGCATTCTGCTTTGAATGTAAATTCCTTCATACACTAAGTTAAACAATTTGTTATTTCTGGCTTATTAGTTTTCTATTTGAACATTGTATGTAAGGCAGAAGATTACACATTAGTAACAGAATTGTTATTGGGATGATTCATCTTAAGACAGTCACGAAGTCTGCTATTGTTTTCTCTTCATTGCAGGTACCTAATGGTAATTCCCCTGAACTGGTGTTTAGCCCTGTTCATGTACAAGATGCAGGTTTCTATATCTGCAGGGTAAACTGTGGGGGATCCTTTGAATTCAGCCAATGGGCACAGCTTGAAGTATTTGATGTGGCTGCAACATATGGTGAGGCACACTCTCTAACTATTAAAACTGTGAGATAACTGATAAACAAGAGCTTAGTGATCTAAGAATTGTGTCAATTCCTTAAAGACTGCTGTGAAATCAACCACATCACTAGGAAGTTACTTCCAGATTCCCACAATCCCCCGCTGAACATATTGTATTGCTACTGATCTTAAAGAAGTGCTCAGTGCCCTTTCAGATCTGGAATACCAGAGTGACCTCACAGAGATGGGAGTTATTGTTCTGAAATCATGTCAAACTGCTATTGTTGCACATAGACAGAGGCCACTCAACTGGTAATTTGACTTATTGTGTAAGTTGTCAAGGTAGTTTAGTGCACTTGAACTAGCTTAGCCGTGTCTTAGCCAAGTGGTGAAAGCTTATGCAATCAAAAGCATCTTTTTTTTTTGCAATTTTTGTTTACATTTAATTTCTCTCACCAAAAAGTGTTCAGCTTGAGCACTGAATTTTTGTTTAAAAAATGTACATCATTTGTATTTCAACAAAATGGGAGATCGTTGGAAGAAAGTAAATACTTTTTGCAAGGCTCTCACCACATTTACCTATTGAAGATTGTTCCAAAAATATTTTAAGTTAGTTTCGCACTAACTTCTATAAATCTATGCTGAGAATTTTCATAGAAAGGAAATTCAATTTAATTTGGTTCTTTTTATTTAGATGTCTTAGGGGCAAGCTTGACTGGTACAGTACACTGTCTCTGTTTTGGTCACTCATTTATGAATGAATGTTATTACATTTACATAGCCATGGCTCCTACCCTAAGAGCATTTTGGATTTTCCTAAATAGTAGACTATAAATAACTTTCCTTGTTTTTTTGTGCATATGTTTCTAAACACCACTAAACTGAAAATGTCCTTTCACTGCTAATGTATTTTTTTATTTCTGCCCTTTTAAACTACAGTAGTGTGTAAAATAATTATAGAAAACTCTTTGTATTCCTTGTTTGTCCTGTATATACAGGACAAGCAGGACAATGTTATGTGTATCTCCAAGAAACTTATTTCTTATTGGTGTTTTGCTATTGTGATACTGAAGAAAGTCCCCTTGCATACAGTGTTTTTTAAGTGTTTCTGAAGTACTGTATTGCATTCATGTGTACCCCTACATTCTGTAATGATTCCTTCACTATTTTACTTAATTTCCATCTCTTCTGTTTAAAGTCTGATTTTGTTAAATCATATACAGTACCTTACCTTTGGATTCAGCTGGTACACAGTAGTTCTGAAATGGACTTCAGAAGTAATTATATGTTTCTTAGTTAAGCTTGAAAACCAGTTGACAGTTCTAATAGTTTATCATTAAAATCATTTGTTACTTTCCTCTTTTTCTTTTGTAAATCACTTTATTGTGAAGCTTTTCTAAAATTGAAATTGTAGAGGTGATTTTCTGATATACCAGTAAAATCCAGAAATCTTGACCTCAAAGTATTTTTTGTGTTCTGCAATTATAATGAAGTGCCTTAAACATATTTTAAACAGTGGGCTGATGTCATATAAAGTACCAGGGGTTAAAGGGTATACATTTGAAATTGATTGTTTTTATTTTACTAGCAACTTTTAAGACGGAGCTTTAAAGCAGTCATTGATATTTTGAATTATTAATTACAGAAAATCCAAACTGAAATTTTGCTGAAATCCAAACCTTTAAGGATTACCTTTAATACTCTGACATTGGGGAAGAGTATGACGTACAGTAGCTCTATTGATGCCTTTTCTCTTTAGGATCAGTGTGCCACTCCATTGATGGCAGGTTGAAGATAGTGATCCAGCCCCAGCCTCAGAGACTGTTGATTGGGGACACATTGGACTTGGTGTGTGGTGCTGTGGGAAAGCCCATTCCTCAATACCAGTGGTACAAGAATGGGCTTCCTATCAAAGATGCAACCAAGAAAAGGTGTCTGGTAAGCAAAGCCCATTCTTTGCCTCATTTCCAGAAGATTTCCAGTCCCAAAACAGAGCTGGGTTTTGGGTACTTTCCTAAATGCTTAATTTCTGTCTTCCAACAGTTCTGCTAGGTATCTAGTAAGCAGACATACATTTAGTACTCCTGAGGTGCAAATGTTAGCTTCCATCGAGGATCACAGATAGCAGTTTAATCTGCAACTAAAGAAACAGATCATTTTAAAAAATAGTATTTTGAGGGGTATGTTAATAGATTAAGTTGTCTGGCTGAAAGGAACAATCTGTGCATTTTTTTTTACTAATTTTTATTTTGTGGTTGAAGCTTTATAAAATCAAACGGACATTTTTTCTTTGTTTCTTCACTTTGAATTGGCAAATTAATGGATCCAGCATCTTGCAAAGTTCTAACTAGTTTCAGTAACCTACTGTATACAGTAAATACATTCATTGATATTTACTCAAAAGGTATGACAGGAGTGGTTGCTTGTCTTGATGTAGTTACTTATGCTCAACAATTTGCAGAAAGCACTCTTGAGGAAAAGTAAGTTTAGACTGTTATTAATCCAACAGATACCTTATGTGACACTTGAACATGAGGGGAAGTACCGCTGTGAAGTGTTCAGCAATGAAGAATATCTATGGACTCAAGATGTGCATATTCAAATAGGTAAAATATTTAATTCTGTTTTCTACATGGCACAAGTGCATTGATTTTATTTATTGGTCATAAGTAGCCGAAATAATTGTTATTTTTTGTTCTCGATTAAATACGATTACTTTAAGATGCAGAATCCAACCATGTTTGCTGCCATGCTGCTGCAATGTTCAAATTCAGTTTCAGTCTTTTATTTGACTTTATTTTAGTATAGTGAACTTCTCTGCTTATGTGCTTTGTAAATAATGCACACCTATAGAACTATATCATCATTATTTCTTTGTTATCTAAAACACATCTCCATTGAAGACAGCCATGAAATTGAAAATTATTTCTGCAAAATAGTCCTGCAAAGTGTGGGTACAATTTCAAAAATATTGCTGGGCCAAAGTGTTAGATACTGTACGTTCAAGAGTTACAACATCTGTATATGAGAACAAGTAATTTACAAATATGTAGTGTCTCCACTAGCATTCTCTACTGTTATAACATCTTTGCCTTATTGATATTCATTGTAATTAACATCATTCACTCCTCTCTACATTTCTATAAAGATAAAAAGGTTACATTTTTATAACAATCAGAATTATCTTAAACAATTCACAATTGCAGTAGAATATCACTATAGAAGTGCTGTTACGTAAAAGAGAACAATACTAGATGCCTATACGTTTCCACAAAGGTGTATATTCCATGTGCACATTCATCTTGAAACTTAAACTCAAAATGTCAGCCATAAACTTAAAATGCCTAAAACATTTAATTAAACTTTTAAAAAGCATTAATTGTGTCAATGGCACTAGTACCTGTGATTCACAAAATATATTAATTTTCTTTTTTGACTGTAAGGACCAAGAATCTCTTTCAAACTTTCAGAAGCAATGGAGTGTTCTGAAGGTAGAGTCCTAGAATTAACGGTCCTATTTGGTACCAGGGAAGAAGGCTTTTTGGACATTACTGATAATCTTTAACAGGGGTACTGTATATGCAATACTCATAGGGCTGTTTGATCTTATATTAATAATTACGCTTTTCTCAGTTTATTTTCAGTTATCCTCTTTGTAAAGTTCTACATTTTTATCATGTAGAGTTTTTCAGACTTATTAAATTAAAATGAAAAACCTTAAAGATGATGGCTTAAAAACCCTAGTGTGTGGAGAGATTATTGATTGTAGACTTTTGTTTGCAGTTTATGTAGAGAGTAACCATCTATTTGTTAGACGCATTATACTGTACAATACAGCCGAGATGTATTCTGACAGCTTAAATTCATACTTATTAGAATTATTAAGATCAGCGCTTACACAAAAATCTTGCTTTTAAGGTATGCAAAAAACTGCCAATTAGGAAAGTAATGGCAAAAGTAACATTGTACACTATTTTTGGTTTGATAACCAAGTGTTTTTGGAGGTTTTTACAGTATAAATTCTACTAATTCACTAGTTAAACCCATATATACAATGGAAGCAGTATAAGTGTGAACCTGTGAGGACATTCTTCAAAATTTCAAAATAATACCATTGATATATCCCATGTTAAATTTTATCAATAAAGTCATTATTATGTATTGTACACGCATGCAACAATACATACTGTACTGATTAATGACTAACACTGATAATACCAGCAGTATACTCCAGTATACTGTATATTCAAAGTGTGAAAAGTTTAGTTAGAATATATCTAAAAACTTTATTCTCAATACTATTTCTTTTCTTCTTTTTAAATTGAACTCTTTAACCTTTGATATTGATGATTTGTGAAATTAGTTGGGTGAATTTGGTCATATAGAACTGATATCTTTTTTCACAGCTGGGAATGATATTTTGCATTGGAGACGTCACCTCTCCAATGATGACAATCCAAACAGGGTACTGAGCATTTAAAATGATAAATATGTATCACTCAATTAAATTAATTTTCAAGGTCCACTTAATTGAAAATGTATTAAATAAACAAAGGCAGCATTCCCCCTTTGTGAGCTATTAAGTAAAATAAACAAAGTATAAAATTAACAAAGTAAATCAAAAGAACAACTTAACAATTACATATATTGATGTAATATACTGTATAACCTGAATTACTTTGCAGATAATGTACTCCTTATTTACCATTTTTTAATTATTTTTTAATAATAATATACACTATACTGTTCCGGCTCAGAAATATCACTGAAGATTAGCTAGAGGAAATGAGGCTCTTTAATAGCTCATCTGTGGAATTCAGAGAAGGTAATGGAATGCTGCTTATTTGTGCTGGAATAGCAGGTGAGAATTGGTACTAGAGAACACAGGATAATGGTAAAAGTAAGAGACTGATTAATGGAAAACATTCAATGAGCTTAATTGCTATTGTATTTACTCTAGTAACTGCTAAAAAGATTTTCATCTGGTACCCTGGTACTTTTAAGCATGGACCGTATTAGGCATAAGCATACTACCTTCTTTCTTTCTTCCATTTCTTTTAACAAAAGAAAAAAAATATTCACACTTTCTATAAATCACTTTAGAGAAATCCAAAACACTAGCTACGTCACTGTATTGGATGCTGAAATTATAGTACTACAGTATATTCAACTCTAATATTATTTTTGTCATTTTTTTACAGAAGATATTTATGCCTTTGGACAGAGTAAGTAGCATGTTTCTACAATAAGAAATATTTTAAAATGTCCAAATGTTTTAAGATACTGATCCCTGTCCCACAAAACAGTATATCCTCACATCATATTGTGTGGCTTTATATGAACCACATAAATATATATAGACTAGATACAGTACTTGCATATGCTCAGTAAAAGTAGTAATAAATGCCCTCTCACCTTAAGTACAGTATAGTGTCTGTCAAAAGTATTCAGACCCTTGAACAGATTTCACATTTTATTTTGTTTCTTTAAAGCTTGCAGTAAAAACACTTTAAAGTAGCAGTAACTATTTCAAAATGAATATAATTATAATAATATATCAAAAAGATGTTAATAGATAAAATGACAGAAAATGGAAAAGTCATGATTGCATCATTCATCAAACTCTTTGCTGTGGCATTTCTAAAGTAATTTACTGTATGTGCACACAATTACTTTAATGAGCTACACTGTTAGTTGAGTGGTATATCTCTTGAGTGGTTCACGTGATTTTAGAATAAGTATAGCTATCTGTACGGTGAATTTCAAGGTAGTGAGTTTTTTCAGTAGTGAATCTCAAGTAAATATTTAACAATGAAGACAAAGGCGTTTTCAAACCAGCTTAAAGATGGATAAAGATGTGTAAAGGCACAGATCAGGAGAAGGATATTAAAACTTTTGAAAGACCAGTGATATCTCTTTGATCATGAAGAGGAGTATCATTAAGAACTGGAAGGCACACAGCCTAGATCGGGCTGTCCCTCCAAACTGAACAGGTTAGGTATGCCACCACGAGGCCAGCGGTGACTTTAAAAGTGCTACAAAGTTCCATGGCTGAGAAGGCCACTCCAGCAAGGGACCTAGTATGAAATATCTTAAATCTCTCGTAAGGTTGAAACACAGTACCTGAGCGATACTGCAAAAGTATAACCGAATGTGTTAAAACAAGGCAAAATGGGATATTTTTTGTCTAAATGCAAAGCTTTACATCTGATGAAAACCCGGCATATTTCACCACTCAGTCAACACCATGTCAACCGTCAAGCATAGGGCTGGCTGCATTTTATTATAGCTCTGATTCTCATCAGTAGGTATTGGGAAGCTTGTCAAGACTAAAGGAACATAGAACATAGATAAAAGAAAACAAAAAACTTTGCATCAAGCTGGTGTGCAAATGTCATAGAGACTTTTTTGTATGATTATATTTACTTGTAAAGTGCACTTAGAAGACTTCAGTTTGAGCATTCAGGTTTTAAGTATAATATATCATGTTATATATTGATGATAGAAAGGGTCTGAATACCTGGTGAAATTAAATACTGTATTGAATATGATGGACTGCAGTGGTTTTCTGTACCTCCTTAGATGGTTATTTGTAAAGGATATAATTTCACATAATTTCAAAACTGTTGAACATATTTATTAAACAATACATCATTTTAACAGTCTAACAGACTGCAAACTCAATAACTATAAATTAATACAATTTAGAGTGTTTACCTAGCTACGTGTTTGCCAATTACTACTGTACTTGATCAAAAGTAAACACTAACTGTTATTATATATTCTTAATTATATAAATAATTTGCTAATGGAGGCATGCAAACTGAAGTATAACCCTTATACTGTATTGCTATATGAGAAGCTTTATTGTCTGTTGTTTCTTTATCTGTACTCAGATGAATTTGAAAACAACAGACACAGAAGTCCAGAAAAGGCTTGTGGTGAGTGAAAATTTCTAACCTTTTAACCAGAATTAATTAATTCAAATAATTTCAAAGTTCCAGTTTATTCTGTGACTTTATAAAAGTGACAAGGAGTCGAATGTCCGAAAGATATTGAGTTTTTAGTGTGCTACATGATACCAGAGCTCACTGTAAATACTTGTGAGACCTTAGATGTTGCATTCTCAACACCAGCAGTTAAAATAGATCCAGCTCAAATTTCATCTCAAGCATCCTTGAAGCACCCAATACTGTGAAAAGATACCGGCTGTGGTTCACTCCATATTCCACTTCTGTCATGACAGCCACCCATCCCCCTCCCCACATACTTTTGACAGGATATAGCTTCTTCTCAACCAAGTTGTTTTGTACTAAAAACCTTGAGCCTTTGTCTCTGTGCCAAGATTAGTAAAAGAGAACACCTTAATTATCTGTACTCTCATTCTTACCCCTAGTTGCTTTATTTTACCTCATTTTACAATGTGCATTGTCATGATAAAGTAAAATGTGTTGACATAGGATTCATGTGATTTCTACTTTGAATTAGCTATGGCTTGAGTTTGTGATTTAAAAAAAACTTTGAAAAATGCACCTCTACCCTTGGTAAGTTCTTGAATCACTTATGAGAGACGGAGAAACATATTCTGGAGATGTATTGGAATCCCAGTTATATTTATGTCAGTGTAACCATCACAGTTCCGCGCAGGCTCGTTCCCTCGCTGCTCCACCCTGCTGGTTCGTCGCCCTCAGGCGGCTGAGGTCCCTGCTATGCGCAGGGAAGGAGATGACGTCACTGTGCCCAAACTAACTCCGGACTACAGCAGCACTGGAAATGCTTTATAGCCAAGGAAGTGATCATCTCATGAATTTAATTGCCTCAAATCTCTTTGAATAGTGTGCACATTATTTCCCACACACTTACTGGGAGCAGAAAAAAAAAACTAAGTGGACTTTAGGTGTCCTACAGTCTTCTACACTTTCAGTATTTTACTATGCTTTGTAGATTATGAACAATTAATATAACCTGAAATACTTATGGAAATATCTAGGATATCTAAACACTATTCCCTATGTAGTTATTCAAGACCAACTACCCTGTTACTGATGATTTTTCTTATAGTTTTCCAAGACCTTTAGATATCTAAAATATAGTTACTAAAAGTTTTTTTGGTTGTTTTATAATTAGGAATTACAATTAGTACAGTTGCCTGGTTTTGCATATCTAATTTTGTGTTCGATGCTACAGCCTTCATATAACTACAAGAAATATTATAAAGCACGTGTACAGTATTTGTCAGGCTGTAAGGCTGGGCCATTGAGCTTTGGACAGACTCAGCTCTTGTCAGTTACAGCACAATCTCACAAGCACAGGGAAAGATGCCTAATCTGTTGTTGTGCAGGTCAAACCCATCTAGCCCTGCTAGTTATATTGTGCCTCCTGGGGTGTCCCAGGTACTGGAGTCACAGTTACTGGAATATTAGTGTACTGTATACACATATTTCTTCTTGTTTGTATTTTTTCACAATATAATCCCCTTTTAATAAAATAATTACCTGTTAAAGGAAAAATATATAATGTTAACAGGCAAAAACTGTGCTAATATGCTTTTTTTCTCACTTTAGCTACTGACAAAGTGGCCCTGTTGATTGGTAACATGTCCTATCAGAACCACCCGAAGCTGAAGGCTCCAATGGTTGATGTGTATGACCTGACTAATCTGCTGAGACAGCTCAACTTTAAAGTGGTGTCTCTTCTTGACCTCACTGAGTCTGAAATGCGCAATGCCGTGGATGAGTTTTTGTTGTTGTTGGACAAAGGAGTCTATGGTAAGATTTTGTGTGTAGTCCTTACAATAGAAAGGCAGTGGTCCTTCACGTATTATTTTTCATATTCTTGTTTTTAGCTCACATTTTACCTAACACTATCAAGTAGTTGTTTTAGTGATTGAATGAAGTGTTGCAATTTGACCTATAGTATTTCTAATTTTAAAATATATGGGCAATTAAAGAAATGCAAATGCTGAGTGTAAAATTAAAATTGAACACTTTACAAGGCTGTACCCTTTATAAAGATTTGTCTCTTATGTGAGCTTTTCTAAGACAAAACAGAGGAACAAGCTAGAGTGCATAATCTTTTCTTTTTTACACTATTTTATTATATGTGTGAAGTATACTGACAAGTCAGTAAACCAAGTATTTAAGGTTTTAGGTCACTGTAAGTTTGAATATTTGCACATTTTTGCAAAAGTCTTAAGTTTGATCCAGCTTGCTTTGTAGATTTGTAATATGTTAAACCGCTATGTAGTTAACTATTTTATTTGAAACACTGCAGTGCTATAAAGACTTTTTTATGTTGTGCAGACAAGGTGGTTAGAAAGCTCTCAGAATTCTGACCACAAGGGTAGCAGTAAGAGAATTACATTTTTGTAAGTGAGAAATTGCATTTTTATGAAAGGCGTTCAGCTTAACTACATTAAAATTTGACCAAAAAAGCATTTTGCAATTATATTGCAGCTGCAATGTGATTACATTTTCAGAATTTGGAAGGTGGTGAATGACAATAGAACTGCAAGGCACACATACATTTTGCCCTGTTTAATCAGTTCTGTCTGTTCTTGAGTTCATAACATGTGCTTCATGTGACTTCCTGTGAGAGACCTCATCCTGAGAACACCTACCCAATGCAGAAAATAACCACTGATTGCTCTTGTATTAAAATCAGTAGTTAAAAAAGCAGTCAAGAACTATAAAGAAAATTAAGAACTAATACACCATCCAGATTTTTCATTTCTGTTTGAACTCATAAATGTGTACCTTGGAGATATATATATATACAGTAAGTGGCTTTATCTTACAGTGACATGTTAAATTGTATCAATATTGTTCAGACAGAATAATAAAATTTTCCAGAGTAGCTGTGAGAAACGTATTCAGGAGATATGTTTGCTGCCCATGTACAGTATATCCATCCCTCCATTAAAAGAAAATAGCTTTGTGCTGGCAGCAGTCTCAGCAGCCTGGAGCCCAGAGCCTTGTGAACAGCAGTCTGTTCACAAGGTGGGGCTGAGAGCACATGACTGCTCTTGCCCTGGAAGTGATACCAGACCATTGACAGGAAACAAAAAAAATTGAAAACAACCATTTAAACTTAGGCAGCATGTCTTTGGGAGGAAAACCCTGATAAAACCACAAATAGAGGACGAGCAAAACCACACAGAAGTTGCCCGAGCCTGGAATCAAACCCAGGAGCCAAGACCCGGGAGGCTGCAGCACCAACTGCCATGCCACTGTGCCACCTGCTGCCCCACTCATAATGCTTAAAATACCTCAGAAATTCTGAAAGAGTAAAAAGAATTGCCCAACAGCTATAAGCCAAAATATTTTTTATAATTGCTTGGAGTCTGCACACTGCAGTCCAGAAGACTTTATCTGTAATAAGACAGTATTCTGTGAAAAGATTGGTAGCCCTTAAATACATAATTATACCAGAAGTAACATTGTCATTGTAATATTCAGTGTGTTCTACATTTATTTTGATTACTCACCATGAACCTGTTTTGTTCTTCTAAACGATAGTCCCAGCTTATTAGAACAAATTCTTTGAAGCCATAGTTATTATAAGCCTTGTTTTTGTGATATTGTCACATTTGCCAAAACAAGACATTATAGGTAATGAAACAGTTTTAAAAGAAGAAGTAAATTAAGCATTAAACTTGGAATGGGTGATTTATCAAGTGTCTGACTACTTTCCTCAATATGAGATCACACAGCACGTCATAGCAGGGAAAGTGCTGGTGATTGTAAGTTATACTGCACTTAATTTAGCAAATAAAAGTTAAAAAAGTTAAAGTTATCATGCAGTGCAGCTCTATAAAATTTTACAAGTAGAAAGGCTGCTTTTGAATGAGAAGCATGGCAATATTCAGGAAATCATGGAGCTGTGTCGTAAACCTTATCAGTACTGGGATGGGAGACCTCTAAGGAAAACCAGGTTGCTGCTGTTAGGGGTGGTGTAACACTCATCAATCTGAATTTCCAAGCAACCTGCCCACTGTGGTGACAGGAGACTATGCTATAGGAGGTGCGATCCTTAAGATGAGACATTAAACTTAGCCTTGACTACTTTGTCATTGAGGATCCCTCTTCATTCAAAGAATAGTAGTTTTAACCCTGGTGTAATGACTAGTTTCCACTCTGGGCTTGCACAGTCAAAGTCACATAAAGCTCTTCCTTGATTCAAACAATGGAACAGTGTCTCACTTTACCACCTTCCTCTGCTTTGTAATGGGGCTGCCTGTGCATAATGTATCACGTGTATCACACAAATACAAATCCGTGGGGGACGAAGAGGGAATTATACTATATGTATAATGTATAATTTGGGATCTTTGTGGATGGTACACTACATATAAGTGCAAGCAAATATATTTATGTTAAACAGGCTGCCCTCCATTTATTACCACATTTGTTTATATTCTATACTTGGTAATATAGGGACAGAGTCCTGTATGCATTTGATTATTTATTTGAATAATTAGTATCTCGGATAATCTGCAAGAACAAGTGCCTGAAAAATTATGAAAATCTCTATCTGCCCATCCATCTTTCACATTAACTTCCACAGGATCAGGAGCAGCATAAACCCAGCAGACAAGCTGTTTTTCAGCCTGAACCTGTGACATGTAATAATCCCAACTGGCCATTTTTTAATGAATTGAAAACACCGCTATATAACAAATTATTTCAATAGCCAGAATACCCAGCTCTAAACAAGCCTTTAAAGAGCTGACTGGCAAGCAATATGGAATATATAGTACCTTGAAATAATGCCACACAGAATTGTATACACCAAGGAGGAATGTATTTTATTACTTATTAAATCAACTGTAATACTGTGGCTGGAAGCCTAACCTTGGACCCTTTGTTCAATGATCCTCAGTGGAGAAAGTAGATTGAATATTTTTGTTACGGGCACAGTTTCACAGGCCTTTGGTGAACCTAAAGAAGTGTATATTGCAGTGAAAGAATGGTGTGTGATATGAATTAGGGAAGAATACTGGTTTCTGTTAAATCTCCAAAGGCTAGAAAAAGTGGATTCTACTTGACACAATTTAAAAAAAAAAATTCAATGTCATTTTTCAGTTGTTAGTGTAGTAACCTTATTTGATTCTTACTAGAAACATTAAAACTAGACTGGAGGGCAGCATGCAAAACAAATTCAATCTAAAACTAGACTGGAGGGCAGCATGCAAAACAAATTCAATCTACTTTCAAGTTAGCGGGTTACAAAAACATCACAAAAAGTATTTTGTTTCTCAGTTTTTCTAGGTGAAACTGTAACAGTATTTTGTCCAGAGGTGTTCAAACAGTAACAGGTATACAGTACTGTATGTATTTCTATGATTGCATTTTATAAATTGAAATAAGGGATAGGATTTATTTATTATGAATAAATATTTGGATATTTACGGGTGTGAAAGACAAAATCTCTTAGCTCTTGGAGTTTGGGTTCAGTTCTGGGCATGGAGTCCTTCTAGGTGGAGATTGCATAAGCTTTTTGCCAGATGCTCTGGTTTTTGTCCCTGTTTTCCAAATCATGCTGGCTAGAAGAATTGTCATCACTAAGTAATACTTGTGAGTGTGCTCTGTGATGGAATGGTGTCTTATAAAGGGTATATCCCACCTTTAACTCTATGCTTCTGGGATCAGTCCTGAGTAATTTATATTATTGTCTTTATTCATTTAGGTTTACTCTACTATGCCGGCCATGGTTACGAGAATTATGGAAATAGTTTCATGGTTCCAGTAGATGCACCAAATCCTTATAGGTCTGCAAACTGTCTTTGTGTCCAGAGCATTTTAAAGTTAATGCAAGAGAAAGAGACTGGCCTGAATGTGTTCCTGCTGGACATGTGCAGAAAGAGGTACGGTAGGAAGATGCATCTCTATTGAACAGTGCCATTGCATGCAACATATATATCATAACGTCATACTGACTCTTTATAAAGAGTATATTTTTTAAAGTGCAACAAAGAAATAGAGGTCAAGTCTGTTTTAAACCACCATTTTGCAGCAGGGCAGGATAGAATTATTGTATTACAGAACCCTTCAATTTTTAAATGAACCACTTGACCTACAGATAATTTGGTTTTGACAAAACGCTGAACACAAAATGAAAGGGTTTATAAAAAATGTGTCTTTGCTAACTTGGTGTATCGCTCAGTATCATGTATTTATGTAACATACAGTACATAGAAATACTACAGCAAAATCAGACATTTCCACTGTTTTCAGAAGTATCCATTTTAATATAGCAGAGCTCAGCTGTAAATGTAAAGAGCAGTTCTGTGTGTATCATGACCTACTTTTATTGTGAAAGGAATGTTGTGAATAATATATTTTGTATCACTTGAGATATTAAAAGTTTATGATAGTACTGTAAGCCTACTTGTCAGAAGCAACTAGCAGCTGTATGCTTGTACTGTAGGTCTTATTAAGTTAGAGTTTAGGAATTAATGCTAAATCTTTGTTAAAGTCATCTGCTGCTTCTTAGACACTAAGATAATGATGTACTGTTAACATTATTTTGTCTTGGAATTAATACATGTAGAGAAAAAAAACTATTGACTAAGTTTTATTTTCTCTTTTATCACAGAAACATTCATGATGACATTATTCCAAATGTAGAAGCACTGCGGGTTACAGCCAACATTGTTTTTGGCTATGCAACGTAAGTAAGACCTCTACTCTGTATAGTACTGCCATACTGTTTCAGTGGGTAATTACCAAATTAAAAATCATCCTGCTGTCAGAATCTACAAGATATTTCATAAGATAATAATTCACAACAAAATGTTTTGTATGTAAAGAACATACAAACTAATATGTGAAAAAAATTCTATTGCTTTACTTTAGGTTATTTAATAATTTCCCACCACAGTTTTTAACAGAGTATAAGTAATCTTACATAATTTTTATTAATAGAAAATGTGTTATGACACTTATTTTATCCCACTGCAAAATATGTTTTGGTCACAAATTTAATAGGAACTTTATTGTACAAAATCCATTTAAAGATTTTTGTTTAAAGGTGCCAAGATGCAGAAGCATTTGAGCTGAACTCGAGTGGATTTACCAATGGTGTCTTCATAAAGTTCCTGAAAAAACGCCTGCTGGAGGATGAAAAAATTACAGTCCTTCTTGACAGAGTTGCAGAAGGTAAGTGGGGGAAATTAATTGTATTCTATAGAGCATGAATATCAGCTCCTGTAATGTGTGTGATGAAACTGTGTAAGTTACTTGGTTATTGACTTCCATTTTAGACTCAGAACAGTGTTGATGTTTAATTTCATAGGAAAATCCTTATCTCATGTTCTCAAATATTCTATATTGTTTACATAATACCAGTAATAGTAAATTTACAGTTTGTTTGAAGAATAAAAAGAAAATGTGGTAGCCTAATGTAGTTACAGTCCTGTAGAACAAGACCAGATATTGAAAGTTTGTACTTTGCACTTATGTTTTGCATCTGTTATTGTCATCACCACATTTCATTAGTTTCTGTAATTTCTTGTGTATTAAAACCTGATCACAAATGTATTTTAAGTGGACAAATGTAATTTCTTCTGTATTTGAACCATCATGACCAGCAAAGTAATGACACTTGCTGAGGCCGTTTTACAATGTGGTCGTATTGTCATTTCACAACATTTTATTAATGTAATGATATGTGCTGTATGTTACATGCTGTTCAGCACAGTGAAATGTCAGGAACACAATAAATATGAAGGCAGGAAAAAGGTTTCAAGTCACTTCGGAAAGCAATATTGGTTTATGAGCTCAGGGTCACTTGACGAGTCTTGGGGAGGTTTTATTTACTCATCTTAAAGTCTTTGGGAATGACACCAGGTTGCATCATGTAGCCATTTTTAGTTTGTACAACTTAGTTATACGAAGTTTCTTGTTGTTAACCAGATGGGAAGCACTGCAATAAATCTGTCAGTGTACTGTAATGATATTGTTTTCTCTGGATCAAATAAGTAAATATATATATTAATTTGTTTTTTATTATTAAGACATGGGGAAATTTGATCCGACCAAAGGAAAACAGGCCCTGGAGATCCGAAGCAGCCTTTCAGAGAAGAGAGCTCTGACTGACCCCATTCAGCCTACGGGTTGCTCTGATGAAACCATGGCACGCAATCTGCAGTGGGCAAAGGCCCATGGTACAGTGCCTTAAATCTGACCCTTGGCAGGCTTCTGTGACAACTTGTACTTGAGAAAGCACTTACTTACCCGCCCAGCTGTTTCAGTGTTCTGATAAACATGAAATAGGACACTGTCAAACAAGATCTATACAGCTTTGTAAAGGAAGATTAAGGGCATGATAAAAACAAGTAGATGTTAATATACTAGACACTTTCTGTGTTGTTTTGAAAAAAAGGTTTATATTTATTAAGGAGTTACTGTTTCAGATTTTATATTTTTTATTTTCATGATAACTACAGATCCCTTTAAAAATAGGAAATCAGACTGGATTTTTTCATCTTAAATACAGTATAACACAATTTCCGTTAATGATACATTCTTTTTCCGGGCTTTCTAGGACTTCTAAATAAAAATAAAAAAAACATTTTAAGGTTTTGGTTAATAAATTAATGGGAAGACTTTTAAGTATGGTGCATGTCAGGGCTATTTTCATTCACACCATAAACCAGCACTAACTGTTTAGTAATACACAGGCATGCAGTTCGTAAAGCCTGAAATGTCTCTGCAGTACCCTTTATACAGGCATTCTTAGATTCCAGTTACTGTAAGTTGAAATGTTTAAACCCAGGTTATAGAGAATCATTTTCTGATCAAATGTTTTCCTTTTGCAGAACTTCCTGAAAGTATGTGTTTGAGCTTTGATTGTGGAGTCCAGATCAAATTAGGCTTTGCTGCTGAATTTTCTAACGTACTGGTGATATACACTAGCATAGTGAAGAAGCCAGAGGATATGTCCTCCTGCCAGGCATATGTCACAAACTTCACACCGGTAAGATTTCCATATTTGAATTAACAGATTTATATAAAGAAAAGGTTTTACAGATAGAACACAGTTAAGGCTTAATATCTCAAAACTATATACTTAAAGCTCAAAACTCCAAAATACAGGAACAGTGTCTAGAGTAACAGCATATAAATACAGGCTAATAATTTTATTAAGTAATCATCCCTTCAAAAAGAACCCAATTTTTTTTTTCTTAGTTACCAAGACTCTCTGAATCTCAACATTCTCCATGATCAAGTTTCATGATTTCATTAAAAAAGCTACTGAGAATCTAACCTGACATTAGCAGTGATTGTGTAGAACAGTATAGTGCATACAGTACTTATAATGGATCTAAAAGTGCCATATATCTATACACAAATAGACAAACCCCATTGTCTATTTCAGTAGTTCAGTAAAATTCTAATTAATGTGACAAGCTGACAAATGTAGAGGGATAGGGTACTCACCAGGAGAAATATTTATGCAAAAGAGAACGTAAGTATGAGATTACAATTTGACATCCACCCGATCTCGTTTCACAGCTCAATGTATTTATATAGCTGCTCTAACTAATCAGATCTGCACTGGGGTGCCCTCTGTGGGTTGTTTCCATGTACTTCTGATGTTCATGACGGTTTTGTCTGGAAGCTCTGGTTTTCTCCTCACTTCAAATGACATGTTGGCTAGGTTAATCATGGTTTCTAAATTGTTCCTCTGTACTTGTGTGTATGCTAGAATGGGATCTCATCCAAGATGTGATCCCGCCTTGCATTTATTTGGATAAATGGATCTATCCAGTCACACATTCTTCTTTGCTTTTCTTCAAGACAGTCAGACATCACATGATTTTATCAATATGGTAAAAAACAAAGATGAAAGCAAGGGTCTGAAATATACAGTATGAGAAAAAAAGTCTTCCTGTTATTGATGCAAACATCAGTGTAATGGCAGCAGACTGCATGCAAATACAGTACATTGTCTCATTCTGAGATGTCATACTGGATATGGAGTCTTTTTCATTTATTTACACAGCAGTAACACCCACACTTTAATACTGTTTGTACAGCAACCACAATCATTCAGTGGTTTCATTAAAGCTGTGCATGAGAAGCAAAACATTGCTTTTTAAATGGTTTTCTGTCAGCAGCTCATTCACTTATCTTTATTTCTTGCACATGGGTTGAACTGCCACAGGTGAAAGTCAATGCTTAACTTTATCTTTACAAATACACAAATATATTGACTTTCCCAAATGACCTCAGTTTTACTGTGTCTGTTATGCATACTGTAGGTGAATGAAAGTTAAATGGAAGTGAAGATTTTAAAATGTCATTCATTCAGTCCTTATAATAATAATAATAATAATAATAATAATTTCTTACATGTACAGTATATATCGCTTTTCTGGACACTGCACTCAAAGCGCTTTACAGGTAATGGGGACTCCCCTCCACCACCACCACCAATGTGCAGCATCCACCTGGATGATGCGACAGCAGCCACAGTGCACCAGAACGCTCACCACACATCAGCTCTCAGTGGGGAGGAGAGCAGAGTAATGAAGCCAATTCATAGATGGGGACTTTTAGGAGGCCATGATTGGTAAGGGCCCATGGGAAATTTGGCCAGGACGCCGGGGTTACACCCCTACTCTTTTCGAGAAACACCCTGGGATTTGTAATGACCACAGAGAGTCTGGACCTCGGTTTTACGTCTCATCCGAAGGACGGCGCCTGTTTACAGTATAGTGTCCCCATCACTATACTGGGGCATTGGGACCCACATTGGGACCCCTGCTGACCGCACTAACACCTCTTCCAGCCGCAACTTCAGTTTTTCCTAGGAGGTCTCCTATCCAGGTACTGACCAGGCTCACACCTGCTTAGCTTCGGTGGGTTGCTAGTTGTGAGTTGCAGGGTGATATGGCTGATATGGCAGTCCATAACCGTTAAATTTTGTACAAAAGCAGTTGGAAATGCATCATCATTCACTTGATCCCAGGCATTTTGTTAATCTTTTAGTATCATATCCCCCTGCCTCTAGAGGATCCAAACACAAACTGTGTTAAGGTTGTTGGATTAATTTGGGTTTTGTTTTATGCAAACCCTAATCTTGTCCACTTCCACTCTCCTCTGTATAAATACCCTGCCACCAGAGCAACCCACTCACACATCTTCTTTTGCACCCCGACTTCCATCCCATCATTACCCTTCGAGCAGCTTCCTGGCTCATTCCTTGGAAAAAAACAGGTGTGTTCTGTCAGTTTTGTCCTTACTAAGGATTGGTCAGGTTGCTGTTCCTTTAGCCAGGTGAGTTACTACAATTATACAGCTTTGGAGTTTGTAACAAAAGTTAGGAAGGAATGATGGCAACCAACTTCCCCTTCACCTCGACTGTTCTTACTTGTAATCCTCAAGTAAGATGACTTCCCAAAATGCTCTAAAAAATCAAAGGAAGCACCTCTCTTTCTCGCCTTTGTTTTCCTTTTGCATCCCTCCTCCACCCCATCCTCACACTGCAGCAACCTTTTGGTTAATTTAACTTTGCAAGATGGCCCTAGCCTCTTTGTTCTATGGCCAAGTGTTTGACCCTCCGTCAAGAAGGAACAATTTTTTTAAATTTCTCATGAAATCCATATCCCCCTTTTCTTTGCATTAATTATAGTGTTTGGCCAAGCTCCTGCAATGGTATAAAGGCAGAGTTGGACTATGTACTGTACACTGTAAAACTGGATTCATTGTGAATTCTACAGTATATATCAACAGTGAAAGAAGATTTTTTTTTCTCTAGCAAAATTCTTAAGAAATATATCCACACGACAAACAACATGTTTACAAGTTGCAGTGTTGCCTGCCGTGTTGTTAGGTCTTGTGTAAGTGTTTTTCTTTTCAAAGTTACTTTGAGATTTTCCATTTTTTATTTTTACATTAAAGTTTTAATGTAGTTTTATATTTTTTCTAGTTAATGTTCAGTGTTAAAATACTGAGCTACTGTATGTCTCCTATGCTTGTGTTTCAGAAACATAATATCTTAAGGACCCATCTGTCCATATTAATGGTGCTGTTACTGTATAAGTAGTTTAATAATAATAAGTAATCACACCATTTAAAAGAAATCAGAATTAATTACGTGACTCTGCAGTTTATCCCCTCCCTACAAGCCTTTTCTTAAATAATTACATCATATTCCAAAAGCTGATTTTGTTTCCTTGTATTTTCTCTTTCCAAATTTGTGAGACTAATGAGCTATCACTTCAGGTCAATTTTTGTGTTGTGTTCTTGTACATTTCTGTTGTTCTTCATTCACAAAAGTGGCAATGATTGCTATGGTTATATTGTGTGTGAGCATCAATGTATTTTGACAAAAAAAAAGCTTTCTTTCAGAACATCTGTGATATACTGGACAGTCAAGCATTATTGTACCTGTTCTTTTCTTGGCCCCTTGAAAGTTTGTAATACACAAGTGGGCTGTGTGAAATGATGTTTGCTCATGTTTCGGCACACAGTAAAAAAGTAGAACACATAACTCAGAGATAGTGAACCTTTACATTTGACAGATATATATATATATTAGTGGCTCTGTATGTTGTTAGGCTGGACAGTATGAAACACCTATGTTGTTTCCATCATCACCTTGTTTGTTTTTCAAACAGGAACTAGATGTGGACCCTAAGGAGATGAACAAAGGAACTCCGGAAGAAACAGGCAGCTATCTACTGTCCAAAAGCCTCCCACAGCACTGTCTGTACACCAGGCTGAGCTCTCTACAGAAACTCAAGGTATGTTCCTTGAAACATAACTGCTGGATGATATTCTTTGTGTTTTTGTATTGTTTTATTTTTACAACATTAAATAACTCAGTCACATGTAATTACGGTATCATGCTCAGGGATATGTATTAATTGCATCAATATGGGGTCTGTAATAAAATATTATTTAAGGGTTACTGTATATTAGACTGACTAACAAATCTCTTGGAAAGCTTTATTCCCATGTCACCTTATCTGCCACTGCTGTCATGCCCATGCTCTTGCTGTACTTTTTATGTGACAAAAAGATGTGCTTTGTTGCTAACAGGTACAGGAGGTAATTAAAAGTAATGAGGTACAGTATATGATTGTGTAGCTAACAAATACTGTGATATGACAGTGTTCAAACACATTTGTTCCAATGATCAGTTTCACTCCCACTCTCAGTTGTGACTAAGAGATTATGAAACGCAAATATTCTCACCTCCATCACTGTCCCTGTGGTAAGAACATTAGCCCTAGTTCACAGGTTTAAGAACCAAACTTGCTTCTGATTATTCACCACAGTTGTTTTTATTTTATTTTTGCTTGAAGGAGCAGCTCATGTTCACGGTGTGCCTGCAGGGCAAGTTCACCTCTGTGGAGGACCTAGTAGACTGGAGCATAGAGGTGAACATTGGGAAGCCCCTCATTGCCAAACTGGATCTGCACCGCACTGTCAGGAGGAACAGCTGCCTGCAGACCTGCCTCATGCCACACAGTCCCTCACACAGCCCCTGCCACAGCCCTGGAGCAGAACATTACTACCAGCACTGCTACCCCCAGCAGTACCAGAGCTCCTACCTGGGCGTCTATGACCACATCCATGGCTTGGGAAGCCCCTGTGCTTCAAACAGCCTGGAATTCGGTGCGCACTGCAACTTGACTCCTTACCACCAAGATGATATGTCATTCCCCGTCTCTCCCACTAGAGTCAACATTCCCATCGAAACCACTGATGATATCAATGAACTACAGACAAGTTTTATAGACAGCCTTCAGATGAATGACAGATACTGATACTGTACATACTTTAAAAAGTCAGTTTGAAAAAACATATTTCATCACTTCTGTATTTAATATCTACTGCATGGGATAGATCTTTGAATGCTTATGGGCACACCAGTAGATGGGACACATTTTTAGGAGAATGTTTAAATATTAAGATTTTTATTTTTATCTTTTTAAAGTAAAGAGTTTCACAAGATATCCACAAGAGGTTTGTCCAGGACCTGGGATAAGGGATTAAGACTGGTGAAAGCAACTGGAACAGATAATATAATAAGGTTGTTTGATATTGCTTTTTGGGAAGAATCTGAATAAGTTACAATCTCATCAAGCATCTGACTAGAGGGTAGTTAATCAATTAACACTGGACACAATAGCCTGTTCTCACAAGTTAAATAATATATAATATACGCCCACTGAAAAGCTGTCAGTGCCCTTCATTTCTCTCAGAATCCTGTTATCAAATCTTGATTAAGTGCATTAATTCTAAAGTATTAACAGTGTTTTGATGAGGGATTTTCTGGAAGTTGGAAAGTCATTCAGTACCCACATTTTCCATCAACAGAAGAGATGATAAACTGAAACTTAAAGGACTCATACAGTTGATTACAAGCAGAGCTGTAAGAGGTTTGTTAGTATTTTATGCTTAGTTTTGTTTTTCATTTTTTTGTACTGACCTTATGGTCAGACACAGACCATTTATTTGTACAGTATATCCATAAAATAACATTTCTAAAATTATGGATGAAGTTACAAAATAAATGCTGATCATCAAATGACGAGGAGCCTTTTCAACCAAACGTGGTAAATAATTCAGAGGATTGCCCATTTGTAAATCATGGTTCAATACAGTCAGAAAACTTGCAAACATTGTTTGGGTCAATGATTTTCATGTAATGATTTCATGCACTTCAAAGTGCCAGTTTGAATTTTTTCTCAAACATCTATCCATTTGAAGGATTGTGGCTGTTTTAGGATTGATTTTTTGCATCCTGGGCTACTGCTAACTTTTTCCACCCTATGTGCTCCTGCAGGAAATCCTCAGGTGTAAACAGGGCCTGAATGTCCAGTCCATGTAACACATTTATGTGAAACACTGGTGGATAGTGGTACATTTCTGAGGACCAAGGATTTTGAAGATTAGTTGGATTGGTTTTCTTCCCAGAAGACAGATGTTCAATAACCTGCTAATTTCTCCTGTTTTTTGTTTGGTAAAATTGTAAGGATTTATACCAGGGATTTCAGGTGTTCCTTGGAATGTGGATTTAGGTTATTTAATTTAACCAATTAACAACATGCCTGAAGAACTGTGGATCAGGAACAGGGTTTGGAAATAGTAATAGTTCCCAATTACATAAAAAGTATAAGAAAATGCCTCTACATGCCCAACACAGATGCTGAACTACATAATTGTTTTTTCTTCTCAAGTTTAGGATCGGAAAAAAATTTAAACCTGCTCCCGCATTTAAGACTAATATTATGTTTCCTTTAGATAGTTAGACAATTTTGGTCATCTTCGTTGGGACCAGTCTAAGCTGTAGTATGCTATAGGCTTAGGACTGCACGCCACAGCCAGTGGGTCAACACCATGAAGTGAAAAGGTTGCCCTGTTTATAGTGAAAAAAGAGTTACAAAAGCCCCTGTGTGTAAAACAGCAAATATAGAGATGATAAGGTTCTTTTGAAATATGTTGATATCTCATTCATGCTGTACTACATGTAAAACAAATTGTTTAAAAATATTGCAAAGCAAAACCAAAATACAGAAAAAAATTCCCAGCGGGAATTTGGAGAAAATGTCTGTAAAAGTTTTTGAGCACTTACAAGAAGTGGGTAAGACTCTGCTATGAATGTGGCCGCTCTGATACGCAAAACAAGCCATAAGTTATAGTGGATATTATCATGGATATAGAAAAGAAAAGGTATCTGAATAATTCAATCCTAAACCAATCCCAAGTACAGTATATGCTATAAAATGTAATTTATTGTGATTTTATGTTATTGCATGGCTGCAAAATGTCACTAGTCATGCATCTTGTATTACATGGTGTGTGAAGCTCAGCTTGTATGTAGTACCAGTTTTCTTCACTTTATTCCATAGTGTCTCTTAAAAAGTAAAATTCTTTAAGAACCACTTTAGGAATTGTTTAAGACAGTTGGGTCTAAGTTCAGCAAAACAACGTAACTGAGGTGCAGCTTCCAAAAAACCTTGAGACGGCAACTTTATTGGCATTACTCTATACAGCCACTCTGAATTCCCTTTCACAAATAAGAAATTTGCTCTGCAGAAACAAAAATTAGTTTTCATTTTTCAAATTACTTTCTTGAAACAAAAATGAAGGATATAAAACAATACAAGGAGAGCGTCATTGACTTAAGACATCTATATGTGTATTTAGTTGTCTATTGAGTTGACCTTTAAGATGTAATAACTACATTAGTTGTCTTTCTGATAACTAAGTTATGCTTAATGGCAGTAGCACTGTTCAATCATCACTCAATGGAGTCTAACCTTCAGTAAATCAATATTGTGACCCACGCTCTGACAGCATGATATTCCCACTTGAGTGGAAAATAAAGATGAAAGGTAAGTAAGTATGTGCATACTACATTTATCCTTGTAAACTTCAAAAACATCTTCTTAGCTTGATGCAGTGGCAAACTACTCATGGCTCAAAACTAAACTTCAATCAGCAATAATTATAAAGCTATACATGTAGGATTCTAATTGAAATTCATTAGGTTCATTTCATTAGGTATAATTTAACCACATATTCTTATATTTACAGTATGGCTCGGACTGGTATTTGAATTCTGAAGTGAATAATCTTTAAATTATTTCATTATCCTATGTATAAAGGAAAATTTGTCTCATTACATTTGCTGTGCACAAGCATAATAGTTTCATAAGCTCATTTCCATAAAAATGATACAAAAACATCTCTAGGAAGATAAAAAAAATCAAGTGGATTAAAGGAGAATTTGTGCATTAAACACTAATACAATGACCTTTAAAGAATCAGCTCTTTGAAATTCAAGTGTGAAAATTAGCAAGATGAAAAGAAAATGGCCTGTTATATCAGGTTCTTGTGATAATTTGCGATGGCAATACATGTACTGTATATGATGTTCATCTCCTTAAAACCTGTCTGCAAGTGAGGTATGCACACATTACAACTGCAAGGTTCTCATGGTTTCCTGTGGCAAAGTTTCATTTTGCCTCAGGCCATTTGACTTGTGAAAAATATTGAAAATGTTCCCCAGATTACTCATTTTAGCACAGTCCTCACTGAGGTTCTCCTGCAGAAATGGGTTTTCCCCCGTGAGAAGAACAAAGTCTAGAGATTAACTACACACACTTAACAATACGTACGTAGTCTTATCCATCTGATCCTGTAACCTCTAATATGCCATCGTATAGTTTCCTAGCTAACCTCTCATGAAGGATAACTTCAAAATAAAGCCAACTTATTTGGTTCTGTTCCACTGAAAAACCAGAAGAGGGCACTATTCTTTGCACAACAAAAGCTGTACTTAATGGTAATAAAAATGGGAGTAAGGTATACTACAAGTGAATTTGTTTATTCTTTTCCATTAATGTAATTAGTGGAGAAGTCCTATTTTGTGAATATTAAAAATTTTAAAGTCTGTGCAAACGTTGGTATTTGATACTACTCCAACAAAAGTGTTTTGCCTCTTGATAGATATATGCTTTTTTTTGTGCAAAATTGTCTTACAGTTTACTACTACCAAAAAAAAAGGTCTTTACTAATTATGGAACTGATTTTGGCATATAAATGCTTTTTGAATTTAAAAAATTATATGAAAACATCCATTGCATTGTGACTTCAACAAATTGTTGAGTTACAACTTGCATAAAGGTCAAGTCATAAACATAAGGTTGCAAATAAAAGGCAACTTAATCCAATTATTGAAAGAAGTCTGGGTATCGGCCAAAACAGGGTAGTGGTTTCCATACATTTGCAACCCTCTGGGAAAAGATGTGCCTACTGTTCTTAGTTTTAAAACCTCTTCCCCTAGATTCCATTAGTGTCCTGTGGTTTGTGTTTCACTTTGTGAGATCAGTTGTGCTGATTTTGAAGTCAGTACGACTTTTGAATACTTGAATCATCTTTTCTTTAAAGACTTAAAAGTGTCAGCTTTTCAGAGTAAAACATTCCTTTGAAGTAAATATATTTTGTTGCTCTTCTTTAGACTAGTCCTGTTTTCATACTTGAACCAGCATCATATACTGTATAGAACAATCTTTCTTTTTTTCTGTTATAATTATGTTTTGACTTTGAGGAACTAACTACTCTGAAATTTAATTCAAAAATAGGTCTGATGTAACTACATGTTTTCTGAAAGCTGAGCCTACACGTTTGTCACAAGTCTGTTTTGTCGTTACCCCGTGGCACGTAAGAAACACTGTTTTGCCTGATTAGTTACCTTTTACCCTATGGCTTGTGTTGGCTTCACTTGACAAACAAATTCCCAGTCCTGTCAGACAAATCAGAAATACCTTTTTCACACAACTGCAAATAAAGAAGAATCTGCGCTTAAAGGCATAAGGTGATCTTATGATGTTGTAACAGAGAGATCCTGTTCAGTGAGTAACAGGTCTTGAATGAAGGACTTTGAGGACCTGGTGCACTGGAAACTACAGTCACAGAAATGCTACTGCCATTCTGTCACAAATGTTTGTTCAGGTGTCTTTCATGTTCCGTAACATCATTCTCACTAACCCTTTTCTCCCCCAACCTTAACTGGCACACCAGTGAAAGGTAAACTGTGTGAGAGAAGAAATTTGCTGTTAATTCTTTTTTTTTTTACCTGAAAGTACAGTTTAGCCAATATAGCCAATATGTTAGAAAATTAGATATTCACTTAAAACGACCAACATCTCCCTCTGCATCACCATTTTTTGTTTGTAATATTGGAGTTTGGGTTTTTGAGTTATAAATGATAAAACTGGATGTACAAAAAACCCTGAAAATCTACAGTATAATGGATTCTAACTTAATGCCTTGTAAAAACACCTCAGTATCTTAAAAAACCTTCTTAGAGTCCTGAAGTATCTCACAAGAATAAGACTTAAATCTGAAGAGTTAATTCCCTGGCCTCGAGTTGTAAATCATGATAGACTAACCTGAATCATTTTATAATGTAACCTCCCAATTTTTCACTGGATATACAGTGCTGTAATGTTTTTGCTTAAATGATATTATTAAATTTGAGACAATAAATGCAACATAAAAGGGGATGATGTTAAAAGCAGTTTGTTTCTTTGCATCTACCAAACAATTTTTGTATGTGAAGATAACCTTTATATTAATATTTTTCATATATGTATCAATAATACTACACATCCTACAAAACACATAACATTTACATGAGTTTATCTTATTATTTTATTATATGTAGTTTAAAAAAATCTGTACATTTGATTTTCTTTAACATTCTGGCATTTCATGTTCTCTTCTGTACATTATGACATTGCTTTCCAAGTAAAGTAAAGCAAGCTGTTTGCGTAGAGGCCAGAAAAAGCAATATTTATCTTTTGCAGATCTTTAGAAATAAATATGGTTTTTCAATCAGTACTGTTAATGCATATCCCAGAATGACTGTCAAAGCCAGGTTTCCCATAAAAAGATAGAACTGTAGGGAGAAAGGAACAACAGGATATAGCTAAGCAGTGACATCATTTAGATAAGGCAAAGAATTGACTAATCTGTAAGGTCTAATTACAGTTAAAAATACATTTCTTAATTTATGTGGGCAAAATTAATTTGTTGCAATTCTAAAGAAGCAACTGATGCCTCTTTTAGCATTAGGAAACAAAATTTGCCTTCAAAGCTTTAAAAAATAGGTTTATACTGTATAATTCCTGTTTTTTTCCCAAAGAGAGTTTAGCATGAACATACAGTACTAGTCATTTAACATTTTAACATTAAATATGGTAACATTTGATTGATGTTTACCAATTACCAATCCTATAATGGTAATCCTAACAATTAAATTATGTTGCTTTTGAGGGAATGAATCAAGTAGCAGATCAAAACAAAATCTAATACTTACAAAGTTCATGTCAGTATAATGAATTGAAGTCTCTTGCTTTCCATTATAAAGAATAATAAGAACAGGATGAATCATGTAGCAAGCAAAACTGATATTTGAAAATGGGATCCAAATATTCAATGAAAGAAATGTATTGATAAAACCTTTTAAGGAAAAAAAAGAAGATGTTAAAAAGGGTACATACTAAATACATAAAAATATCCTTAATTACAACAAAATCTTTGGTTTTTTATAGACCATATATATTAAAAATACAGAGGAATATTAGCTAAAAATACAGAAGTATAGAAAAGTAAAACATTAGGGAAAATTTCAAATGTTAGATACAGAACAGCTTTTTTTTCCAAATCCATCGATGCTGTTGGATGACTAAATTTAACTAACAGCTACAATCCACATATGAATAATCTTACTTTCACTTCCCTGACTGCTGAAGAGCAGAATATAATCAGCTGGAGGTGAAACAACCAGCTAGAACTGAAGTGAAATAGAATGAATAGATTTCTGCAATGAATATATTTCTGTGGTGCTATAAAGAAAAATGTATCTACTGTAGGCCACGTTTTCACTTTGAGCTAAAGTGTGTAAATACTGTAGCTGTTTTGCTCTGCAACAGTCAACATACTGTACAGTAATAGTAAACCATTCTCTCAAAGAAATTTACCTCCATATCCTTCCTCACAGGCGAGTATTATCCAGGCCACGGCTGCCGCCCAAACAGTGCGATGCAAGCCCTGATACACAGCATGAGCTACTGAGGGGTACTGAGGCACCTCTTGTAAAATATATGCCATTCCAACCAACAAAGCCATCACAGTGAAGGTGGTAATCCATCCAAGAGCAGCTTGCCACTGAAAAGTGAAAAGAAGCTTTTATAGGATTCAGTTACTAACATCAAAACCTGACTAGGAATGCCTTCAGCAGCTAAACTTTTAAAATCCCAGGGCTTCTCGAAAAGAGTAGGGGTGTTACCCCGGCGTCCTGGCCAAATATTTCCCATTGTCCCTTACCAATCTTGGTCGCCTAATTATCCCCATCTATGAATTGGCTTTATTACTCTGCTCTCCTCCCCACTGATAGCTGATGTGTGGGGAGCGTTCTGGCGCACTATGGCTGCCGTTGCATCATCCAGGTGGATGCTGCACATAGGTGGTGGTGGAGGGGTCCCCATTATCTGTAAAGTGCTTTGAGTGGAGTGTCAAGAAAAGCGCTATATAAGTGTAAGCAATTATTATGATTATGATTATGATTATGATTATGATTATTACTATTAAACTAGTGTTCAATATCTTTTTAAGTAGTGTTTTAAACTCATTGCTTGTAATATAGTGTGTTTTCCAATTTTGGTTCACTCTGTGGTCTTTATTACTTCACTACAGCATCTTAAATTTCTACCTACTGTATTTGAGATAAGTGAGATAAGTATTTTACTGGAGTAATGAGCATTGCAGATTAGCCCTAACCCTTGCCCCACAATGCTGACCATTTTCTTTAACTTCTTATGTCATAAACTGTTCATTGCAATAGGTGGCTTTTAATATAAGACTGGGTTCAGCCCTCAAACATCAGAACTAAGGAAAAATGTGCAAAAGAAACTCCGATCCCCTGAGTGAATGCTGTGTGTCTAGTCTTCTTGAAGTTGTGCAGGTGAGGATACACAGTACATATTATAATACACAGTACATTATTACTCCCCTTTACTTTGTGGTGACAAGTACAATTATTCATCTTACATGTCACCAAGCTTTGAAATTCTGATCTTCTTACCCGATGTTCTAAAATATGACCATTTTTAGTCTTCATGAATATTCCTAAAATAATCCCCACCACATATGGACCATATCTTGCATATGGCTTGTTGTAATAGTATTGAAAGTAGGTCTCGTATGCCCTGAAAGAGATAGGTAATATGTTAATGAGCATATTTACTGTGTTTTAATTTGTCAATCATTGGTGTTCATTTGAAGTAAATCTTCATTATAACGTACAAGTAACCACATTATGAGTTACGATGTAACTAAAATGGCAATTCATGTTACAAGAGTCATATTGGAAATGAATGATTAACATAAGAAACTAGCACTGTAAGTGTGGGCCAGCAAGCTCATAAAAATGGAAAAAAAGATAAAATGGCAGAATGTCCATAATAATTTTCAGTGCTGCCTTTTGGCTATAATGCTCACAACAGAGCAGTCAGGAAAACAGCAGTCTTCAAGTTTTCCATTCAGTCAGGTTTCAAAAGACACCTTCAGATTTTAATTATCTGCAAATTCACAAATTAACATTCATTCACAGCAGCTTGATCAACTTGTGACTTCCTCTTCTGATTTCCTTAGTTTTGACATCAAATTGGCATAATGTTCTCCTGTAATAACTGATTTCTGCTCTATATCACACCAAATCACCAGGATTACATAGGAATTCCAGAAAATGGTTGATGATTGTCTTGATCACGTTTGCTGATGGATGAGTGCAGAACATCGTGAATGATATCCCTGATCCCTCCATTACATGGAATCGTGTTTGATTTCCAGATCTCAGGGCTAAATATCCCTCTGAGTCATCTCTCATGCCTATCATTCCCTGAAACCAGGTAGGAAAGAAAGTTGTCTTGATCATCACTGAAGAATGGGAGCAGCTGACAGCTTGATTCCATCAATTTGTGCTAATCTTAAGTACTGATGTGTTGAGTTGCCTGTTATGCACAAAAAGAAACATTGTCCTGGGAAGTACCCATCTTTCTCATTATCTGATTTATCTTCGGTGCCTTTATGAAAGTCTTGACAAGGTTGGTAATGTCGTCTGCAATGCCTGCAGCTTAGAATCTGGACCTCTTCTGACGTCCAAATAAAAGGGACTTAGGTCCGTTTTTTAATTCAGCTGGCCAATTTGCCATTATTAAGTATTTTTGTGTCTCCATCATCAAAACATTTGTTGTTATACTTCAGGAGGATAATCACCTTCATTTACCAAAAATTTGAAAATGGCCTATGTCAGGTTTTGTAGAAAGCCATGTTTTTTTAAAAAGGAGCCTCTTTGCAGCAGTTGACTTTCAGCTAAGACCAGATACAGGACTGTTTGTTTCAGGTTACAGTTCTACTCGAAAGTCTATGTGATCCAGGGAGCCAACTGAATTGAATTAAAGAATATTGCTGGCACCTGTTAAAGAATAAGAGGCATTTATTGACCCACACTTGTAGAACATGAAAAAAGAAGAATAAATAAATAAATGATGTAATCGCTAATTCATCATATATCCTTACAGTGTTGTTGGTTGATGCACTGGTAATTGCAAAAAAGCTGTCAGCAATGCACTGATGAGACAGGATATTAGAAGGAAAATGCTTGCTACTGCAATCATAGCATATTTGTTCCTGAAAAAAGAACAAGGAAAACAGAAAAGAATAAATAAGACAATTACTTTTCGGTATCTGAATTTTAATAAGATACAAAAGATTGTAAAACCAAAATGCATGCCTTAATCTTTTTTTTACACATCTGTGAATCTACACCTACCTTCTGTAGAGCAAGACTAACAAAGGAGTTGAGATATAGAACTGAAAGTCCACAGACAGGTACCATGTCCAAGGGGTGCACTGCAAAAGAAGCAAATTCAGATAGTAAAACTGAGACAGTAAAGGAAGGTGCACCACTTCTTGTATCTACTGGTTAATAAAGAAACTTTTCTAGTTCAGCATCTTCACTAATATTTATGTGGACAGATTACTACAACACAGAAAAGCTATTTGTTTTAAGTGCTTAGATTCATTGACCATATCGGAAGACATATGCTATGCAGGTTAATTATTCTAAACCAGAAACAAACTAGCTGTGTAAACCTAGCAACCAGCTTTTTATCTGCAATGATGCAAAGGACATGCTTTCTTAATGCTTGAAAAGAAACATTGAGAGAGAGCCTACCATGTCAGCTGTTGTGAACAAATTGTTTATTAGCAGTACATTTGACCACCAGTATCTTTTACAGTTCTCTATCCCAGACTCCACAATGAACCAGAAAGAGCCTTTGGGGATGACTGAGAACAGTCCAATGACCAGGCACACTGTGTAAAGATGAAGGGGTTGAATCCTTCAAAACACAATAGGACATATTGATTGCTACATTACTTGGTGTTAGGACCCAGTGAAGCTCAGTGGTGAGATAGAACAACTCGACAAACAAAACATACTGATGTCAGATTAGCCACAGTGCCTGTAGCAGTTTAAATTTGACTACAGCATTTATTCTAATACAGTATCCTTTTTACTAAATTCTGAAAAGTAGGTTTTATTTTTTTTTTTACAAGTAAACATCAATAAAACACATTTTTTATTCTTTAAGGTAAGTTTGACATTCTAATTCTGTTTACTTGCCCTGGCTGACTGAACGGGAACTGGACTTTAACATTTTTTTAAGTAAATGTTTTTCTCTACTATGATATTCCAAAACCTACAAATGTCCGGGTTAACTTTATTTTGTCACATTGCAATCCAGAAGCATTACTGATATTGCAATATACAGATGTCAAGACTTTTGACATATTCTGGTACATTTGAAAAATAAAGAATAGATTAAATTGAATTAGTTATGTTTAAACACACTTTAAAATGTCCTTCTATTGTACATTTAGATTACTACATTATAGGACACCTGACAAGGAGCAAGTGAAAGAAATATATTTAAATTATAAAGTTCCAAAAGCATACCTTTTAAATCTTTTAAACAAATAATTAACAACAAGCCACATGCTGATTTTATCATCTGCTTTCTGAATGAAACTGAACAGGGATTTCACGCTGAGGAGACCACTGTGAAAAAGATAAAAAGGGTAAACTATTAAGAGAGAAAAGTGATGTGTGTCTTCATTTTTAATGTTAAACTGATTCATCCAGAGCATAATACTGCTTACCCCACAAGCAGAAAGGTATCCACAGCTAAATAGACAGGCCCACTGTATGCAAAGATATACAATGGATTATTCTCTACTGTCTCTTTCCATCTCTTTTCATTGTCTGTGAAAAAATAAATCAGATTTTAATTATTATTATCACAAAATATGAATTTCTAGCAACATAATATTTTTTCTAAAAAGTAACCTTTAAATCATGTGGAAAATAAAAGGTGAAGAGAAGGCAAATGCTTTCAATAACAGCTATCTACAACATCTGTAACCTATCTTAGAAGCCCAGGTTGCAAGGTGGAATGACACCCTGGACAATATGCCAGTCCATCGCAGGGGGCACACGCCCACAAACACAATTCAGATACACCGATTCAGCATGTCTTTGGAAGGTGGGAGGAAAACGAGAACATGTAAACTCTGCACAGAAGACAGAGTTGTGAGGCATCTGCCCTACCCACCACACCACACCGCCCTAATCAACACAATTAATTATGAGAATGGTGTCTAGATCACCAGACGTTTTCTACCTATGACATACTATACATCTAATCCATTATAATTTTACACAGCCCTTCCTCTCTCTCAACACTCTTCCTTATATGTATTTGCTGTTTTTATTCTTTCAGTATTGATAAAACCAGATCCAAGGCCTTGTGCTGTCAGAACTTACTGCAAACCTTGCAGGGCTTCCTGCCTAACCTCTACAGCTTGTTCAAACGCCTGCTGCTGGTCTCAAGCTCACTCGGCCTCTCTAAACCACCCTACCCCTTATCAACATAATAGAACTCCCCAGGACTTTTTCACAAAGTGAACTCCCCAGGACTTTTTAAAAAACATCCTGGTGGAATTCTAAGAAACCAAAGGAGCAGGATAGGCAGGTTGGCTTTCTCTCTTTTGTATCCTTTTTTCATGTCCTTCACTTCACGTCCCTTGTTATAACCCAGTGTTTATCATACCCATTCCTCCAACCTCCAGAGCCTTTTCCTTTTCTGCACTTGTTCTTACCTTCTGCATTATTCCTCTACTGAATAAGTACTGACTCTTTCCTCCCTTCTGTCTTTGGAAATCCATTCTGATAATCTTGTAATTAGAATACTGTTAAATTTACCAGCTCTCCTAATGTTTAAAGGGCTGTCCTTAATTTATGTGATATCTGTGTCAAGAAGCCTTTTGATGAAGGATGGATGCCTCAGTGCCTCCATAATGCTAGTGGTTGAAAATTATGTTTTGTCCTGTTTTCCTCAATAAACTTACTCTATAGCTTAGTTTTAACCAAGAAGAACATCCTATTTCTGCATCATCACCCAATTCTTTTAGTTTAATTTATGGGAGACAGGCACATTTAAAAAGGGCCGACATCTGATTTCTCTTACTGAATCTCATTTATTATTGTGCATTGCGAGGTCTTGACATTACTGCACCTAAGTTGTTCCAAGCGCTTAGCTGGATGGTGTGTCCAGAAATGATCCAAAGAAGACTCAATATCCGTATCCCATTTAAAGACGAGTAATTTTCACTTGCACTTTCTGTAGTCCACACCCCTGCTGCACACTTCTGCAGCGAGAAAGCTTGCAAGACATTATACAAGTAGCCTTGTATGAGGAAAGAAAGATAAGTTTTTGAAAATGGAAGAGAAAGAGAAATAAAACAGATTAAACTTCTTAGAACACTGTACACTATACAAAGTAAATTGCTAAAAAACCTGACTATAACATAGCCATCGCATTTTCATAGCCTTAAATACGACTCATAATGTTCTCATACCAATTCAAATTCAAGTGGATCAATTTAGTAGCGTGAAAACAGGAAAAATAAGACTAACTCAGCACATCTATTCTTCTGAAGTTTTTACATGTACTATATCTGTATAAATCTTATTTACTGCAGCAACACCTGTATACCACCTATATCTCTTTATTGTTATTTACTTAACTTGGAGATATTGTTTATAAACAGAATCTCACCGTAGCATTGTTCTAAAATGTATGAAAAATAATGAACAGTTCTTAAAACCCATTTGAATAACAAACAGAGAGGATAAGCATAATAATAATGTACATACTCTTCTTGCTGTTCTCTTCTTTTACATCACTGCATTCTGCTTTTGGGTTTCCTCTAACCTTAGAATGGTCTTCCTCGTTCTTGTGAGCCTCGTCTTTGAGGAGGGTGCCATAGTCATTGGGACTGCAGTGTAACCTAGAGGCATCGCTGGGGAAAGCCTCTTTCTCATGTTTCCATTTGATAACAGCAATGTATATGGTGGCAGCAAGAGGTACTGCAATTAACAAACAGCACATGAACCTGCAAGAAGTGTTGAAAATGAAATGAAGAAATATTGCCATTTGTCCTTTTTCTAAGTCATTTCTCAAATGTGCATGTTTTTTTTTCTACATATAGCAAACATATAGTATTATGATGTCCTTGTTGACCAATCAGATTTCTGGGTAATTTGTCCTAAAGTCTACATGAGCCCAACTAAGAGAAGATAACTGCCGAAACAGAACTAAAATTTAAAAGCAAAGGATTTACAAATTTGAACAAACAGCTGACAAAACTTTAATTAAATAATAATAATAATTCACTTAGTTTGAATACACTTATACGGCACTTTTTTTCTGGACACTCCACTCGAAGCGCTTTACAGGTAATGAAGACTCCCTTTCACCACCAATGTGTAACCCCCACCCGGAGGATGTGATGGCACCCATAGTGCGTCACCACACAGCTATCAGTGGGGAGGAGAACAGATTGATGAAGCCAATTCAGAGACATGGATTATTAGGAGGCCTTGATTGGTAAAGGCCTATGAGAAATTTGACCAGGAAGCCAGTGTCAAACCCCAACTCTTTTTGAGAAACGCCCTGGGATTTTTAATAACCATAGTGAGTCAGAACCTCAGTTTTACGTCTTATCTGAAGGATGACACTTTTTACAGTATTGTGTTTATACTGGGTCATGAGGACCCACACAGGATACAGGGTGAGCACGCCTTACTGGCTCCACTAACAGGTATCCAAGAAGCAACCTTAGTTTTTCCCAGGAGTTCTCCCATCCAGGTACTGGCCAGGTTTAGCACCTGCTTAACTTTGGTGGGCAGTTGTGAGTTGCAGGGTGATAAAGCTGCTGGCAACATCTTTATGGTTCTGCTAGCTCTAATATAAGCTGATATACAGGGAGGTGGCTTTAAATGTTGATAATGGTCATTTTAAATACTCAATGTTATAATACTTCACAGACATGTATGTAAACGCACACAGGTGTTTACAGTAGTTGTTCCACATCTAACCAATGCTTACAGACAAATGATAGCAGAGGAGTCTGGGGACACGTTTTCACTTAAGCATTGTATCATGTAGATCCCTTGCATTGAGTCCAGAAGAAACATCGATGGATAAGGGGGCACAAGTGATTTATTCTTATAATGGAAGGCTTCTGCCAATAGAAAAATACAGAGAAAGAAAAATAAATGCAGTATGATACTTCTTAATGTAACAGTATTGCTTTGGCAAGGAAAATTGCCATAGTAAGAAAAACAAAGGTAATAAAATGAAATCAAAATTGGTGTTTAACTTTAACTTTCCTTAATTATACTAAGAACACCTCTTTATTCTGGGCATTTACTGTGTACTGGAAAGTGCTTTTATTACAACACTTCTTGCTGTATTGATAGCAAATTCCACCAACTATAGTTGTGTGGCAATAAAGAATAATCTAATAGTTTTGTATAACATTATAACTGTAACGCTTACGGCCGACAGGTACTGTGTAAGAGCCGGCTTACCAGAGCGGTGACGTCGCCGCCCTTCCCTGTGATAGCAGGACTACAGCTACTGGGCTGTGGAGAGATCTCTTTTTGGCTCACCGGGCTGGGTCCCTGCTGAGTAACTCATGGAGGCCCAGGTTCGAGCCCCCGATGGTGCGGGGCCGACCCTAATGCGGCAAGGGTTCCCGCCTGAACCCCCGTTGCGTTACATTGGTGTCAGAGTGGGGTGGGATAGACCTTCGCCGGGGATGGCGAGTTAAGCGGGGGAGAGTGTAACCCTTACGGCCGACAGGTACTGTGTAAGAGCCGGCTTACCAGAGCGGTGACGTCGCCGCCCTTCCCTGTGATAGCAGGACAACAGCTACTGGGCTGTAGAAAGATCTCTCTTCAGCTCACCGGGCTGGGTCCCTGTTGAGTGACGCGGGAGTCCCGGGTTCGAGCCCCCGACGGTGCGGGGCCGACCTAATGCGGCAAAGGCGCCCACCTGAACCCCCATTGCGTTACGTAACATTCCCTGGGATGGGTTAATGATAGTACACACTTCTTCAGTAGGCATACAGGCTTTTAAATGATTTTATATGAGGCATGGTTTCAAAAGTCACCAAGGAGTCCCCATCATATGGTAAACAGACACCTATGATATGCCTGGCTCCTGTGAGCATGGCATGTGCTCTCAGTGAGAGCTGCATCACTCCTTCATCTAATGATTTTCTCTGGTGTTTGCCCTGTTGGGACTGTAGTGTGAAAACAAAAGGACAATGGAGGTACATGTTTCAGTGGATTTACTCATCATTCCCATAATTCTCACACTTGCACAAGGATTTGACAGATGCATAAGGCTGATTAACCATTGACAATCCCGGTATCTGGCGATGTAGAAATAAAAACATATTTGGGAATGGGAGTCTTCAAATCACAACAGATCTGAGGAATCCAGGGACAGAAGTAGGCTCTTCCCAGGTTTTTTTTGCATTGGTATGTGAGGAATATGAACAGAAGACCACAAAAGCATTTCTGTCCAAGTTTCAGACATTGTAGCAACACGTGTATTCAATATAATACAACTGGCTGAGATATTTTGTTTCCCATATTTATTGATGTATCTGAGTGAAAAATGACTGTATGCTGTTTTTTGCAAAAAAAAGAATCTTTGTCTTTCTTATTAACTGTTTTCTAATATATTCTAATGTCATTCCAGGTTATTAAGTAAGTTAAGACAATACACTCACCATAAACAACTAAAGTTTGCACTTCAGCCTCACTGCAGGAATCTGGGACACATATGCCAACAAAGTACTTCGTTTGTTCCTGTGAAAACAGATTATTAGAATTACTCCATACGATTAAGTAAAATAGTTTAGCCACTTAAGAACAATCCAAGCACTGTATTATGAGATTCAACAAGTGAATAGCAAATAAATGTGGTGAGAGGAAACCTAAAATATATTACAGTCAAATTTATTGTGTCTGGTTGTAGTAAATGGAAAAAAAGAATATACACTAGTATGACCTGTTGTGCACTTTGTGTGGTACCTTTGTGTGGATGCACTTTCTGCATCAAATGTATTAGGTACTTTATACAGTATATAACATTTATAGTAATATAAAATTAAATAAAGTAATTTTTATATTACAAGCAAATATGATATCAAACTTTTTGTTGGGTTATATTGATTAGATTACTGTCACTTAAAATTTAAATAGAACAGGTATTTGTAAGGGGCAAGTCAAATATTTACAATGCATTAAATCTTGACACTCTGGTCTTGTAAAACATACTCTTTGCTCTTTAATTGACATTGGAGAACAAACAATAAACCAAAACGGATTTTTAACAGTTCACTTTACAGATGGCATGGTCTCTAAAATTGTCAATTAAAAACAGAATATGCAAATTAACAAATTACATTTGCATCTGGTCTGTTGAAATCATTATATCTGTGATAAGATTATCAAATCTGCTCATGTTGGTTGCTTTTCCAAATAGTGTTGGTTGGTTTTGTTTTATTCATTTCATAGTTTGAAGCCAGATTTCCTTAGTGTTCTCTTTGTAGTAGTATTATATTAATTCATATGACTCTTTTTATTTGACTTACAGTATTACCTGCTTCAAAATGACTTGGCAGTATTGTCCACTAAAATTGTGTGCTTGGGCTAACAAGCACTCACGAGCAGAGCCTGGCCTGTTGATGTTCCCACCTGTAAAGTCACTTCCAATTTTGCCAAATGCATCATACACTGCAAAGACATACAATAAATGCAAATAGTAATAATATTAAAAAGTAATATCCACCATTATTTCATTATCCATTCTTGCTGAGCCACATACTGTAGGGATGATTGTAGCATGGTAAAACCTTTCCGGGATGTCTAGGATGAAAGGATTCACTAACAGCACATAACTACTCTCTACCTGGATAATAAAGAAAGAGACCATTTAAAATCAAATTTGAAACCCTAATTTGTGGAGCATCTGGAGAAATTGGATATTTCCAATCAGAATTATATTTATAAAAACAATACCAGCAAAACTGCTAGTAAACATGAGCAAAATAGGCAACAAAAAAGTTTCAGTATTATTAATTTTGGTTGAATATCAAAACAAATGTCATTCCTGTTTTTGTTCATATTTAATTTACCTCATTCTTCTGTCATACTTTGATCATGTTCTAAAATTCATGTTGTGTTAACACACACAGGGGATGGATCCCTGGAAGGTTCTAGCAAAAGGTGTCTTTTGCAAGTCCAAAGTTTTGTATAATGCAAATGTTTGCTTACCTACAGAAATGAGAAAATACAGCTATAAGGCAATAATTGCTTTAAACCAAAACTAGCTGCTGATCTCTTTCCTACAGTAAATTGAATAAAATTAATGTCATGTGCTGTACAGTAAAATGGAACTCAAAATGTGGTATACATAGTAGAATTTTTAATCTTCAGTTATTTCTATTCTTCATTCCATTTTTATGCTACTCCATTTAATCATATTCCAGAAAACAATACTAAAGAAAAATAATCAGATTATCATATTTGCACTTTCTATCAGAATTGACATACTGTACATTTCCAAACAGGTGTTATTCTAGCATTAAATAAAAATAAAATATACTTACTCAAAACAGCATATTCACTAGGCTTTGCTTTATTAAGGTCCAGAACAAACTTGGTGGTGTCCTGCATGCATTTATTTGAAACATTTCCATTAAATGCATAGCAGAAAAAGATGAAATGAAGGAAAATGAACCACCTCACAGACAACATTTTGGCGAGATGAATTTTAATGAATTGTGTGCTTTAAATAATGTTGGAAAAAAACATGTGACCTTGAACATAGTAATGAGTTTGGTCACACATACTACAATTACCTGTACTAATACCTGTAAAAATTGCTCATGGGTGATTGTAGAAGGAGCTTTCGTCATTATGAAAGTAATATGCAGTCCTTTTTTCACAAGAAGATCAGAGCTTTGCTAGGGCTCTGATTTCTACGCCTTTCTCAGTTTTCTCCACCTAATTGTAAAATGCTGTAATTAGAATTATTAACCTTATATCTTCTTAATTAAACCATGAATACCTTTCAATGAAAAAAGAAGCAATTTTCTTTCTACTTAAATATTCCTAAAAGGAAATACATCAATTCATTATTTCAGAAAGAAAAATGGGAAGAAAGAAAAAGTACTGAACTACTGTACATATTTTTATTGGACAAAAATAATTTTAGTAGAAGATAACTATTTCTCAATTAATCTAATGAATAATTAAAATACATGCAGTACTAAGAAAAAACCTGTGGGGTTTATTGATTTACATTAAATGTTTTAAACAGAAATTCTGCATTACACAGGAATGGGTTATCAGATCAATGCACTAATAAAAGTGCCCCATTTTGGTCATTCACTTAAGTGAATAAAAAAATGTGATCAAGATAATTATTAAACATTTTTCAAAGTGTGAGCAAAAAAGCAAGTATAAGACGACTTCATAGAAATATATATTTTAAGGCAGAATTTGGCTGAACTGAATTCAGAAAGTCCAGAATAAGTTAAGCAGGTAAGAAACTGGTAGCACATAAGAGATAAAAAAATAAAAAAGGACCTGTGACATTAAAATGTAATTCACCCAAGAATCATAAATGGAACTTTTATCAGTAAGGCTACTGATGGGCAGCTTCAAATCTCAAGTTAATTTATCTCTTGATTTTTTCTTTATAATCTAAATCTTTATAAAAAGGACCAGAAAACCTGTTGAGCTGGGCAACACATTGGCCACTACTGCATTCAGATCTGCTAATGGCCTTCCTCCAGTACATCATAAACTGTTAATGTATAGCTGGTGGAATAAATTAAAAGAAACTAGTGAAAACCTAATGGAAAATCTTGCTAATAGGTCTTAGTCACACTCTTATTACGTCTAGAGAAGCCTTCTTAATCTGAAAAGATATTAAATTGTCAATACTAAAATAAATGATATTTATTTAAATGTTCTCACAAGTTGCCCAGGAAATCACTTACACTATGTACAGTGGTTTTCCAGTCTTTCCACAGGTTATCAAAGTCAGGACTTTAACTGGGCCACTCAACCCATAATTCACTTTATTATTCTTAAGCCACTGTAATGCAGCTTTGACCTTTTATTTTGGGTCAATGTCCTGGTGAAAGATATTTTGTTGTCCCAGTTTGAGCCCTGAAGAAGGCTCTCCTCTGATATTTTTCAATATCTACCCTGTCCCTGCTGATGAGAAGAACTACCTTACAGTACAGTATATTGTAATACTGCAACCACCATGCTAGACATAATGTTCTACAAAGTGTGTGGCATGCTACTTCTATTCACTTAATTTAGGTTTGCCACAGCAAAAGGTTGGAATAATTATGCAATCGTCTTTCATATAATCTAATGTGTAGAGTCAGTTGTGCACATAACACATTAATTACTACCTCAAAGTGCAAGCATTAAAGCAAGAATTTGTTAAAACTGATCCTTTCTTTTGTATCTTTTTATGTAAGAATCTATATTTAATAATAATTAAATATAATTTATTTGTGCCAAACCAAGGTAAACAAATCAGAAAAAAACAGAAACAGTAAGGCATATCCCAAATTATACCTTGAAAATACAGCATGTGGAATCTGACAAAAATTGGAGAAAAAACTATGAATGTTTAAACTATTCGGGTACAAGGGTTTAAAAGACAGTGCCTTGAACAAGTTTCATATTTTATTGACACCAATAACATCTTATACAGGAACATTTGACATCTACCTAACAGCAGCAAGACACATTCTAAGAAACAAGTAACACCTGTTACAGCTTCTCATGCAGTTTAAATCTCTACACAAAAATATTTCTTTTAAAAAAAGTAAAAAAAAACAACAAAAAAGTCCTTTGAAGAAATACATATTATATAAAAGAAAACAAATAAAAACATATCTTTTCCCCAAGTATCTTATACAATGTTTTATATTTTTAAATCTGAAACACTGTTCAATATTTAAAGATGTTGGTTTTGCTACTACAGCTGTCTGTCCACAATGAATAGATAGCAATTCCCAGTTTCGTATTTACACACACATTCTTTAGTTGTGAAGGCAGAGCAAATTTCAATTTGAATAGGTCTCATAACTTGTACAGGCCGTTCGTTTATGTCCATAACTACTACTTGAAGAAACAAGATCAAGATTTTTAAATAAAATATGCTTCTTTGGTGTTTCAAAACAACACAGGATATGTGGGGTTGTTAACATGCCATAATCTTAAGGAAATTCTTAAGCATTTAGTAGTGTGTAGCTCTAAGGGGTTCTCAACACAAAGCCACTATGTGGATAAAAACTAAGTATCGAAGCACCAGAGAAACTTGGAAACATTGATCTAAACCAATGCATTTTCTTCTCATTCTGAATGAGTGTTCTTTTTTTTTTTTTTCAGGGTTATCAGTACAATACAGAACTCTTTACCTACATGGTCCAACTGAAGCAATTTTAATTAGGCTTGAATAGAAATGTTAAGAAAAAAACAGTAAGAAGACAACTCTGGCCCATTGAAAAATGCCCAATTTTTATATTTTCACTAGTAACTTTTAATTTAGAAAGAAACTAGAAAACTGTTTAGATGCTCAACTTTTGCAATTGAAACATTCCAATAACACACAATAGCAATATTGTATGTTATTGCATTGTTCAAAGCTGAACTAAACATTTTGTCCTTAAAAACTAAAAGTAAATCCAAGTGTCTACCATACATCTTGTACTACTGCAAAACTGGATAGAATGTAGGATAAGGTGTATATAAAAAAGATACAGTGCAAAATTCGGCAAACAGAATAGCATCTGGAAGTTTCCAAAACCAAAATCTCGTCTTTTCAAAGTAATTGAAAATCATAACCTCAGGTGCAAACTTTCATAAAAAACAACATTCCAAAATCATTTCCTTTATCACTGTTTGTTTGTTAAAATATGTTAACTATAATAGAACATGTCTAATATACTGTAGCAATATTGATGAGTATTGTTGATAATAGAATTATTTTGATCAAAGTGCATCAATATTGCAACACTAGGGCAGAACTGCTTTCATGTGTTAGTCAATTAAAGGTGTAGTCGTCATCATTGGAAGCATTTTTTTCCTGTTTAGTAACAGCATAAGAACAACTATAGAACAAAACAAAAGAACAAAAGAAAATACAATCTTTATTTTTCTGCTCACATATAAAAAACTGGGCATTTTTACCAATTTCTTCTTGCTGGTAAACCTTCACTAATGTAATAAATCATCTGTCAGACATCTACCTTTCCTTTCAATAGACAGCATTATGTCTATAAAAAGCAAAAGGATAAGGAAGTAGCTTTAAGAATATCTGTATATAGCATTCATCCAGAGAGCTGACATATCACATGTATATAGCACCCATTTAGTGAAACATAAACATTATTTTTAAATTCTTAGGCTGAAACTGGCAAAAATAATGAATACAACATTTTTTGGAGAGTCCGATAAATAGTAAGTTATAATATGAATGGTTATGCTTAAAACCTGCACATTTATACTGTGAACTTTTTAATTCACATTTTCTTCCTCTATGAACTGTCAGTAAAATAGGCTAGTTTAAACTCTACCAGACAAAATACATCTTAACAAATATTCACATCTTTCTTTTACATTAGTATTCTGAACCTTATTGGCTCAAACTCTGTAAAAAGGCCACAAAATAAACAATTTTAAAAGCAAAAACCAAAAGGTGTGCATGTGAAAAGATCTAAACAGACAATATTATTCCTTAATTTGTGAGTTCCACTGAAACAGAACCATTAAAGTAAATTAAAAAGTATCTCTGTTGTGTGCCTCTCCACACAATGTTCTCAATATATGTTTGAAATAAAGAATGTAATTTTTGATGACAACTTTATAATCACAAAACTTTCTTCACCGTCTGCTGATTTAAGTGAATGGTGACAGTGACATCATTTGACTCCCCTTCAAAATGCCCCAAATGGAATGAATTGGGTTCCAAAGTCCATCTACTTGTCTTTGTTGTAGAGTTGGTAGAATAAGTAATGTACAATCAGTATCAACAGATTAAAGTACCTTCAGACTTGGTGCTACCGCATTTACAGTGTAAGCCCATTAGGATTCAATTCCTGCATACTTTATAATCAGAAAATATGGGTCTGGCAACAAAGCCTTTAATGGTAAAAGAGCCATAAGAAGATGAACACCTGGAATATCTCAACAGCAGTTCTGCTAGATGAATACTGTGGCAGAATAAGACCTCCAATCATCTTGGTTGCATAATCAAAATATTTTGCAGAACATTTTACATATCAAGAGGAGGACAGATTTATCAGTGTTCCCTTCAGGGCAATCACCAGAAGCATTCTTTTAAAGCTCCATTAAGCTTGTCATGTTGTCTGGGTGTCAGACTCTAGGCTCCCAAAGACGGTTCTCTTCTCCCATCAAAGCCAAGGCAATTGCACCAGATAAGAACAAAAGCAGCATTTCAAAGACATAGTTAAAGCAAACATAAAAAATGCAACATTGATTTAGCTCTTGGGAGATTATGGTCTTTGACTGAACCAGATTCAGCAAGAATGTTGGGCATGAGCTCTGCACTTTAAGCCAAGAAATGAGGAAGCAAACGTGAAAATGCTGAAGAGAGCTCATCGTGACTGAATCTTCTAAGACAACCAGACTCTCTCTGGCACTCTCTGTGACCCTTAACTGTGAGGGATAGTTATGATCAATCATTGATAATGAATCAATGATTGAATGATGGAATGAAGCAATGAGTAAATGTAAGTCATAAAAAGCTCCTACCAAACAGGTTGTATGGTACATTACAGCTATTTCATAGTTCTGGCCTTTTCTGCCTTTTTCCTTTGTAACAGTTCAACTGATGTATAGCTCATGGACTTCTCCCAGGACATTTGGCAGCAGTAGCAATAAAATACTGCAGTGTTTTAAGGTTATAGGATAAACCTCATGATAAACCCTCTTCACAGTATCTAAAACATCCAAACTGTAACAAAAATGACTGCTTCTGACAGAAAATAATTAAATTAAACGTCCTATAAAAATCTATTAAACACCCATACAAACACTTTGCATAGAGTGTACAAAACGTGTTTTTCTTAGTTTTATTTAAATATACATAAATTGCTTTTAAATACATTTAGTTTTTTTAAACACTTAAGGGATATATAAGAGAAAATGGTGTAATGTGTAGTAACTACAGCTGTCTAAAATGTACCATTATTCTAACAGCACTCAGCTGTGAAGAGTGTAACAAAACCAAATGTAGCACAGAACAAAAAGTATTTGGATAATAAAACGGGTCTTCTGTTCACTGTATTCACTTCTCTGTTGCACTCAGTCTTTTTGACTTGATAAAAGCCATCCCATGTGTTCTCATGTGAGTGTTCAAGGCAGCTTCTGTCTCGAATGTCTTGGCACAAACTTTGCACTTCCTTTCGGAGACACCGTCAGATTCTGTGCCCTCTGGGCTCAGTTTATTTTCTTGCTGACTGTCCTCTCCTGCCCCATTCTGTCTGGAAGTGGGCTGGGGTTCTTTTAATTTGTGCACTATAAAGAGGTGTCTGGACAGAGAGTTGTGGGAGGTGTAGCACAGGCCACACTCACGACACTGGTAGGAAGAGCCATCAGATTTGTGCTGGGGAATGTGCTCATGGAATTTCACAATGTCCTCCGTGGTGAAGCTGCACACAGCACACTTGTGGACTTTGAACACATTGATTTTGAGCTTCTTCAGGGGCTGAGTTATAGCACCTCGGGGACGGAACTCCAAAACTGTTTCTTCTAGCTTCCGTTTTGGGCTAGAAGCCTACGGATCGACACAAAAGAAACAATGCCAATTTAAAAAACGGACAGGCCAGCAATTATGACACAGTACACCTTGGTCTTTTAATTTGTAATTTATGCATCAAAAGTAAAGGATCGTGCAGTTAAATTGACTGAATACAGATGATAATTATTTTTAATTGATGAAAGAAATGCTACTGTGCTAAATGTACTGTACATGTACTGTAGATTCTATTACTGTTGTAACTGGTGTTTCAAAATGCAGTTGTTATCAAAATGTCAAGTGATATATTTAGCTGCTGTTGGATTAAATAATCCATGAAGAAATGGAAATCAGGAGAGATCAAAGGCTGCTCTTTATTTTTTCCAAACAGCAAACATCCCATGAGACACATGATGGATAAATAACTGATTTTAATTATCTTGGGCTGAATCATTGCATAAGTTATAGATAAATACTCAATAGCAGTCTATCAGCATTCTCACCGCATATTTGGACCATTCCAGTCATGTGAAAACAGAAGGTCTGTGTAAAGGACTTCTCTATCATTACAAAAACCCGTTATCCACCATTATGTCAACTGTGATGATGAGAAGGCTCCCTTACACAGAGCTTTTTAGGTAACAGAAATGGTCCAACTAAGGAAAAAGAAATGGATAGCCTATTAGTAGTAAAAGCAATTAATTTATTGGAAATAATATATCAACAGTATTAATGTAAAATGCACTATACCAGTTTTAAAATGCGGTGAGTAAAAAAAACAACAAATCTGAAAATGTCAAATCATACAGAATAACCCTTGAAATAATTATTTCAACATTAATTTCAAATAAATATTATTAGAACTGGTAAGTGTAATTCATGTAATGAAATATTTTCTGAGCTGAAGCAGTGTAAAGAGCAAATGTGTGATTTAGAAGTTTAATTTAAAAGGCGTGAGATATCCTCAAGCAATGAACCTGCTTTATTCATGTGAATACTAGAAATAACGTTAACCCTTAACTGAAAGGTTAACTAAGGTGAATTCAGAAAAGTTGAAAGGAAAATTGGTGAGTAAACTTAAGTAATGTACTGTATTTTATGGCCCTCAATACATTTGCATACTCTCATTATGGCCACTGTCAAAGATGTTGCCATACCTTAGAAAATTCTTTTTCTGAAGCATCTTCAGCATTGGTGGATTCTGTCACTTGTTTTTCCTCTGTGTCCTTAATGCCATGCATTAACTGAATGTGCTTGTCCAACATTAAGCGCTTACTAAAAGAACGATTGGGGTCCGGACAGTGACTGTGGAAACAGTGAAGAGACAGAGGACATTTTACTATTACAGCATAAACCTGTAATAAACCAACAAACCTGAAATATTATGTTACAAAACAAGGCTTCTACTATTTATTATCAAGTGATTTGTCTGTATCACAATATCCCTCCTGATGTACTTTCCTTATGCTGTTTAGAAAAGTTCATTAGAAAAAAACAAAAAAGTTCAAAGCTCAATCAAATGATAATGCACACACATCTTCTTCCATAATTCTTCCATAATTTGCAGGACAGGAGTCTTGCACATTAACCACTGCACTATTTTGCTTTTGTCAAAGGATGAAATGTAATTACAAACTCACTCCATAGAAAGAAGTTCTAAGGTTTCTTCATTCCAAAAACATTCCTTTGCCTGCCTTGTGAAAGCATGTAATGAATGTGAATACATTCACAGATCAAGGCTTTCTTAATTGAACTAAATTACAGATACTGATTAACACATGCCAGAAAACAGTCATGCTCTCTTCTCTACCTCCACTTGGGAGGTCAGTGTCTACCAGCTTGTGAGACAGGAGATAATATTTCAACTTATGGAAATCTAATGATCTCCATGGCAGTTGGCAGCTCCTCTAAATGCATCTTCCAGGAGAACACTCAGAAAGGACTCCCAAATTAGACACTCATTAATGGTACAGTATGTCAGCTCTCTGAATATGTTGCAATTCTCTTAGGTTTGATTTTAAAACCCAGACTAAGGTCATGAGACTGAAGCAGGGGCTTCAGAAAACTATGTGGAAGAAGTACCACATTATGTATGGAAAAACAGCTGGTATCAAAAATCGCTCATGTGCAGCATATAACTTAATAAAGAGCATCCTTCTGAGATCTCTTTGGAGTTTTTTTTACACATACTGTATCTGAGTGAAAGATCTGTTATTTTAAATGCACCTTTCTAAATACATGCATTTCAGGTCAAAACCTACTGTATGTTGTGTTGAAATATGAACGAGAGGGCATGAGTAGAAACTACATGCACAAGCATTTAAAACAAATAGGAAGCAGATTTTAACCTAAAGGTCTGTGGGAGTTTAGAATAAGCTACCCAGCCATATGGTTGAAGCCAATATCCTGGCTTCTTGCTAGAAATATCTAGATGAGAGCCTGGATAAATTAACTATTATCTAAAGGGTAAGATGAGCTGAATGGCGTCCTCTCATTTGTACCCTTTCTAATGTATGTTCTTTGTATTTCTGTGTTATGTGCCATTGTGACATTCCAAGTTGAGTGAAAATCTGTCTCCTTTGATTTAAAAAAGCAATAAAGCTCATAAAAAGAAAGATCCATGTGTCGGAAGAACCAAACCAAACATCCAAGCAGTTACCATTCCATAAGGAATACTTTAAGCTCTAAAATATAATGGATAGTGGGGGAACAAGATTTAATTTATTTTCATAAAACAATGGTGTTTTGCTTTATGAAGGAAAACAATACAAATTGATGGATGAGTTTGATATTGGAAGAAAAACTATACCTGAGTGACTAAAGTGAAGTGCTCCCTGTGGGTCTAAATATTGTTTGGAAAAGATCAATAAAACAAAGCTTACTAGTGGGCAAAACAAGCTGTGTGAGCAGGACCACAATTTACTGTTTTCTGATATGTATGAAAAAAGCAGCTCCTCCAAAGGTGGAAATAAAATGAATATTTTATTCAACCCTATTATTCTTCCTGTAAAAATGCTGCCTCTGTTAGAGAAAACTGCCAGTGACCTTCAAGGTACACTGTAAACTCGATACAGGTTTCTTTTCATGGATACAGATGTTGAGTTGCAATGTTAAAGGGATTTTTTATTAGGCCCTGTAACACACGTGCTGCCCTCTCTTTATTCATTTTAATGAAGAGACCAGGCACCCATACAGATACAGTTCAGTGACCCATCTGTATCTTCAATATGCTAAATACTGAAACACGTATAAAATATTAATCTCCAAGAAACAAAGAAAGCACACCCATAAGATGATTCAAACTGTTAAAATATTTTTTATTAAATGATTCTTTCTGCACAAACATAAAATCCCTTGAAGGGTAATTTATAATTTTTTTACAAAAGATCAAGGAGGATGGTCCCAGTTCATAGGGGACAAGCAAGTGTACTCCTTCTAAATTTCTACATCCTATCTTAGGTAAAAGAGTTGAAAAGAAACTGTAAAATACATTGAAATATATAGCACAACATTTATACAAAAATATGTCCTCAAATCACCAAATTGCTCCTTACCACACAAAGCACAGAACACTTTTAAGCCCAACAGGGCTTTCCTCATCTTTCCATGAGTGTCTGAGGAAGGTTGTGGTTGGTTTTAATGCAGACAACAGCAGGTGTTTACTTACGGGCATGTGTACACTTTTCGAATTCCTTTGTGCTTGATTCTGTTGTGTCGGCAGAGACTGTGTGATGAACTGAAGGATTTGTCACATTGACGACAAGGATGCTTCTTCATTTGCTAAGAAAAAGAGAGTCAACCAATCATTTGCGCATTGAAATGACCTCTTAGACACTATGCAGATATATAATGACATGAACATGATTCATGATTTGTTCAGTGTCTGTCTTTCCCAAATCCAATATACTCAGAGCTCTTAGTTTTGTGTGAAGCACATTGTCAAGGTTACCTACAGTAACAAAGGAAGTGTTCTACAGGGATGATATTTTGAAAATCAATTATAAAAATGAGAATGAACACATTACAGCATAAACCAAAATGTATTTTTAATACGTTTTTTAAGAAACAATAATTAACAAGACAATTCCACTTTAAAGTTTACGCATTACTCTGAATTAAACTGACCAAAATAATTTTTGGGTTAGTCTTACAGTCTGTATTGCTTAAATTCCAAGTATTTTTTCTTAAAAATCTCTTTGGCCTCTGACCTGGCTAGAAAAAGATCTTCAACACAAAAATCAAAAACCGACATCAGTCATGATAAATAAATGTATTCTGGGCTAAATGTAAATACTACCACTCTGGGTGGCACCATTTTCCATAAGTAATGTATAAGGATTTGAAGAAAATTCTTTCTTGTTTAAGAGCCTTTGAAACTAGTTCCAGTTCAAGTCTTCCTGATTATTTAGCCCCCTGAAAATATTTAATACTGTACAGTATGTTTATTTCACAATAACCTGTGTATGTGTTTGAGGTGAATTTCCTAAACTCACCAAAAGATATTTAAGATAAATCTTGATGAGATCTACATTCATCAAGCAAAACATTCTGCTATTTAACAATTTGATTTTTGGTAGATATTTGTATTTAAATAAGTTGTATTTATCTTTCATTCAAACATTACCCAAGGCTGGTCTAGCAAAGTAATGCTCAATTCTAACAAAATGTGTTATTCATAATTTATTTAACATAAATGTTCACAGGATGTGCATCCAAATGTTAGTAGTTTGAGATTTGAGGGGTTCTGAGCTTGGGACATTTTACAAAAAGAATGACTAACATTTTGAATCACATTGCACAATGAAAACCAGGTAAATTTATCCAGCACAATTTGAGTAGGTTGGGCAGCAAAATGGCCCTTTTCTGATTGAACTGGTACTATCAGACAAACACTGCCGTGAGAAGAGAATGATTGCTGAATTCAGGCCTGCTACTTTTTCAGATTAGTCATTGTCCATTCACAAAAAGGGCTGTTTTTATTTCTTCAGTAGCACTGTGCATTCAGTTATAAATCTAAAAAAGGAAAGGATCAATAAGCATTCAGCATGTGCCTGGATCCACAGAGATAAGGCATTATGTATTGATCCATTTTTTTCATTACTTCTCAATTGAGTTTGATTCAGCATTGCTGTCCTTCAGTCTATCTTACAAAGATGAATGAAATCATAAAGAAGCTGGATCACTATTAATTTAAAAGTTAAGTAATTGCACAATATTTTCTAGCAGCCATTCTAATTCATGATGTAATGGAAATGTGTTTGCCAAAGGTTTTCCACATGTAAAAATTGAGAACACTGCCTTATCTTCACGCTTGAAAACAAAGTTATTTTGTGACTTTATGGCAATTTAATTATGCACTTGTTTAAGCACATGATAACACAACATGTACAGTCTTGACATTATTTAAAATCAAACATCTAAAATGCCTTGAACGTTAAAGGACTTGGGGGACTAAATTGGTATCATCCAACAGCACAGACTGAGCGTTACTGTCTAAGCATTGCCGATCCAAATCTGGGTTTATCAGAAAACTATAAATGAGTTGCACTTGGCTAATTTTAGTTGGATCAGTTTGCAGCCCAAAGACAAACTCCATGCCCTGCCAGCTACCAATACACTTTCAGAATTACAGAAGAGAGCTGAGGATGTTCTCCCATTGAACCTCTAGACTGGTGTCCAATCCATAGAGACATAGAGGAAAGCTATATGCATGGTGTTCCAGATCTTTTTAAGCACTAGCAACTGAAGCTAGGAGAAGCCGGTAAATTTGTCCAATAATGGGATGATTTAGGTTAAAAGCCATGCAGACACAATATCCCTTCAGGAATTAGATTGGACACCCCTGGTCTAGCTCACGTGACGGCACTGGCTAGCCAATTTGACAAATCCATGTCTGAGAAAAATCATATGTTCTTTTCTATACAGGTATTAAAGCTGTTGCATTGAGCCATGGCGAATACCAGCCACAGTGAATTACAAATTGGAGAAACAAAAACAAATTCCTCTCGTAGTGCGTTAGAGTGGAGTTCCCGGGACTGGGATTGTAAATGATTGTTAAACCGCTTGCTCACCTTCCCATGCTCTCGCCTCATGTGAGAAATATAGACTTCCCTTTGGGTGAACAATCTGTCACAATCCCGGCACATCCAGCCTGGGTTGGTGGGCTTCTTGGACAGGGAAGTAGTGTTACTTTTCTTCACAGTGCAGGAAGGCTTCTTGTCACTCTTTTCCACCCCGTTCACAGAATTGACATCCTTGCCATTTTGGCTGGATGTAATTGGATTTGTTGGCTTGGTGGTAAGGGGAAGGTTTATACCCAGGTTTGGTGGACCCTCAATTGTTTTTAGTGTGCCATGCATAGACTGTGGGAATAATTGAAAATAATTATTAAGATTTAACAGTAAAGAGCTTATCGCCTGCACACTATCCAAGATGGTAGATACAGAGTTCTTCCGATATCATAAACCTGCATGAATGTTCACAGTTAGGTTAACTTTATAGGATACTTTTTTCAAGTTTAAGCAGTTTTAAATCTGGAAATAAAATACAGACAATACTGATATTTTTCCTTGTAAAAGGCAGAAAATAGGTCTTTGTCTTTGTACCTTTATATGATCCAACATAAGCTGCTTCTGTGCATAACGCATGGAGCAGTCTGGGCATTTGAAGACAGAGACTTTCTGATTGGCGATGTGCTGGTCAAAGTGGGAGTAAAGCAACGTCTGCTGTGTGAACACTGTGTCACACATGGAGCACTTATAGATTAACCTAGAAAAGAAAACAAAATACACATAAAGAAGTGTTATAAAACATCTAGATTTCATTTCTTGCAGCCATCAAGACTTCAAGGTCAAATGGCTTCTGCTGAAAGACGTTGAAAAATGTGATAGTCGTTGTCTGAGGACTTAGTACAGAAGTGGGTTTTTAGTCTAATAAATGAATACTAGGTCACATTTAGGTTACTTATCATAATATATTTCTATGTAAATATTGCGCAGAGACCAAATACAGTTGTGAAGTGCTACATAACTTGGGTGATGCATCTGTAAAAACATTTGGTAATACCTCTTTCTAGAGCGGATGTGGCTGGTTATACACCTGTAGGATTTGTACATATACAGTGCATTGTATATAAAATAATATGTATAATATATGTTAAATAACATATTAGTTCGTAATATAATATAATATATATATATAAAAACTAAGTTATACTGTATATATAATAATAACACACCCTCAATGATCAGGTTATACTTAGAATGGTTTTGTGGCTTCTTTATTGTTCTGTGAACAATTCAGCAGTGGAGAATTAAAAAGACAAGCATTTTCACAAAGGTAGGTAGGTCCCTTTTCAGGCCATAAAGGCCCATGGAGAATGGAGGGCAAGGGCCATCTTGAGGTTCTGGTTCAAGGAGGAATCCAGAAGTGAAGATGGATATGTGAAGCTGTCACATGTCTTTCCCCCTGATATATCCTTTCTCTGTTTTTACTTTGAGTTTTTGCCATTTAAGTATACCAAGTGGTCACAAGAGGTGCTGGCGATCTTCCAGAAATCACGGCCTGTGGAGCTGTGGAGCCATCTGGTCTTTACCCATTTGGGGTCTGCTAAATTGATATTCTTGTTTTTGTGAGGCTGCTTATCTAATAAAATGCCTCAGTTATCTGAATACTCTAACAGATACACAATCCCTCAGTGGCCAGAGTGGCCAAGATGGGGGGACAATAAAAATCTCTAGCTTGCACATTTATACTCCAAGGCACACAATCAAAACTATACTGAAGTGTTGCTTTAAGTAAACAGTTACAGTACTTCTACACTCCCTTGACTTGTCCAGTAAAAACAGCAGTGTTACATCGTAGTGCTGGAGAGGATACATGTCTCGGCGACTGGTTACATTACAGTTCCTTGCATGGGAATATTTAACATGTGGCAGGGTGTTGTAGTAGGATGTTTTAATCACACATACTGTACTTTAATCTGGAAGCAAGTCCATGACATGTGTTTTTCACTCTCTGCTTTAAAAAAAAACAAAGAGAAATACAGCTCTGTCTTTTCTCAAGCAACAACTGTCACTATGCCAGAAATATCTCTGTGAAACTGAAACCTGCTGTCTTGTCATCCCTTTTCACACATTAGAATTTTGGAGAGGCTTTCCTGAATATATAACTAATGATAGATAAAAGCTCATAAGTAGTGTTAAATCCTTCAGATTCATGTTTTCCCTAAGTGGAGGTGTAACTGTAGAAGCAACTTTGCATTGCATCAATTCTCAAAACTTTAAAACACGAATGAATCCTTAAAATATATTTAAAACACTTAAAAAGGCAATATATTAATGTTTTAAAGTGAGGTCTAAGACAGAATTTGAAAGTGCAGACTGATTTGAAGTATCTGATATAGGCTGGAAAACCAGAGACAAGAGAGCTCAGATGATGTTTTGGTTTAAACAGTTTAACAGTTTACAGGTGTAGTCAGTAACCAAACTTTAAAATTGTATTTTATCCTGAAATCCAGAGGGAGTTAGTGCAAGGAAGTAAACAGGTGATATATGCTCATGCATTTTAGTTTAGTTTGGCTAAAATCTGAGCAGTTGAGTAATGACCACGCTGCATCTTGTTAATAACATGTTTGGAAACATAAGCAAATATAACATTACCATAATAAACCCTGGAAAAACCTGAACCATTCCATCTTCTGTATCAGACAGGGACAGATGTGTACAGATATCAACAATGTTAAAAAGATGAAAAAAGACAGCTTTGTAACACTGCAAACTTGAGATTCAAATGTGAGGCTTGGGTCAAAAATGACTTCAAGATTCCATCTTTTTCCATTTTGTTGCATTTGACAGCTTGTTTCAATTCAGTTACATGGGAGACAGGCCCATCCCTGCATGCAAAGGGTACAAGGAAGGATACACCCTGGATGGGAAGCCAGTCAATTACAGGACAGGCACACAGACACAAACACTGACAGTCTCACACCAGGGCCAATTTTCCCAGAAGCCAGTTAACCTGCAGTATCTTTCTTTACTGTGGGAGCACCCAGAGGAAACCCACAAGAACACAGGAAGAACACACAAACTCCAAGCAGATAAATCTGGAATTGAACCTTGGGACCCAGCGCAGTGAGGCAGCAATGCTAACCACTTTGCCACCAAGCTGCCCGCAAAATAGTTTTTATCTATATACAGTATTTAATATTTAGTTTTCTTTTCGATTTCTATTGATAAAGTACAACATTCTCAGTCCATGGTTTGTCACTTGCAAACCATGTAACAACCTGAAATATTACACAAGAATGTGAGGCACAGATAATTTTAGACTTAAAAATGAATTTCATTTTGTTTGGTAAATAATCTGCACAAGATAGCAGTGTTTGCAAAAAATGAAAAAATTGCACACTACAAACTCTTAGTAACCTTTTCATAATGTCCTTCTGTGTGTAAATGAATCTTAAACCAGTTGTCATCTTTGGAAAAATAAAAAAAAAAGTTTTATTGTCCTGCCTAGGCCTCAGAACAAGGTATGTTGACTCCATGTTTACAAATACCACAATATTTGAGTGTGTTTGGGGATATGTATGTACTGCATTGAAATGTGCATGTGTAACCATAGAGATAGAACCCTGATGGCCATGAAGTTACTTGCAAAGAGACGTGTTATTTTATACAGTAATGACCATCTATGGAGGTATTATGTTCTTCTTCTTTTATACTTATACAGTTTTACTGTACAACTCATTATTCTTATCTTGTCGTACTGTATTTCAAAAGTTAATCAAGGCAAAATCAGATTGTAGCTGTAAGTGGTGACAGTAGTGATCTCAGACCAGTTGGCGATACCCTGCCCTATGGACAGTACCAGGTACTCTGTGTTGCAGGAAGTTCCATCCTTCAGATAAGACATTAAAAATAATGATCCCAAAAAGATTTTGTGACGAAACACTACACTGCATTGTTTGCAAGTGTCCTGGTCAAATTCCAATCTGGAGTTCCACAATATTGTTTACACTACCTCATATCCCCACCATTTTCTTACTTCTCCACCTAATCTGCTGTAAAGTGGGGCTGATGGCACCTACAGATGCAGCCATTAAAATGGGTGGGGTATTTCGCGGTATACCCCGGTGGGCGTGTCACAGTATCACGCAGTATCACGGGGTTAATCGCGTCATTTGACGTCATGCCGGAAAGTGTCCGGCATCACCTTGTAAAACCGCCAGGGGGAGCCAATAAAGCTTAACCTCTCATGTACAGCATTTGAGTTTAAACTGTTTATTACAGCATGTTAATCATCAGTCATTAAAAAGTTGGTATATTTTATGAAAGCAAGATTGCTCAGTTGGACAAAAGTACACAACCTACCTTTATCAGAAATATTTAATGCATCAAAGCCTTTACAGAAGGTACTAATAGTATTAATAAAGAATGACTTTGGACAAGCTGTAAACTCAAAGTATAATTTCTTTAGCACATTTGTACAAGCACTTGGAATGTGTCCAAGCCCCACTTTGTCAGGCATTTTCTTTTACTGCAACAGACATAAAAACTCCCTTGCTTTTAACAGAGCGTTTCATAATTTCTAACTACGAAAATGATTTAAACTGCAACACTTATCATTCAACCAGAGCTCAAAATATCACAAGGATCCTCAAGAGCACAGCAAAGACTGTATTAAAAGATACTTGTATCAGATACATGAGAATCCAGGCTTTTTTATCAACGCTTTCTTTTCCATATACCAGATATTATGGAACCACTTCAGAAGGGTGTCAGCCAGTCAGATTCCAGGAATCGGTACTTTAAAGAAAAAATACACACCGGTATTCCATTTCTCCCTAAACATTTTAAGCATCGAAGTCTTTAACTAACATGTGAAATAGCGTGTAAAAAAGTGGTAGTTTTAAGCTTTTCTGCTAATACAATATGGAATCGCGTATCTAAAGAAATTAATAACAATATGATTATATTCGTGTACTGCGACATTTCTTTGAAAAAATAGAATAGCAATATTATGGACAATTAATTGACTTTTATATTTTTAAATATCACAACATGATAGAATTTAAGTCATTTTAATAACAATGAATAGTCACCTATGCGTTACAATATAAACATTTATATTGATTTAAATCACGTTTTGATTTAAATCGCAAACGCGTGTTTAAATATATGTGTTTTTTTATTTAATCTCTAACCCAGGGAAATGTTTTATTTTTTCAAAGAAATGTTTGTTAAAAAAAAGTCATAGCTTCAGCTGGATTCAAACACTCACCATGTGACGCAGGAGTCAGGAACCTAACCCACAGCGCCACCGGCAAGGTCACATGCAGGGTGCTGAAAAAGCACTACAGAAACATTATCAACAGACAATGTACAGCGTGTACTATTCTTGTGTTGCGGTACATGAATATAATTATATCGTTATTAATTTCTTTACATACGCAATTCCATATTATATTCCCTTTTAATCAAATTCTAAAAGTATGCTTGTTGACTACGGTATCACATTACTTAAGGACTTCGAAGCTTAAAATGTTTAGGGAGAAATGGAATACTGGTGTGTATTTTTTATTTAAAGTACCGAGACCAGCCATATACTGTATGTTTATGTTCCAAAATTAATATTGTTTATGGCCTTTACACGTGTTACAGTATGCTCCTATTCTTTTTATGCTCAGGTACTAAGATTTCCCTTCACTGGTAAAATGCCATATGAATATTCAATGGTAAAACGGGCACAGTAAAGACATTTACTGTAAATCTTTCTATGTCCGACCAACGGACCACGAGTGCCCCTGTCGGTCAACCAATCACGTACCGCGGTACCGCGCGTCAGGATGCGCGACGCCGTAGCCAATTACCTCCGGTACGTGTCTGTACCGCGCACTTTGAATGGCTGCATATGTAACATGGTGATGCTACATAAATGCAAGACATTGTTATAAAATATTAGTTGAGGTTGTAGCTACATGTTCTTCATTATTAGCACTAAGTCATCGTTTTAGGGTTTTCAACTTGATCTGAAATTTTAAAAATAACTACATTTAATATAAACACGTAGGGATAAAGTACGAAATTTTGACAATACTGAGTTATAAAACTGGAAGGCAAATTTCCTTAAGGTTAAAGGAAAAGGCCTTTTGCAAATGTAAATCACCATCAATCTAATTCCCCACTGCAAGTTTGATTTGGTCTTAGATATTGTAAATTGTGCGTTTTACAATTTACATGAAATGAAAACATATATACAGTATATACTGAATGGATCTGTGAAACTCAACAATCTTTGAGATTAAATAAATACTTAAACACGCTGAAAGTGTCGGTTTTTCTTAACTGTACATTTCCCAAACCTGGGAAGTTCAATCATCTTTAGAATATTCACTTTCCCGTAAAACATCCTTCTATTTCACTCTTTCTCTCCCATACACTAACTCATGCTCTATTTTTTTCTACCACAACTGTCATTCCCTTCCTTTCCTCATTCAGGACAGGAACCTTTTACAAATCAGCCTATCAGCTGTCAGGATGGTAAGTGAAATTCTCCCATTTCTGTATAAATGAATAAATAAAATACATTAAGATACAGTATATCCAATTTGTTACTTCACAGACATCAGTATTGTGGAAACTTTGTTGCAATGCTAACAAATGAAAACAGAAAAGTATTAATTTCTAGAAGGTAAAAGAGAAAATAAGAAAGGTCTATTAGCAAACAACATTCATTACCTAAAATAGTTTAAACCTCAATCTTTGAAGTAAAATTATTTTTAATGTCCAGTGTACCTACCAATGGTATATATTCACAAGAACAGAAGAATCAGTAATTAAAAAAAAATACTCTAAAAGCCGAAGCTCTAAAATAACACTTATGTTACTTTCTTTGAGTGATAGTTTTCTTTAGATTTTAAATATTTTTTAAAGTTCTACAACTTATCATGTTCAAATGACTCACTAATAAATTATCGCTATTTATTATCGTAACTGGGTGTCGTGTGGCTGTGGCTTGAAAGAAGCCCCAAACAAGTACACAATTCTTAAGTATATTTATGCTATAGACTAAAGACTTTTCTAAAATGATGTAAAATGTAACCTATTTTTAAGTGTGATTACACTTACACTTCTAAAAAAAAAAACATGGTACTGTAACTACTAACTCAATACAATACATTAAGTGGGGTTCAAAAGTGTATAATACACGATAATACAAAATACCTATTCTGCAGGTTTGAAATTAATTAATTTAAGTTGAGGGACGTGATGAGAAAGGATGAAAAGGTCATAAGAGGGAAATAACATTCAATTAAAGTGACCACGCATAATCAAATTAAAGACTTACGTTCAAAATGTCAAGTAATTGTGCTTTCTGTAATCCATTTTGTCTGGATATCAAATTTCTCTGGATCTCTTTATTTGTGTACCTTTGATTTTTGAAAAAGATATCAAGGTATTTGCCATATGGGAAAAATCTAAAAGGAAGTACATTAGGCACTGGTATTAAAGGTAAGCACATACATTGATGATTAAACTCTAGTGTAACACAATGCAATAAATATTATCTGATAACTTTTTTAACTTTGTCACATACCCAGATCACATTTTATAAAAATGTATATAGAAATATGTTTGAGAAAATATGTTTTTTGAATGTGGGGGTATACTGTATATAACAATGTAATAGTTTTATTAACCTCTCTCTCAAAGAAAAGTGTTTGGAGACAAATCATGACTTGTCATAACAAAAGTATTAGTTGTTTCCACACATGAATGTAAAATTCTGTCAATACTAATCAACCTTTACAGCGTCTTCTGCTACATAGAAATATAATACAAATCAAACACACTGGTCGCTAGGCCCCAAGAAACCCTTCCTACATTTTATAAAGTTATATTGTGATATAATCTAATAATTTAATACAAATATTTATAATACGAAAACAATCACACAGCATTATCATCACACAATTTACAACCCAACAGCCATTACATAGTTTTATTTTATTTATTTGTTACTATGTTTACTATTATTATCTTTATTTACTACTTTATTATTAACCAATGTTAAGACAATGAATAATTTATAATTTTGTGTATTCAGACTTTTCAGTCTTACGTAGCCTAACCGTCTGTTATTAGTTTTGAAACAGGAATTTTAATATACTTTTGGTCTCCAAGGTCACCTACAACACTCACCAGAAATATGGCATTTTGGGAAAAAAAGCCCTTACTTCCCAGAATTGGGTAAGTATGTGATTGAGTATATAAAGCAGTGAGAATATAGAAGATAAAATATTCTAGCGATGAACACATCCTTTTTAAGTTCAAACTAGAAGACACACCCACACTATGTGCAGATATCCTAAATGTAAGCATTTTATTATGGCTTCATTCATTTCAACATACACTATTTGTATATAGAAATGACAATTCAATTAAGATGCAACAACAAGCATAGCTGGAATCCTTTAAATGTTTTACCTTTGTAATGGAAAAGATCATCACATACAAAAGGGTTACAGAATGCCTAAGAATGCAGAAAGTATTTTTCCTGAATTTAAGACTGACGGCAATGTCTTGATTCAGGTGATAGCAAACAGTATCCTGTTTCTCAGACTTTGAACTGAGAAGGATGTGGAAGTTTTACTGGGTTTTAGATTCTTTAGATACATCTCACTATACAGGCATTATACCAGCAAATTACATGTTTTATGACTTACTTGGGTTCTCCTATTTTGACTCCAGGGTGCTGTGTATAGGCATGAGAATGGGTGCCTGGTGCTGATTTAAATGCCATTGGACAGATAGGACATTTATAGAAGATTTCACAGTGAGTCCCCTGGATATGCGACTTCAGGGCAGCCACATCCGCATAGATTACACTACAGTGGATACAGCTGTACAGAGAAAAACAAATGTCAAGTTTTAGTATTATAACTCTGCTCTCATTAGAACTTAATTCTAACCAGACCAAAAATTCATTATAAGCTGACTATGTCAGAACCTCTAAATTTAGAATCACAATTAAATTTAGAAATTAATTTAGTTCACCATTGTAACCATCATACAAGCTCTAGAAAAGATAAACAAAGAAAACACTTGTTCAACTCAAATGTGAACACAAAAAGCCCTGGTGCTAGAGCATGATGATTCATTGGGCCCCTGGCCTGCCCCAGCAATGCTCAACCAGTCTGCTAATTACATAGCCCAGATCCACACGGGCATCTCCTGTACTGCAAAGTTAATATTTTACTTCAAACTGCTATATGTATTGAGATAACTATTTTAATCTTTTAAGTTTATAATCTTTTAAAGTTTACTTCTATTGAGGGAACAAACACGCATGACTTTTCTTTAAAAATGTGGTCTAGAATACAAAATAATATTTATTTATGATCCACTGAACAAAGCACGGGTCTACAAAGACTGATTCAAATGGTGCATTGCACGGTAATTGGAGATAAAAGATCAATTTTTAGGACAGCAAATTCCTGTTTTATTGTTAATATTTATAACTACACTTCGAATTTAGAATCTCTAGTCATCACTGTACTCAACCACCATTTCAGGACAAGCTACAGAGGTGTATTGCACTAGACTATGCAATATCAATTTAGCATTGAACAACACCTTTCTAAGAACCAGATAATTCCAGTAGCATGAGTTTCAAATTTACATTCAATTAGTTTTATATAGGATAGTTATTTTTTGTTTTAAAAAACAATGTTAACATTAACATAAGAAAAAGAAAAGGTATTAGGCATCAGTAACAAAAAATATATTGCCACTCTGAAATCAGTCCAAAGAAGAACATGCAAGTACATTTCTGGAAACAAATTAATGTATTACTCTTACAGGCTAAGAACTCAATATGTTTAGTTTTGAACAGAAAAGATTATAATGGACCTGATTCCAGTATCCAAAATAGTGACCAACATTGACAACTCAGTGGCTTTCTTCAGCTGGAATAAGCGATTCAAGTTGCTACTGGCAACCAAACAAGCTAGATGTGCTGACTATTACGGTTCTGTTCTTACATTTTTGCAATACCTCATTACTGCAAATCATGAACTATATTCAGTTTGTTTTACGACAGCCATAAATAATAATAAAAAATGAGTTGCAATATTCAACTAGAGTGCCAATCCCATAAAAGAGCAGCAACACTCACCGATAGCCCACTCGGCGGGTGTAGTGCAGGCAGTTCTTGGTGACGTGGGTCTGGAAATGGACCGATCTGCAGATGGCTCCACATTCCGGACATGTGTATGGAGATTTGTGCTGGTGAATTCTCTGATGTGAAGCAAAACTGCACTGGTTCGGAAGCAGCATTTGGCAAATGTTGCAAGTTTTCTGTCATGGAAAATTAAAAAAAAAGTGCTTTTCTATAAAGAACACAAATGCATGCCATCAATAAAATATCTAATGTACAACTTGCTTCTATATTAAATGCATTAGCAGGTCACAAGGATTAGGTTTTTGCAAACTGACCAATTTTTCTTTCGCTGAACATTTTCCAACTAACAAAAGTCTAGCTTAAATTTATTCTTTCACAGAAATATGGACTACAAAGTATGTACATCTTTTCAAAGATATTTAACAACTGCAAAGTTGTTGTTTAATATCTAGGATGAACAGTATTCCTTTATCACCAAATATCTACATCCTATAGGACTGTCTACATGACTGTCCTACAGAACACAGCTCAAAGACTTCACATTCACTAAATAAACCAAATAAACATGCAATGCAACATGCATAAAAGTGTTGAGCAGTTATACAGTAATATATACTGATAAGTAGTTAACAAGATCTTAGGCCCTTCATTTAATTTTTATTTCTTTTTCAGTACCTCTAATCTAGTAACTGAATAGTGAATTCTATAATATGTATTTGAAAGTACTTAAAACAGCTATTTACAATTATAATCGTACCGCAAAAAGGCTGAGCATTAGCCAATATGTAATAACAAAAGGTGAAAAAAAAAATGTCTGGAAACATTACATCTGTACAGTCTTATGAAACAATCAAGACAGAAAATAAAATAAAATTTAACAAGACTCAGCACTGAAATAACAGAAAGGAGGAATAATACAAAATACAGCTGCAATGCACTTGTGGAAAATATGTAAATGAATACAGTTCATCAACTTTTTATTTGGTTTCAGCTACATCTGCCCTTTCCTAAACAATATTAAGCATTTATTGCACCTAATCTAAAAAAGAGAACTCTATGAATGATTTTCCGGGGAACAATTCTAATAAGTGTAAAAAACAGCAAAAGAAATCTTAATTTTACTGTAAATGTCGAACTCTAAGAGTCTACAAAAAGGGTCATGAAGAAATGCAGGAAAAAAGAAAAATCTTTAAGTGCTTGGGACAAAAGCACGCTTCACAGCCCAAGTGAAAAAAAACATAACTTAACAAAAAGACTGATTTGCTTTCTACTTCCAGTCAATAATATGTCATAGAAAAGAGATTACAGTGATATTTCAGATGGTTTCCTAAAATCAAAGGAGCCCCTTTTTAGTTCAGGAAGAACTAAGAGATGTTAATCGATGTCTACTATTTTTTCTTCTAAGGTATATACATAGCACTGATGAAAACACAAGTGTAAATAATTTTGAGGCCTCTATTGATATTTGAAACAGTGACAACAAAACTGTGAAGCCCTAAAAAAGTTATATTTAATGCCCCCCCCAAAAAAGTGTCACATCTGTGGCATACATTTCACCTTTCAGTACCAGGTCTTGTATGATACACAAGTCCAAACTACCACATAAGGATTTGGTAGTACCTAATCCATTTCCTCATTAGGGATTTGCTGTAACTATAGGCTACATACAGTGCCTTGCGAAAGTATTCGGCCCCCTTGAACTTTTCAACCTTTTGCCACATTTCAGGCTTCAAACATAAAGATATAAATTTTTTATT